CACGGTGAGCAGCCCGCGGGGCCTGCAAGCGCAGCACTCACGCCTCAGACCTGCCACCTCACTTCCTGGGCTCACCCGGCAGCATCCGGCCACTGAGCGCATCGGCTACTTTGAGTCACAGTCAGTTCCACTATCCATGGCAGCTCTGCTCTGTGACTTGCCAGGACCCAGAGTCAGCGACCACCGAGCCACCGCCCCAGGAGAACCTGGGGGGAGGTTCCTGCAGGCCTCTGGTCACATTTTCACCAACCAGTCGCTAGAGCAGCTCAGTTTGTGTTTCTGTTTAAAGACACCTATTTAATACGTGCTGTTGATTCACTAACACTGAACTCAGCCAACAGCACCATCACTCATCCCTGAATGAAGCTTCTCTACCGCACCTTTTCCCCGTAATGGCACGTCGCAGCCTCCCTGAGCTCAGGGACACTGGACTGTGCTTCAGTGCTATGCCTGGGGCCACTGAAACAGTGAAGTCACCAACAAAAATGCAGACACCCCAGCAGTAACAGGCTATGAAAAGGACTGTTTCCGGTCTGAGGGCTGAAACAGGATGGCAGGGCCACCTGCCTGAACCACACCGGGCACGGGGGCTGCTCCGTACAGGCTGGCGGCGAAGCAGGAGCTCGGTGGGCACTGGCTTTGGGAGCTGCAAACACGTCCACAGGGAGGCCAGTCCACAGGCGCCGCAACCGTGAATAATGAGAACAGACTGCACTTCTATTTGTTTTTAAAGCTGTGAATTCTCCAATGAGCCCGAAAACAAAGCACATGGCCGTCCTCACCTGCTTCTTCTTCAGCTTCTCCTCCCTTCTCAGGAGAATCTCCAGGATGGGGATGACGAAGGCGAGGGTCTTCCCGCTGCCGGTGACCTGAGGCGGGAGGGGATTTGGGTCGACCTTCCTCACAGCTCATTGTGTGGGGGAGATAGGAGGACAGGCTGCAGTGACAAGGCAGTGACAAGGCACTCACCGCTTCTGCCGCGACGTCTTTGTTTTTCAGGAACAGAGGGATGGTGGCGGACTGCAGAGAGAGGTGGCAAAGCACTGGTCAGAGAAAGCCATGGCCCCACAGATGGGGCCAGAGCCCTAGGAACGTACTGGGTGGCCCTGGTAGCCCCACCCCAAAGCGGGCGCTGAGCTAAGTCACCACGAGGCACCCAGAGGGGCCAGTTCAGAGGCACCGTGGCGATGGTGTCTGCACCGACGTGGGCAGGGCCGGAATCTGAAGTCTGGTTCGCCACCCACTTGTCCTCTGGGGACCAGAAGGGTTTGCAGACACTGAGTTTTAAAGTCCCTTAAAACCCATCCAACATGTCAAAAGTGCAGGGACCGAGGGACCGCCCACCGCAGACCCCTGGGGTCCAATGAGTGTGTGAGCCACAGACGTGACTCTAAAGCCTTAGTTCCCACACTAAGAAAGATAAAAAGGAAGAGGCGGAATGAATTTTAACATTTTACTTAACCTACTACATGTGAACTATTGCCATAATCAGTATTTTAAAAATTAATGAGACCATTTCCATTCTTCTTACCATATGAAGTTTCCAAATCAACGTGCAATTCACACCTAGAGCACCTCACCATCGGCACCCACCCTACTCCAAGCGTGCAAGAGCCGCGTATGCCTAGTGACAGCTGGAGGGGACGACACAGACCTTGACCCACAGCCCTGACGGCAGAGGTGGGAGACCCCACTGGCACTACATTCCCAGGCATGGCACACAGCGCCCCAAGTTTTATCTCCAACGCTGCCTGTTTCCCCCATCTTTCCTGAGGGTCACACGGACACCTCAACGCAGTATTTTAAAATAGAACCCTCCTGAATCTCCCTCTGAAGCATGTTACCCGCCCCCAGTCTTCGTCTCAGTGAAACGTACCATCTTCCCAGACACCAGGGACACAAACCTCAGGGTCCCTCTAGGCTCCTGCCTCCTGCAACCCTACGGCTAACTCGAACCTGACTTCTCAATATCCGCGGCTTCCTCCCTAGGCCAAGCCACCACCATCTCTCAGGGACAGTGGCCTCCTAACTGGCCCCCTCCCTTCTCCTTTCACCCTTTAAAGTCCACTCCCTTCCCTAAGGCCACACCTCTGCCCCAGTGCACTGCTTTCCATGTAGGATAGCTTCCCACTGCATTTAGAATAAAAATCTGAGCTCCTACAAGACCCTCCACCACATGGACCCTGGCCTCCTCTCGGTTCCTCCAAGCCCACTTCCCGCCCCAGGGCATTTGCACTGGCTTTTCTCTCTGCTAGAACCCTGCCAGTCACCCCATAGCCAGCTCCTTCTCCATCATTCAGGTATCCGCTCAATGACACCTCCCCAGAGGGGCCTTCCCTAACACCGTCTCCTGGGCCTTTCTCGTCACTGCCCGTTCCATCAGTCTGTTTTACTTCCTTCATAATACTTAGCAGCAGCTGACAACCCCATTCCTTTACTCCTTTCTCTCTCTTCCACATTAAATAATAAAACTCATGAGTGAGGACCAACCCTGCACAATTGCCAGATCTTAGACAAGGGTACCTGATAGGTCCTCGATAAATTTCTTAAATAAATGAGTAAGTTGGGCCAGGACAGGTCACTTGGCCCACACAACAGTTAACAGTAACATCGGCCGGTAACATTTATCGAGCTAGCTCCCATTACGTGCCCACATTGTCTCACGGTATCTTACAGCAACCCCACGCGGCCGGCAAGGTCATTTTCGCCATTTCACAGAGAAGGGAAATGAAGCCCAGGGAGACTTAAGTCTCCTGCCCAACGTCCGGCCCCTGGAGGGGCAGGGGCAGGCACTCAGGTCCAGGCGCCGGCAAGCGGAGGCGGGTGGAGGCGTGAAGACGCGGCGCAGGTGTGCCGCAGCCCGCCGCGCCCGCCAGCCAGAGTCTCGAGCCCGCTCGGCATCCCCCCCGAGTCCACGCCGCCGGAAGACGCGACAGCAGGCCCCGCTGGAGGAGTGGGAGCTCCAGGGCGTGGGTCGCAACGCTGACACCGACCAGCCGCGTTCCGTTCGGCAGGAACCCGGCTCCCCTGAGCCGGCCTTTCCCCGCCTGGCCCCTGCGCGCGGACGACCCGCCTCCCCGGGCCGCGCCGGTTACCTGCACCGGCGTCATGTACGGGAACCCCAGCTCCCGCAGTACACCCAGCACCCGGGGATGCAGCGGCACCGGCAGCGATTCCCAGGATCCCTCCGTCACATGCTCCATAGCGCGCCGCCACCACCCGGACGACTTAGGAGCTGCGCCGGCAAGCACTTCCGCTTCCGGTCGCCGACGCGGCCGTCCGGGAACCACGCTCGAGCCGCCGAGTTCCGGAGCGCGGGGAAGGTACGCTCTGCGCACCTGAGTGGAAAGCCGAATTCAGGAGAGTGAAAGCCGAAGGCGGGGACCTGGTGGGAGTGGTGCCACCCGCGCTGCGCGGCCACATGGGCTCGGGGCACCTCTCCACACCGAGCGGGCATTTTGGCGGGAGGGATTCCGCCCGGCTCTCTCATTTTCTCCGCCAATCGGAGGCAGATGGCAGCACAGTACCGCGCTGGCCAAAGAGGGGCTGCGGGGAGTGGACAGAAACGGACCCCAGCTCCGGAGCCCCAGGTTAACAGTAATACAAGATAGGGTTGATGGAGGGGATCCAGAGTCTGGCACATAATAAATGTTGGTTCACTTATGAGAAAGTTATGGTCTTGTTTGGGGCTCTGCGTTCACCATCGGCTTGGGCCATTTGTCCACGCGCATGCACTGAGCAAGTTTTGCTGATCCCATTGTGCGCTGGGCTCCGTGGGCACTGCCTTCTCCGGCTGTGTGCCTGTGCCACCCCACCCCCTCCCCCAACCCCCTCCACTCCGTAGGCATCTCGGCGATGCCTTCCTTTCCTGATTACTGAAACCAGGAGCTTACTGAAACCTGCGGCTTCTCTGGAGCAGGCTGGCTCCGGCCAGGGGAGGGGAGGTCAGAGGGTAAAGGAAGTACGAGTGGGCCCCAGGCTGGCGGGCAGAGGCATGGGCCTGAATGCCCCTCATGCCGCACTCCACACCCCCAAAAGCGAGAACGGGGTGCTTGCCAAATCTGCCCTACTCACTCACCAGCCTCCCCAGGAGAAGAGGGTCCACGTACCTTCCCCCCAGAGCTTACAATTACCTTGACTGACACACTTGCTTCATCTCCCCCACTAAAAGGTAAATCCCAAAATGGGGGGTTTTCCTTTTATTTATCCCAGTGGCTACGCTGGAAGTACACAGACAGTATTTTGGAACGAATACACAAAAATAGTACCCACGCAGACTCCATTATCTGAGTAAAGGAAGACAGAACAGAAAACCCAAGGCATTTTCACAACCCCCGAGCTTTTGGGAAATGAGACCGACAAAGGCTGCTCTGAAAGCAAAGGCAGAGGGCAAGGGCGGGGCTGCATCCGCACTGGGGGCTCTGCCAGTACCTTCTGAACCTGCTGCGCCCTCTTCCGGCCAGTTTATTTCCAAAATGAGGGATCGACAGCCCAGGGTAATGGTGGTTTTGGAAGAGTGGAGGAGACAGTGTAAAAGCATTTGGCATCTTGCCAGGACATTATTACCCTGTGCTCCGTGAATCTCGCTTTTGTATCGCTCATGCGACCTTAGTGCAGTGGAGGGCGAGGAGTCATTGCCAAAGGCAGAGATTGGGTTTCTGGTCTCACCCATCACTCTTCCTCTAGGAAGAGTCTTGGGCAAAATCATTCTCTTAAACTCACTGCCCACATCCATTAACCAGGTGGTTGAATAAAAATCACTCAAAACTTTTTTCCCAAATGAAAAAAATACTTAAGATGTTAACACAGAGCTAAAGAAACCACACGGAAACCTAAAATTGGGACCCCGTTCAAGATCCTCAAGTGTACAGACCCAAAAAGTAACAGGCATTCGTCACAGGGTTTCTTACCCAGAAAACATGGACCGGTCTCATTTCAAATACGAATAGAAAGCTGGTATCTAACAAATGAGAATTAATCAATATATAAAACAATACAAAGACTTTTTAAAAAGAATTATTTATTTACTGAACCTGGGGCAGATCGGATACACAGCCAATTTCAAATGTACGTATTGTAACTCCTGCTGCAGTGTTCCTCACACACAGAGAAACGCGTGCAACAGCTGTGCTAAGGGGAAGCTCGGTCACCTTAAGCTGCTGCAAGTATTTTTACCCAAGGTTGAAAAATTGCTTATCCTGAACATGAAAACCTGTAACAAATTTAAATTAATTATATAAAACTTGTTACTTGTAGTTTTACCTTTGCAAAGATCCAAAAAAAAAAGGTAACTAATATACATCAGTCACAACATAATCCTGGACCATCCCCACACCAAACCAGATGCTCCTTCAATTTTAAATCCATCATCGGAGACCAAGAGAAAGTCATTTCGTTTCATACAAAACAAAATTCACATGTGCCCAAAAAAGACCCAAGAAAAAACAACCAAAACCCCTAGTACTGACCGTGTGGCCAGCACCCTAATGAACGAGTGGCCAAACGCCACTGATCAAAAATAAAATAGTGGCTGTAAATCACTCACCGCAATGAAACCCAAGAGGCTTTACTGAACCCTCTGCCACCAGGAGCCCCGACTTCCCGCCTGCGCGACTGCACACCTCCTACTGCCCAGACTGGAGCAAGTGGGTGCCAGTGCAGAGCGAGCTCCCGCCGGCCGAGGCACCCAGGGGACTGGCTTTAAGAGATTTCTTACAGGTTAGGCAGAAATCAAAAAAATGGTTATTAGCTGCTCTGTCATCAATTTAGTAAAAGTGAAGCCCTATGGTTCAAAGTGAAAATTTAAGGGGAGAATGTTGGGTTGTCTCATCTTTTAAGCAAAAACAAGACAAAGGATAAATGAACCAGGCTGGTGGCACACTCCAAAGCCACAGAGCTTCGAGATTCGAACTGGGGTTCCTCATAAGGACCCAACAGCACGGGTCTCTGATGACCTGGATCGCGGGACAAGGGGCCGAAAAGAGCACAGCCGTTTTAGTAAAGCACTGTCAGGAACAAACTGCACTGGTTAGGAAAATGAAGATAGAGTAAGGACTATGGGCCTACATCTCCAGTGCAGTGTTGGGGCCTGAAGGACCTGTGTAATGGAGGAAAAGTCAGTAAAAAGCTGTGCCAATCCAAAGTCAAATTTTCACTATCACTCTCCTAAAAAGGTGTTTTTCCCCAATATCTACCCTTTACAAAGAAACATAAGTTGTGAATGTACAATTCAGAAATCAACACGTACAAACTGATGCCGTTTTTATGACCAAGAGGTCAGTGAACAGTGAGCTGTGGATTCTGGATCTTGAGGGAGAGCTTGTTAAACGACCCTCCGGACCTCGAAGAACCTCTTCAGGTAGTAGATCTGTCCCAATGTCATGGCCACTAGAACAAGGGCTTCAAAGAAGGACCAAAGGACCACTCTGCTATTTGTGTTGTCGTTGACTGTTGAGGAGAAACAAACGAAATTTAACAGTGACGGCAACGAAACCCACAGAGGCATCAAGATTCACCCCTCGTCCTACGGTGTGAAACCACCACCCGCACATCACTCTCGCTCCGGGCCCTTCTGTCTCCAGGCAACCCGGCCCACCCAGACGCCGGGCCTTCAGACCCAACCAGACCTCGGCCACGTAGAGTCCAGTCCACTCTGCTTACACACCCGCACCAGGAACAGAGAGGAACAGTGGCCCGCCCAAGGCTACACTTCTAGGTTAAAACCCAACCCTACCTTCTTCCTCCCTCAGGCTGCAATGTCCCTACACTATAACCTCTTTAACTCTGAATCAGAAAATTAACTAAAAAATTCAGACATTATTTCAAGATCACCAAGTTACCCAAAAAGCACTACTTACCAAATCAAGATGTGTCAAAGTATCTTTTTTTAAAAACAAGGATTACTGAGCACCTACCCTGTACTTGGCACTTGTTCTAGGAGGGGGAGAGCTCCCAGTCTCACGGATGGACGCTGGCAGTTACTGCCCAGCTGAATGGGTCCCACGGCCTAACCCACTCGTGAGCTAAAGGTTTGGTACTGCAAATACCAGTCCTGACCGTGTTACTTTATTCTGCTGTTTACATCACACTCTTTCCAGTTTCCGATCAAATTCTACAGCCTTAACTTTTAAAAATTACTATGCAGTTTTCTGATTTTACTGTAAATGGCCAATTAGAAACAATCGCAATTACCAGTATAATAATCTTTAGATGTATATATACCATTTGTAAACTACTAATTAAAATTTTAACAGCTACTGGATTCATGATCACCAAAAAGTAATTGAAAACAAACAAACAAACAACAACAACAAAAAACGGACATATTTCTAGTCCTGGCTGGTGTGGCTCAGTGGATTGAGCACCGGCCTGCAAACCAAAGCATTGTAGGTTCGATTCCCAGTCAGGGCACATGCCTAGGTTGCAGGCCAGGTTCCCCCGCCCCCCCCGGTGTGGGGCAAGCAAGAGGCAACCACACACTGATGTTTCTCTTCTTCCCTTCCCCTTGCTCTAAAAATAAATGAATAAAATATTCTTTAGATAGAAAATTAACATGTTTCCAAAAAGATAACTCAGTTTCTAAAACAACAAACAAACAAACAAAACCAGTGTGGCTTTTCCCCAGAGTAAGAACAGGCACAGCCCAAGAATGCCACCTGGAATTCTATCTACCGCCCACACGGAAATCAGTGCTAACTCCATGGCATGAAGCTTACCTCTGTTGAAAACTTAATAACCCATTTCTAGTTTAACTGAATGACAAGCATTATAAGGTTGTGTCTGAAAGGGTAAATACTTCCAATTAAGCGACCATGTAAAAAGAAATATTTACGCCTCCCTTCACTTACAGACAGTTGCACCTTTAAGAGTAAACCGAACACACGGAAGCGCAGTAACCCAGCAGAGCAGCCACCTAGGAAGGTGCAAGTGCACAGTGTCTACATAAGACGCTGTCCTCATCCACTCACTCGTCCACCTGATCTAGAAGCAACACCATATTACTGCAACCCCACAACACAAAATGCTCTCATGTCCCCCTCGGAGAAGTGCTGTCAGCAGAGGGACAGAAATACAACAGTGATGGGGGAACTGGTTCATTTGCAAATTTAAACTGAACGTCTAAAATTCCACTTGTTCTCGAGAGGGCATCACCGGTCAGACGGAGGCCGGGCGCCCCCGTGGGCTGGAAGGCAGCGCTGCCTCTGGCTGCTCCGCTCCCAGGAACCGTTCCTGCCTCACAGCCGCCTGGTCAGCGGCCAGGCAGTGAGAGCTCTCAGCCTGGGGCTTCTCTGGAACAGGCTGGCTCCGGCCAGGGGAGGGGAGGGGAGGTCAGAGGGTGAAGGCAGTACGAGTGGGCCCCAGGCTGGCAGGCAGAGGCACGGGCCTGAGTGCCCCTCATGCCGCACTCCACACCCCCAAAAGCGAGAACGGGGTGCTTGTCCAATCTGCCCTACTCACTCACCAGCCTCCCCAGGAGAAGAGGGTCCACGTACCTTCCCCACAGGGCCGAGAACAGGTGTGAGAGGTGGGACAGGAACCACCCACTGAGGAAATCACCTGTACTTATCTGCCACTTTTCCTCCCTGCCCCAGCCCAGAATGAAGACTGCGGACCTGAGTCCCTTTGCATCTGCAGACGAGACCGTGATCCTAGTGAGGTCCATCCCCAAGTGCGACTTGCAGGATGACAGACACGGAACCACAGGCGTGGGCCTGGGCCTGAAACACACTACCTGGTCTGCGTGTCGATGTGGTGCCCCTCCTCGTATCTGCAAAAGCACCACCTTAAGGCTACACCAGGTTTCTGCAACCTAATGGGGGATTCCAATCATCACTGTTTCCAAAGACAGACACACACTCTCAGTTCCCAGCTCGCAAACTTGGGAGCCCAAGCTGGTCTTCACTTGGTCACTGCTTATGTTAATGTTTTTGAACTTGCTGTTGTAGCTATACTAAGCCTTCTACTCTTGAATAAAGGCTAAATCTGAGCATATAATAGCAATTATACTGGCACAAAAACTTTAGATGTTATTAAAAACCAACACAATACCCATTTTAGAATGTTTTCCCTTTCTGCTTTAAGAAAATAATGAGCGCCCTGGCCGGGTGGCTCAGTTGGTTGGAGCGTTGTCCCGTGCACCAAAAAGTTGCAGGTCTGATTCCCAGTCAGGGCACATACCTAGGTTGCAGGTTCGATCCCCAGTCAGGGTGCGTGCGGGAGGCAACCGATCGATGTTTCTCTCTCACATCGATGTTTCTTGCTCTCACTCTCTCCCTTCCTCTAAAAATCAATAAGGACATATCCCCAGGTGAGGAGAGATTAAAAAAAGAATGAAAACAATTAGCTTATTCTTTAACTGATCACATTTTTTAAAAACTCGTAGTAGCTTGGGCTGAATCATAACAGCATTTACTGGTTTTGAACGTGGGTCCCCGTAGCAAACTGGTGCAGCACAAGGCACTACAAACAGGCACACTCAGAACACGCCCTTGCCCAGGGGCCCTGCGCAGGGGCTTCTCCAGGGGAGCACGGCAGGACGGCAGCGTGTGCAGAACTCCCCGTAAGGGCGTCGGTGTCCTCCTGCTGGGCCTACGCAGGGCAATGCCTCGGGCCTCACCCCTCACTTACTTGCTCTGTGTATTCTCTCCCGAACTTCCATGTACTCCTGCTCGTGCTTCACGGCTGTCATGGCCACCGCCAGCTCGTTGATCATCTCCTCCAGCTTGTTCTGGTGAGCTGTGGGAGGGTTGAACGCACATCAGCATACACGTGGAACCACTGTGTGAAATGTGCTCACAAAGCCAGAAAAATACTCCTCAGAGAAGACACACGAAAGCAGCTGTTTTTAGAAATGGCTCAGACGTCACTCTGGACCACTGGTGACAGCGTGATTCTCAAAGCATTTGTTAAAGTCATTCCCAGCAGCAAAATCTCTTCTGGGATAGAAAATACACTACACAACGTTTGCTAAGTGAAGGAAAACAACCCCTGGCTGTGTAGCTCAGTGGATTGAGCGCGGGCCTGCGAACCATAGTATCGCGGTTCGATTCCCAGTCAGGGCACATGCCTGGGTTGCAGGCCAGTTCCCAGCAGGGGACGCATGAGAGGCAACCATACACTGATATTTCTCTCCCTCTCTCCTTCCCTTCCCCTCTAAAGATAAATAAAGAAAATCTTTAAAAAAACAAAAAAACAACCCTACAAAATTTCCTCTGCTGCACTGCTACTTAACAAAGATCACTACACCATCTACCAGAAAAGGGGAGAAAGATAGGGGGAGGGGTTGTGCAGAGAGCACAAAGGATCAACATGCAATCCCTAACAACGCCCTAACAACGCCCGAGGACTAACCTACAAACATTTAACTGAAATCAGAACCCACCCATGGAACTCCAAGGTTAACTGGAGAGCAGCATGAATACAGACGTTCGAGGTCTACGAAGCCAACAGAGGAAGACGTGAAACCTGTGGGGAACGTCCAGGGCAGTTCACATGTCCTCTGTGCGAGTCAAGGCCACAGCTGCTCTGCAGCGGGGGCAGCAGGGCCTGCAGGGGACCCCCCTCTCAGCTGCCCCAGGTTTACAACTGGCCATTGATCTCTGGCCATTCTCTTTGGCCAGAGATCAATACAAGGAGAACATACTACATTACAACAACGCAGAAACAGGAAGAAGTTTCCACCACAAGGGGAGATTTCCCCTGGAGGGCTCTCTATGCCTGCCCAAGGTGGGGCCTCACCTAGGGGCCCCACACTTCCTGGACCGGCCGAGGGCCTACCATCCAAAGGCAGCGAGGCTGCAATCTCAACCCCACTCGGTGTCACCCTGGACGCCGCAAGCACAACGGGGGGCCTTCGGAGCAGGGCTCTCAGAAGTGACGCTGGTGACGACCCAGTCCAGGTGATCCCTGCAGCTGCAGGGTCACCCACCAGGCTGTAAGAACCACAAATGTCTCCTGCTAACGCCAGATGTCCCTCAGGGGTCAAAAATCATACCAACCCGAGAACCACTGCTTTAGAGGCAGGCTAGATTTGACAGCTGCCATTCAATGACATCAACAAACAAAAGCAAGAGTTTTAAATATTGTGTTATGGATTACGTAAGGATAATTCAGTACTCTCATTCATCAGCCAATAACCTCTAACTACTTAGAAATGATTAATTTCCAGAAAATAAACAAACACAAAAAACTCCCAGTTCTCCCTGAAAACTAGCCAAGCCCCGCACTGTGAGTGGCCCTGCAAGGCAGGCTCGGGAATCACTAAGCAGTGCGACTCCAAGTTCTATGGACTGAATACCTACCTGACAATTCAACTTCTTTAGGATGTGAGCACCCTACTCATTGCTCAACACCTACAACAAATTTCATCTTAGTACTGGAGAATGTGCCGAACTGCTACTTTCCAAAAATCCTAACATGCACTGTGACCAACACCTCTTCCCCCCAAAACCCTAATGTGCCGGCTCCTGGTACACGACACACCCAGAAGAATCATTTCAGGGTTCAGTGTTGGTCAGCAGAGAAATAAGAACTAACCTGACTGCAATGTGTAGCTGAAAGAACTTTTCTCAGTATGTCTAGACACAGCTCCTAGAAATGCATTTCATACCAAGCTCCAAGTAAGAAAACTTCAATCACCATTAAAAAGAGCCTGCAACATACTTCCAAGAAGTCAACGGAACCATCCGCCACCAGCTATGTCTCACTGAGACTTTCACTGGTCCAGGCCTGGCGACCACCTCCGCCCTCTGGCATTCAGGTGACAGCACAGCAGGACGGCACCGCCGAACTCCAGGTGGCTGGGTCCCCAGCACCATGACTTAAGATGAACGAACCTGCATCTCCTGACAACCAATAAAAACCACCAAACACAGTCACTCTATCTAAGTGTAGGGTAGTGTCTTTTTTTTTTTTAATTAAGACAAAAAAACACTCTCATGCCAACAAACTGAGGTTAGAAAGAAGAGAAGCAGAAATTAGCTAACAGCAAACAAAAATGTGCAAAAACTCAGGATGCCACTGAAAAGCGATCCACATACCGTCCCAAGTATCTCCACCACCTGCAGGAAAGTTTAAGATGTAAACACATAAAAAGTAAAAACAACAAAAAAGAGTTCATCTCAACTGGTCATGAATACAAATGAGCAGACACACAAATGCCAGGATGGGCGAATTCACAAAACAAGCCACCTGGGATGCACGTGACCCACATGCTCACCGGGGCACAGGGTGACAGAGCTGCAGAGGGGCCCCTGTAAGGAACTGAAATATGTACGTGATCTTCCAGAAACTTCTCTTTGTTAATTAGATCTGGATAGATAAAAAGTACACCTCACAAAAGTTTCTGATTTTAAAGACAATGGATGGAACAAGAGGCAAAGAAAAAAGGCAGTAGATGAACCTAGAATGAGAAATCAAAACAAATACCCCAGGTGATGAAAATGCACAGAACTGACAATCACCCTGGCACGGGCCAGAAGTCTCGGGCACGTGCCCCTCACCTTCTGTCTCCATGTCCTGCCCTTTGGGGGCCTCCCCGATGTCGATGGTGAACATCACTATCTTCGGGGTCATGGTGGACATCCTGTTGCTGAAACAGAACTTGTACGTTCCATCCATGTGAGCAGCAAATGTGTACTTCCCACTGGACTCCCGGTCTCCCTTGTAAATCCCTTTATTATCGGGTCCTGTAATCTGGAGGCGGGAGAGAAACGCAGGAGGTATCACGAAAGGCTTCAAACCATGAACTTCCCAAGTGGAGTCTACTGGCGGTAGGACATTCACCACGGACAAGTCAGTCACTGGGCCCTACATGAGTTAGTGACAGTGACCTCTGGGCTCCCACTTCTGAAACAAGAGCCTCTACCTACAAACACTTCTCTGACTACATTTGTGTTCTTCCTTCAACTGAAATGCAAACCCCTCAGAGACAAAAGCCACACCTTCCATATGGTCTCCAAGTGGCCTAATGCCCCCAGCCAACCATGTAAACGTGCAGCTGTTAACATCAAAACAAAAATCCCTTTAAAACTAACAATTGAGAGTGGGGTGCATTTCCAGATTTTCCGGGTTGATTACCCACACCCAGTGAAGGGACGTGCTTTATCTGAGACGCCTGGAAGCCTAAGAGAGAGAACTAGACGAAATCAGGAGACCGGGGCTCACATCCCACCTGCCACAGAGCAGCTGGCAGGCCCTACTCACCTCAGTTCCTCTTACAAAGTGCCCCCCCACTGCCCCCCCAACACTGGCACCGGCCTAGCTGAGCTCTGTGGTCTCAGCTAATTCTACTCGTCACTCCTTCCATTCTCGCCCTAGTCCTGGACTTCACTTGCGTTGCATAATCGTGCCCAACTCTGCTAAGGTTCACTGCTGAATGGAAAATCCTTAAACCCAATTAATCGTGCTAACGGGTGACTTTAAATATTAATTCCATGTAATTTCCCCCGGAAAGTTAGAGGTGACCCATTCCTTTCGTTTACAAAAAGACATACAAGGAAATCTAGAGACTGATGATTTCTTAATAAAAGTTCCTATTTTCTCCCGATAACTCACTGCAATCATTACTCCTAAGTGATGACCCCGCCTCATCTCTCTCCTAGTCAGAGGTGGCTAAACGGTTTGTGTGTGGACTTGTATAAAACGGGTGAAACACTCAGGTCGTTTCCTGAGAAAGTAAAGAACGACGACGAACGTCTGCCTGGCATTCCTCAATAACTTCCGAGTAACTTTTCCAAAAGTTTCCGCACCACGTTCCAACATTAATCCCTAGCGAGACGAAACGTAGCCTCTGACCGGATCAGGTCCTGCCACCACTGAGCCGCGACAAGGGAGCGCCTTCCGGGCCGGGAGAGGACACGCGGCGCCCAGTCCACAAAGCTCGGCCAGAAGTCCCGCGGTTCAAGCCGTCAACCCAAAGCCACTGAGCAACGGCTCTGTATCCCGAGGGGGGTGCAGGGGAAAAGGTCAGCAGGGGGGTCGCCACCGCGGTGGTCCCGGCCCCTCCCAGAACTCGACCCGCCGCCTCCATGCCCCGCGCCCTCGCAAGCCTCGCGCGGGCCCCAGAAGCCGCCAACCCCCAGCGGCCGCGAGACCCCGCCTCGGTCGCCGGCAGCGGGCCCACACCTCCACGTCGATGTCCAAGAAGCCGCCCTCGGCCACCTCGAAGATGAGGCCCATCTTGGTGCCCGAGGTGACCCGCTCGAAGAAACACTCCTCGGCATGCGCGTCGATGCTGACGAAGTAGCCAGAGGCCGTGGCCAGGAGGGCGGCCAGGAGCACCAGCAGCTCCGCGAGCGTCACCATAGTGGGATTGGGGCCGAAGCCAGGACCGGGACTGCGGCCTCCAGAGCCGCCGCCGTCGCCGCCACCGATGCCTTCTCAGCCGCCACCGCCTCAGCTCCGCCCCTTCCGGCTGCGCCACCCGAGGGGGCTGATGCGGGCGCCGTGGATTGGCGGGCGCCCGGACCTGCCACGTAACGGACACACGGCGGCCGCAGAGGGACATCTCCGCTGAGCGCGGCCCGTGCGTGGACGGTGGCTCCGAAGGAACATAAAACATCGGCCCCACCTGCATTTTTTCCCCCTCACAAGCAGCCTGTGGATCACGTAAAAAAGAGACAGGATCCAGAAACCTGCCCCGCGAGGTTGCGGTTCCCTCCTAGGATGATTTAGAAAGACGGCGAAAGATTTGGAGACAACAGTGGGAATAGAAGGAGTGGGCGATGGGGGCGGAAGCCAAGAGCTTTGAGGTTTCATGTTGGCCTCCTCTCACCCCGCGAAAATCGACCGGGAAAGGAAGGAAGTGGGTGGGTGCAGACGGGGAGGGGACACGAGGGTACTTCCCGGGATATTGGGAATGTTTCACATCTTGCCCATGAGTGAAGGGTACATGTGTGTTGCATTTTTTCTTAAGAAGATCTATACTTATGGCTAATGCAGCTTGTTTTACTGTGGTAAACTTGTTTTAGCTGTGTCCGAATTCTCCAAAATTAGAATCTTCTCAGTTCCCCAAAGTCTTGCTGCCACGCCATACCCGCCCAGCTCTTGCCAGGTGCTAGAACCCCGCAATCCCTCGCCTTTTCCTTCCTGACATTCTCCTACTCATCCCTCAAAGCCCCACTCACGAGTCGCCTGCTCTCCTCTCCGAGATGTTCCTGAACATCCTTCTGCCAAAGACTAGCGCTTGCGACGCAGATTCGTGCCTCCGGGTTGTCGCTATAGCTCTTCACCAGTCCAGTCCCTCCCGAGGCACCGTTTGTTTGCGTGTGTGTGTGTGTGTGTGTGTGTGCACGCGCGCGCGCGTGCTCTCGGGCCCACGCAAGACCTCACTCGTGACCACTTAGCTGAGTTCTTTAAACTGGCCAGGGGATAAGGAGACGTAGGTTGTTACTCCAGTTTGCTCGTAGCTGTGTGATCTTAATTATATCATCTCTTATCAGTAAAGGAAGAACACCAGGGACGTCGCTTATCTGTCAAGTGAGGATCAGAGGACGCCACGTAGGTGAGGGACTGTGCCTGCAAGTTTGACGGATCCTTTGTTAAAGGCATCAGGCAATAGGGGGCAGCAGTGGCCCAGTATCCAGTTTCCCGCTTTCGGTGTAGAGAAACCAGGTGCAGCTGCAGTGAGGGAAACTGTCCCAAACAGGAAAACCCATAGACAGGGTGGATTAGGACTCACCTCGGACTGTGGTCGGGGGTAAGGAAGAAATGGGGCGTGACCTCGAATAGAGTTTCTGTGTGGAACGAGGCAAATGGGCTGGGCCTAGACAACAGTGATGGCGGCGTGTACCTGCAACCATACTAAAAGCTACCGCAGTGTAGCTTTCAATGCATGGATTTGATAGCCTGTGAATTATATCTCAATGAAGCTGTTTAAAACAGGGGAGAGTTTTTCCCACTGTCTGGGTGTAGTACAGAAACAGGCAGGTCAGTGCCACCAGAGGCAGGTGGCAGAAAGGACCGGGAGAGTCTGTCTTTGACATTGAGTCATGTTCCAAAGCTGGTCACGGTTCAGTTTTGTTCCTTCCTGGACCGGATTTCCATCACAGGCATCAAGCAAATGGCATATACCTGTGGGAATAACCTCACAGGACATCAGCATCAGTCAAGGCCACGCTGTGACCATGGTGGCACAAGACAAAACGCAAACAGGGTCCAGGCTGCAAAACAAGAAACGTCTCGCGCTCTTGGCTCATGTGGACGATGCTACCTCTTTATCAATGATAGTTCTAGCCTGTCCTCCGTGGAGACATTATCTGTGAAGAGCCTCACCCCCAGATCTGTCCCTGCTTCCTGCTGGCACGCACTCCCAGGTCCTCACACTCTCCCCAGAATCGCCCAGCCAAAGCCCAGGCCCTATAAGAGGCTCTAACACCCTCACATTCTCGGTGAGACACCCCGCGATTCCCCATGGTGTGCAGTCACCCTGGCTGCGAGCAATAAACCCAACTGGCTTCACTACACATATTTTCCTGGTGGTCTTCGGCTGCAGAACATCGATAGCTTCCCAACACCCACTTTCTATGTATTTGACACCAAAGCCTCCTCCACCAGAGCACCAAGGTCAACGACAAGTTCCCTGGGCTTGAACAGACTGGGGTAAAACCTCAGCTGAGCCACTTACTGTGTGACCTGTGACAAGTTAATTTACCTCTGAGCCTTGGTTTCTCCTCTATGAAATCACATCACGTGTCCGCGTTAAAGCCCTAGCGTGGCTCCCAGGCTCCTTGTGCATTACAGCCACAGAGCTTCCACTTCCCTGGGCCACAGAATCAGGTCCCACTCGCCCCTCTGGTTCTTCCCACATTTGGCCCCTCAAGCTCCAGAGACCCCCCTCCTCACTGTCCCTCTGCGACTCCGTGCACGCACGTCACCCAGGCTCTGCCAGCCCTGAACCCTCTGCTCCCAGTTTCCATGTGGCTCACCCCCACACTTTCCCAGATCCCTGCTCCAGGGTTACCTCCTCAGGAGGAGCCCCCAGTCCTGTCACTCTCGAAGAAGCCAGTGGTTCTCAAGCTTGGGTGGACACCCGAAACACCTGGGGACATTGGTAAAATGGGAAAGGCCCAGGCCCACTCCGCTCCATGGCCACAGGAGGGGACTAAGGTGGCACAACCACCTGGGACACCTTTGGTGGTTTCTTGGAAAGTTGAACCCCCACTTCCCGTGCGGCCCAGACGTTCCACACATAGGTATCTGTCCCCGTGGCTGGTGCCACAGTGTCCTCAGCTCGTGACGTGTCTGATGGTCCCAGATCACAGAGGCAAAGGCTGCCACCGCCCCAGCACCAGAACCAACCCAGGGCATGACGGGGTTCCTCCTGGATGGAGATGGGCAGGGGGAGTGGCCCACGGGGAGGACTCATGAGAGGCACGAGGAGTGAGCAGGTAAATTGTTCACCTTCCCCCGTGTACCCCAACTCTATAGCCCCCTCTCTGTGCTGCTGGGCAGCTCTGAGACTCGGGGGTGTCACACACGCACCCCAACACACCCGGGCAGACGCAGTGGCCAGGCCAGCTCGGAGAGCACGCGGCCCAGATGTCGCTCTCTTCCTCTTTCCCGCCTCACTTCCCTTTTCCTCTCATCCTCTTATAAAACGTTAGCTCATACGTTTTCATAAGGAACCCATGCAAAAGCAGTGGGTGATTCTTTAAGATTACTTTTAAACTATTTTCCTTGAAGCGTTTACTTAAGAGCCCAGCGTTTCGGTGACTGAGATCAGCGAAGCAGAGCAGCACTCGCTGGCCGGTTCGTGTAACAGAAAGGAGACACTACCCAGACTAGCACGGACAGGTAACCTCTCTCCAGGTGGGACGGACATTGACACTCAGAGAGTGTACCCAGTGCACTTTTAAGAATCCCATTGCTGCCCTGGCTGGTGTGGCTCAGTGGATTGAGCGTGGGCTGTGAACCAAAGGGTTGCGGTTCGATTCCCAGTCAGGGCACATACCTGGGTTGCAGGCCAGGTCCCCAGTAGGGGACACATGATAGACAGCTACACATTGATGTTTCTCTCCCACTCTTTCTCCTTCCCATCCCTTCTCTCTAAAAATTAAAAAAAAAACCACTAAAAAAATCCGGTTGCTGAAGTTAAATCTTCCTCTTTTCCAAGATGCGTTTAGGGAGCCTGACCGTGTCTTCCACAGCCTTGGAGAGAAGGGGGACTATCAAGTACGATTAATACGTAACAAACTATGAGCCTCGTGATGTTTCTGGTGGCTAGAGATGTGACCATGACATCAAACTCATCCAAGACCATCCCTAGTCCTCACATAAAGAAGGAGGCGGAAGGGGGCGGGGGAAGGGGAGGAACCGGAAGTCGGAATAGCAGCCACGGGAAGTCAGGAGAACGGGTGGGCGGAAGAGAGGGTGTGAGGCTATTATTTCAGGCTAAGTCCTTGCGGTCAAGACCAAGGGAGAGGCTAAGTAAAGTAGGGGTGCCCGTAGGATAGCCTACCTTAGCCCGGGCTGCTGTAATGAAAATACCATAGACCAAGTCCTTTGTAAACTCCGAGATTTCCTGTGGTTCTGGAAGCTGGGAAGTCCAGGCTCAAGGCACTGGCAGGCTCAACGTCTGGCGAGGGCCATCTTTTGGCTGTGTCCCCCCACGACAGCCACTCTTTGGGGTCTCTTTTTGTCAGGGCACTAACTCCATGCATGAGGGCCCACCCTCATCACCTCACGCCTCCCAGAGGCCTCACATCCGAATTCCACCACATTGGGGCTGAGATTTCAACCTGTGCGTTTGGGGAGACACATTCAGTCCATGCCCAGCCCCTGACACCCGCCTAGGAAAGCTACATGCAAGCGGCCCGAAGCTGCCTCTCAAAGCCTAGTGCGGTTTTTCGGGGCCATGTGGCTTGATTTTCCAGGAAGCAGGGACTTCTCCTTCCTCACAATCACTGCTTCTCTCTGCCACGTGCTCAGCCCAAGTGGCTCGGAGTGACCCAGAGTGAGGAACCGTCTGTCATCTGCCACAGCTCTTCCTCCTGCCCCTGACTGGGGGCGGCCCCCAGCACCTGCTACTCCTCACCCCGACTCCAGACCCTCTGTTCCTGTTGGTGGCATCAAATCTCTCCTCATCAACCCATGGCTGAGCAAGACTGTGCTCATCCCAGGCAAGCCAATACCGTGGCACTCCTTCAAACCTGTAGTTCATTTATTTTTAAGTATGAAAAATTGCTAATATTAAAAAAGGAGGGAGAACCGTGTGATGAACTTCCATGGTCCCATCCCCCCGTTTGGACAATTATTCACGAAGTGGCCAATCTTTGTTCATTCATATGCCCAACCATCCCTCCCTCCCAGTGGGTTATTTGAAAACAATTCGCAGGAATTATATCATTTCATTCTTAAAGATCGTAGGAAGCGCATACTCTGCAATTAGTTGTCCCTTGTTAGGGAGAGAAGAGGCTGAATGTCCAGTGTGTGGAATGGATGGAGAAATGCCCTCTAGTGGAGGGACCTGTAATCACCACTCTGGTTGCCCAGCAGTTCTGCTCAGGCCCATACCTGCACGCAGGCCCGCCCTCTGAACGTCAGCGGTTGGCTCCCGCTCGGCCTCGCAACTCCCTTGCTGAGTTCGGATAACAAAAATGTTCTGAAACCAAACGGCGGTGACTGCACAAGCTGGCGAACGTACTACAGAACACTGACTTGACACATGAAAGGGTGATTATTGTTGCATGTGCTTTACATCTAAATAAACATTAAAAAAATGCATACCCCCCCAAAAAAAAGAAAAAGGAAATACTAAAACACACCACCACCAAATAGACTGAACTCGAATCAGATCGCATCTCTTGATCCAACTACCAGTTCACAGAAGATGCAGAGAACAGATAAACATACTATAAAGGACATCCAGGCTGAGAGTCTCTACAAGACCAAACATGCTGTTTTGTCAACAAATAAATGTGAAGACTAGGGAGTGAGAACAGAGAGCATTGAAGGACACCCAGGAACATATCAACCAATTGCAATAAGCAGATATTATTTGGGTCTTGAGTTAAACCCCAAAATAACTGTACAAAAGTATAAGTCGCAGTGAGAGGATCTGACCTCTGACCTGGGGGTAGCACTTCGCAGCTGCCTGGCCTTGGGCAGGAGACTTGATCTCTCTGTGCCTCAGTTTCCTCATTTGTAAAATAGATAGTGTAATACTACTCAGGCTGTTGAAAGGCAGCAGTTTTTAAACTTTTTGGTCTCTAGAACCCTTTTCCAAGGGCACTTTTAAAAACTAATGAAGCTCTGGCTGGTGTGGCTCAGTGGCTTGAGTAACAGCCTGAGAACTGAAGGGTTGCTGGTTCGATTCCCAGTCAGGGCACGTGCTTGGGTTGTGAGCCAGGTGCCCAGTAGGGGGCGTGTGAGAGGCAACCACACACATTGACGTTTCTCGCTTTCCATGACTTCCCCTCTCTCTAAAAATAAATAAAATCTTTTTTTTAATTAAAAAAAGAAAAAAATTATTGAAGACCTTTGAGATTTTGTTAAGTGCCTTAGATCTATAGATATCTATTGCGACTAGAAATTTAAACTGATTTTTTTTCTCATATTGATTATTTTAAAAATAGACATTATAAGTTTTTTACATTTTAAAAAATATTTGTTCACTTATTTTTTTAGAGCCAGGGGAAAGGAGGGAGACAGAGGCGGAAGAAAGGTCGATCGGTTGTATGTCCTCTGACAGGGAACCGAACCTGCAACCCAGGCACATGCCCTGACCAGGAATCCAACCGTGACCTTCCACTTCACAGGACAATGTCCAACCAACTGAGCCACACCAGTCAGGGCTAACATAACTATTTTTTAATAAAAGTGACTTTCCCCCCAAACAACAAAGTCCTGAGAACAGCGACATTATTCATGTATCTGTGAATATCTGTAACGCCTGGCTCGTTATAGAAGCTGACCCTCAAGTCCGCTCCTGCATGTTCTTCAGTCTATTGCGACACACTGTCAAGTGTCTCCTGTCAAGTACACGAAGAACATCTAGCCTTTCGCTCATAAACGGGGCAAAAGGGACAACCTTGGGGAGACCCTCCGGGCACTGGGAAACCTCAAGAGTCATCTGCTGAATTTCGAGAGCAGATGGAGGATTGAATGAAGAAATATTTCGAAAGCACTTAGAATAATGCCTGGTACATGGCGAAGATAAGCATTATGTATTTTTTAAATCAAAATAAAACAAATGCCCTACACGTTTTAAAAAATTTTTTTTAAGTTTCAGTCCACGTGCACCAGGTAGGAGTGGGCTTTCCGGCTCCAAGGGCGTGAAGGATTTTTCCTGCCTTCAAGGAGTTCCTAGTTTGCTGGGGGCGTCGTAGGTGTAACCACACGGATCAAACTCAGTACCCCAAGGGCACATTGATGGGAGAAGGTGGCAGGGGTCCCCAACCCCTGCGGGAGGGGTAGGAAGAGGGGAGGGGTCGCAGGTCCAGGGTCTCCTGGTGGGGGTGGGATGTGTGATGGACAAGAGGATTTAGCCAAGTCAAAAGGCCTGGGGCTTGGGAAAAGGGAACTCGGGGTGCGGAGATCCAAGCCCCGGCCTCGCGTTCTCCGTAATATGGCCTGTGTGTCACCAGGACCCCTTGAACCCTGCGCCCACCTCCGGGAGGTGGGGGTGGGGGGTCACCTCTCCGCCCGCGCAGGGCCCGGCGCCGCCAGGTCTGCCAGTGGCCGGGTTGGCGGGGAGGATCTGCGGGCAGCGGGGTGGCGGTCGGCGCTTCCTCCCCAGAGTGGGCCCCATCCTGGAGTCCACCTCACGACTCCCCCATTGCTCTCCGACGCAGGGGCCGCCCCGGACCCGGCGAATCGCCCAGAAACTAGAAACCTCGGTCACCGCCGCCTCCGCCCCCCTCCTCCCGGACAGCCTCGACCCCGCCGGGCTGCGAGTGGAGGGGAGGAGCCGGGATCCAGCCGGGGAGGGGGCGGCGCGTCCGAACGCGCTGGGGGCGCCGGGGGGTGGGGAGAAGGAAGGTCGGCGGGTGGAGCCGGGGTCCGGGCGCTGCAGAGTCGGCCTGTGAGGGGGGCTCGTTGCCGGTGCGGACGTCAGGGCGCCCTCCGGCGGCAGAAACCGGGCGCCCCCCTCGCCAGGCCGGGATCGGGGCGGGGCGCGCGGCATCCCTGCGGGGGGGAGTCGGCCACCCGGCCTCGCCGCCGCCAAAGTTTCCCGGAGCAGCGGCGGCCGCCCTTCCTTCCCGAGTCCGGGACCCGGGGACGACCCTCCGGCGAGAACTGTTTCCGAGGGCAGCGCGGCCCGGTCTGCGGCCAGACCCCGCGCCTCCATTGCTCCCAACTCGGATTCCCAACTTGGGAGGCGCCGCGGGCCTGCGCACGCGCGCCTTCCTCGCCCCCTCCTCCTCCTCCTCCTCCCGGCGCTTGGGAGCAGGATCCGGGCCGAGCGGGCGCCGAGCCCCGCACCCCGCGCGTGGACCGGCTCCCGGCGCGCCGCTCCGCCCATGCCGACGCCGGCCGCCCGCCCGGGACGCCCTCGCCTGAGGGCCAGCTGAGCGCGGCGGGCGCGGGGTGGGCCCGGCCGGGCGCTGCCCTCCACAGCGGCAAGTTTGGGAGTTGCACTAGTTTGCGGGGTCGCGGCGGAGAGGCCGGGCGGGGGCCATGGAGGAGGACTCGGGGTCGGCCGCGGAGTCGGTGCTGGAGAAGAACGTGGCGGAGCTGACCGTCATGGACGTGTACGACATCGCGTCGCTGGTGGGCCACGAGTTCGAGCGGGTCATCGACCAGCACGGCTGCGAGGCCATCGCGCGCCTCATGCCCAAGGTCGTGCGCGTCCTGGAGATCCTGGAGGTGCTGGTCAGCCGCCACCACGTCGCGCCCGAGCTGGACGAGCTGCGCCTGGAGCTGGACCGTCTGCGCCTGGAGAGGATGGACCGCATCGAGAAGGAGCGCAAACACCAGAAGGTGAGCCGCGGCCTCCACCAGCCCCTGCGGGCCGTGGGGCCGCCGGACCCGAGGGCCTTTCAGCACCGGGCACACGTGGGTGTCCCGGGACTAGATGGGAGGAGGCCCGCCTGGACCACAGAGCTGAGTTCCAATCCCACCTTTACCGTTGAGCAGCTGTGTGACCTCGGGAGAGTTCCTTAACCTCTCTGTGCTCTATCCCTCACCTGTCCCTCGGTGAAGGTAACAGGACCCACCTTAGAAGAAGTGAATGGGGTATTATCTAAAGTGCCTACCTAGATGAGAGGACCTTTTTTCAGAAACGAAATCAGCTTCCTGCCCTTCAGTGTTCCCCGAGAAGACAAGACGGCGTCATTCCAGGCCCCTTTTTCCATTTTCCCTATGAACCCCCACTCAGAGCAAAGGGACTGTGGCCGCCAACCACTGGGCACACCGACCCCCATCCCTGGGTTCCTATTTGCAGTTGCGTCCCAGGGTTCCTTCTGGTTCAGTAACCTGAGCTCTGAGGTGCTTTCCCCTCCTTGATTGTGTCTTGAATTCACACAGAACTCTGTGAGGGATGAACTGTTATCTTCATTTCAGGATTGAGAAAACTGAGGGGCTGTTTGGGGGGTGGGATTCGCTGAGGGAGCCCCCTGCCTAGGGGAGAGAGAGGGCTCTCCGGTCTCTTCCCCACCTCTTTAAACTGCGGGCAGACTTAAAGTTGCGCCTCTGTCCTATGAATAGCCTTCCCTCGGGGCTCATGAATCAGGACCCCCCCACCTCGGGCCTGGAGTCCTAAGGAGGTGCCTGGAGAAAAGGAAGTGGGTGACTGTGGTTTCCTGTCCCAACCTCAGCCCAGGGAAGCTCTTGTCAGACCCTTCCGACCCATAATAGGAGGAAACGCCTTTCCTTGGGGAACCACTGGGTGGCCGACAGGCTCCGGCTTGCTGTGTGGCCTCAGGAAATACATGCGGCCTCTCTGAACCTCCCCGGGAGGGCATCACCTGTTGCGCAGGCACCTCCAGGTCCCGGGGTTTTCACAGACAGCCTAGTCTGCGTCTGCGTCTTCACAGCGGGGTGGTTAAGGGCCGTGGGCTTGGTGAGGCTGGACTCTGTCGCACAGGTCCCTGTGCCCCGGGCTCAGAAAGGAAACTCCAGCCCCCTGAGTTCGTCACCATTTCCCAGATCCCCAGGGCAAGCTCCGAATGGCCCAGCCCTGCAATCGGAGTCGGGATTCCCAGGAGCGGGGACCTTGGAGCTGGACAGCCTGGTTTGCAGCCCCTCTGCTCACAGGCTCTGGGATGTTGAGCACATTACTCAGCCTCTCTGTGCCTCAGTGTCCTCAGCTGGAAAATGGGACAGGAGCAGCACCCATCCTGTCGGGTGGGGGCCAGAATTAAGGGGGGGTCCATATCCGTGAAGTCCCCAGGACAGTCCACAGCTCATTGAGGTGGGGGTGGGGGACTAACAAGTGTTAGTGTTAATACTGTTTTAAGGCCTGGAGAGGCTTTCACTGAGGTACTCATAAGCTGATACTGGGGACCCCACCCCCATCCCAGGCACCCCTACTCCTACCCCAGATGCTTTCCATCTCTCAGGGTGGGAAGGGATCTTTGAAACCCTCTCCTGCCTCTTATACTCAGGGACCAAGGGGCCGAGCCCAAGTCACCCTGGTCCTGGCACCCAGGTCCCCACTCCTGGCTTTTAGTTCTGCCGCCGGGCTTGGGGGCGCCCCTTGGAGTCATCGGAGGCCACTGGGCCTGGTCTGGCCTGGGAGTGGACGGAATTCCCAGCCGGCCGCACTTGTCGCCTCTGGAGCGCTGTCGGCTGGGGAGTAAACACCAGCGAGCCAGCAAGCGAGCACAGAGGCAGGGATCGTTTGTGAACACTGAGGACGAGCGCTCCTAAATCAATACAGCGCCCTCCCTTCCCTGTCCCAGCCCCTCTAAGGCTTTACTGTATTCTTGGGGAACCGGGAGAAGCGTCTGGTCCCCCCTCCCCATCCCCACCGTCTCGGACTCTTCACGGTATTATTTCCACAAATGTAGAACATGTCCTTGGTCTGATCTGTTTGTCCCTATTTTTCTTTCTTCCTTTCTTCCTTGTTCTACCTGGTTATGGAGTCCGGAACCCCACGGACGAGCCACAGCATGCTGAGTGCCCTCCTAGGTGACGAGGGCAGAGAGGAGAGGCGGGCGGGGCCCACCTGGGGCAGGGGGTGGGTGTCGGGGAGGGCAGGAAGCACCCACAGACAGGTGTTTGAAGGCCGCGGCCGTGTGGGTGCAGTTGCCTGTGATGTAAATAGCATGTGTTGTCCACTCATTCATTAAACAGATGTGTTTACTGCACCCGGCACTGTTGTGGGAGACCACGGTGACCACAGGTGAGGTCTGGACCCTCAGGGACCCAAACTTCTAGTACAGAGCTGTCCCATAGAAATATAATGCGATTTGTCACGTGAAGGAGAAGACACAGATGAGGTTCATTTTTAACACATCAGACCCAGTCCATCCAAAACGGGGCGGGGCAGGCAGAAGCAGGGGTTCAGGGGTGAGTGACATTCGTTCCAGTTCGCGGGCTGCCGTGAAAACCCTGCCAGCCCTAACCTGCGTGTCTCTCCATCCGAACAACTGTAAACCTACCTTCGCCCCCTCCTTTACGATTTCGACATGTAATCGGTGTAACAAATTCTTTTTATTGCGCTGAAATTGACCCACTGTATCAATGCCAGGGGTACAGTGTAATGATCTGATACGTGTACAGATGGTGACATGATCACCAGAATAAGTTAACAGTCATCACCTCTCATAGTTACAAAACATACTGTTAATTAGATAGCTTTTTTTTTTTTTTTTGCACTGTCTTTCCTAAACTCAGTGCCTGTTTACTTCCTGGCGCCCATTTCAGTCCAGCCTGCCCCAGCCTGTTACTCTGGCTGGTACGTGGCGGGGCCCTCTGTGCCCTCAGCCCGAGCCAGGTGGGAGCCGACAGGGTCGGGCTGCAAGAGCCCGACTGCTCCCAGCCTCCCCGGCAGCACGTGGCCAGGTCGCATGCCCACTCCATCATTCCCTCTCCGCTTCCGCCTTCTGGCCATGCCCTTCACCTCTCCTGCTGACCTTGAGCCAGCTGTGCGAATGCTTGCTTATTACCTCTCATTTCCCCCCGTACTGCGAGCTTCCGGACAAAGGAGGTGGGATTTGGGAGCTTATTCAGGAAACAAACTTCGGGGAAGCTGACGTCTGGCTGCAGGGGCCACAGAAATCTGCTCTGGGCACTGTTCCAGCATTTGTTAACCGTTCAGTCCTCACAGCAGCCCCCGGAGGTGGGTGTTACACCGTCCCCCTCATTTCCATGGCTCCCGAAGATTGAAAAACTCGTCCAAGATCGGCTAGTAGGCGGCAGAAGCGATTCAGATTGTATCCACGCCTTAAACTGCAGTCGCAACCCACGCAGGCAAGGGCGGTGATGCTCTGTTCAGTTCGGGGCTTTACAAAACACCTGTTTTTAAATTTTTTTTTGGTAACAGCTTTATTGACTATAATTTGCATATTATGTAATCCACCCCTTTAAGGCATACAATTCAGTGTTTTTAGTCTGTTCACAGGGTTGTGCCACCATCGCTCCAATCAGTTTCAGAACATTTTCATTCCCCGGGAAAGAACCCCATGCCCCTTAACAGTGGCTCCTGGTCGACCCCGGCCCTCGGGCCCCAGGCAACTGCAGGCTGCTTTCTGCCACCGAGGGTTTAACTCGTCTGGGTGCCCCACAGCAGGGGCACCCTACAGCGTGGGGCCCTTTCTGTCTGGTGGCTGTCACTTACCATGATGTTCTCAGGGTCCGTCCGCATGGTGGCAGGTGTCCCTGTTTTGTTTCTTTTCATGGCCTAGCCTCAGTCCGCTGCGTGGGTGGACTACATTTTACTACGTTTTACTCACGTACGCAGCGCACTGATGGATATTTGGGTCGTTCCGACCTTTTGGATGTCATGCATAGTGTCGCGGTGAATGTCGACATACCTGTCTTTGTGTGGACATGTTTTCATTCCTTCTGGGCAGGTCCTGGGGGTGGAATGGCTGGATCATACAAGGGGGGACCCCAAAAAAGGGGATTCATTTATTAAAAGTTGTGTATTTATTCTTACATGTTTAAACTTCAGTCACCTTCAAAGGACTCAGCATTTGATGCAATACACCTATTGAGATTTTTTCCACTCCTCAAAGTAGTTATTTTTAAAGATTTTATTTACTTTATTTTTAGACAGACTGGTGAGGAAGGAAAAAAACATCAATGTGTGGTTGCCTCTCACACGCCCCCTACAGGGGACCTGGCCAAAATCTAGGCATGTGCCCTGATTGGGAATTGAACCGGTGACTCTGGTTCGCAGGCGAGTGCCCAAGCCACTGAGCCACACCAGCCACAGTCAAAACAGTTTTTGAACTCGTCAGTTTTGATACTTTTTAGTGCTTCTGGTGTGTTTGTTTGTTTGACCTCTTCTTCCATGTCGGCTAAACGCTTTCCTTTGAGGACTTGTTTTGTTCGGGAAACCAAAAAAAAGTCGCTCAGGGTGAGATGGGTGAATAGGAAGGGTGGGGCATGGGCGTCAGGCTGGTTTTGATGCAGAACTGCTGACCACTCAGCAGTGTGGGCAGGTGCGCTCAAAAACCGCTTACCACAAAATAGACAAACCGTGTTGAAAGCCTGAACTACGAGGGGCCCACCCTCCAGAAGATAATTCCGCTTTTTGGGGGGGGTCCCCCCTCGTGTGCTATTGAAGGTTTTGAGAACCTGCGAGACTGCCTCCGCTTTGGCATCCCCCCAGCAATGCAGGCGTTTGCAGTTTCTTTCTAGCCTGGCCAGTACTTGTTACTATGTTTCTTTGATGACAGTCATCCATGAAATTATTTTTTAAAGGTTAATTAATTTATTCATCCATAGAGAAGGGAGGGAGAAAGAGAGGGAGAGAAACATCAATGTATGGTTGCCTGTTGCGCCCCCTACTGGGGGCCTGGCCTGCAACCCAGGCATGTGCCCTGACTGGGAATCAAACCAGCGATGCTTTGGTTCACAGGTCAGTGCTCAATCCACTGAGCCACACCAGCCAAGGCTCCACGAAATTATTTTAATAGATGAAGCTTGTAAGCCTCACATCACCCTGTAAGCCTCTATATGAAGACTCCTCAACTGAGGGAAACTGAGGCTCCGTGGTGAAGAGTCACTTAGGACAGCTTGAAGAGGTATCTCTGTGAGGCACACGAGGCACTCTGGGGGCAGGTGGCCACCCCCGGGGTCTTTGCAGCCTCTGCCTCCTTGGAGAGAGGTTTGTCCCGGCACAGGGTCTGTGCGAAGGTCAGAGAGAATGGGGAGGTGAGGTCCCCACAGCCCAGGGCTGCTCGCCCCTCTCTCCTGTCCAGACAGCAGGCAGTGTGAGCTCGAGCACCGCATTGTCCTTGGACCCTAACAGAGGAAGGGCACCTCTGTTGCTGGCAAAGTCGCCACGCGAGCTAGTGGTGGCCAAGGCCTGGTGCTCGTGGGGAAGGGGGTCCCGAAGCCCCGGCAGCCCCGAACCGCTCCCGAGGACCGGTGGGAGAGGAGGCTGCCGCCCCACGCCGCCCGTCACCTTCGCAGGAGCTGGAGCTGGTGGAGGACGTGTGGCGGGGGGAGGCGCAGGACCTGCTGTCCCAGATCGCCCAGCTGCAGGAAGAGAACAAGCAGCTGATGACCAACCTCTCGCACAAGGACATCAGCCTGTCCGAGGAGGAGTTCCAGAAGCACGAAGGTGAGAGCAGGGGTGGGGTCGGGAGGAGGCTGGTCCCACTGTCCTCACCTGGCAGCGGCCGTCTCTGAGCGATGGTGCAGTGCGTTCTAGTTTCCGAGCCTTTGTCTCCGACTGTCACCTTCCCTCCACCCGAGGGGCGCTGCGGAACCTAAGTGACAAGTGTTGAAAGTGAGAGGTCTGTTCATTCAGTGGTTGCAGGTCCCCCACCTGTCTGGGCACTGGGGCTGCGCGGGGGGTCAGAGGCATCACCTGCCCTTAGGAAGCTTGTACCCATGTGGAGGGGACAGGTGATAAATCCGTGAACAGATGGCTGGGGGACCCATTTCCAGGTGGTAGCCAACGGTGTGGGAGAGGTGAAACGGGAGTGTGATGGAAGCGCTTTGGTGCCGGTTTTCTTCACGTGTGTTGATCGGGGAAGCCTCCCAGAGGAGTGGCATTCGAGCCCTAATGAAGTGGTGGCGTGAGCCGTGCAAATAGCCTGGGAGGGAAGTGCGTGCAAAGGCCCTGGGGCATCGTGTTTGGGGGAAACCAGGGCCGGTGCAGCAGAGAAGAGGCTCGAAGGTTCATCAAAGTTCCAAAGGATCAGCGGGGGTCCAGTCACAGAGCTTCTTGGGGGCTCAGGTTTCGATTTTACCCCAGGTGTGCCAGGGAGAAGCTGCAGGCGCCTGTCACAGGCCCGCGTTTGGCGACGTCTGAATGGTGCCTGAACCTTCACATGTCACTCACTCTCCCACAGCCACCTGGCACCTTCAGTTCTGGCCCTCCGCCGGCACTGGGGAAGCACGCAGACAGTGGGGTTTGGTCTCGGCCCCCGATGGGCTCCTTCCCACTCCGAGGCCACTTCTAATCCCCAAGGGCTCTCAGACTCTGAGTAAACACCCTGGGTCCCTCCCCAGGTCCCCTCCCCATGTTTGATGGGATGGCGGACGGACTCTCGTAGGGCACCCACAGTTCAGAACTTGTGGTTACGACTCTCAGAGACGAAAGCACCGGTGAGGAACGTGGGGCCACGAGGAAAGGAAACCTCTGGCGCAGGTGCTGGAATTTCTTTGCCACGAGTTTCCTTTGTCAAGATGTGACTCACCCAAGGAAGTTGAATGTCTCAGTGGCCGTAAGCACGGGCTCCACAGCCAGGGGCCCGGGTGTGAGTCCTGACCCCAGTACTTACCTGCCGAGTGACCTTGATTAAGCCATATGACCTTGGTGTGCCCAGGTGCCCCACATAAAAATGGAAATAACCGAGTCTTCCTCATAAGGTTGCTGTGAGCATTAAGTGGACTAACGTGTCAACGGATCAGCCTGGTACCCGGTACATACACTCAGCAGGTGTGAGCTACGATTACTATGAGTTACTGTATCCAGTGGGACCTCCTTATTGAGCAGCTGAGAAACCTGAGGCAGAGAGAGTTCATTATCCCTTTTTATGGCTTAGTAATATTCCATTGGCCAGCGAGACCACAGTTTACTTTTGCATTTGTCTGTGGGTGGACTTCGGGTTGCTTCTGATGTAGGGCTTTTGTGAGTTGCGCTGCCGTGAACGTTCTGGTGCAGGTTTTTTTATGTCTGGGTGTCGCATGGTAACTGTGTTCGGCTTACTGGGGAACCTCAGCCATCTTTTCACCTGTGACATGTCTGCAGGGCACAGCAGGCCTCTGGGGGCGGCCTGGGAACTCAGGGTCCCAGGGCCACTGCCTCATACACTGTTGCTCCATGGGGGGAGCTCGGCTCAGCTTTCCGCATCATTGCCCAGCTTGTCGTGAAACAACCCATGTGGCGCGATTTGAGACGCACGCCCTTCATTGGCCTCTCACGTGGCTCCAGCTCCCAAAGCGTTGGCTTGGGGAGGCTGGGGTTTTCCCTCCGCAGCAGCCCCACCGGACGGACAGACAGGGCAGGGGCCGGGTGCCTTTCACAGTTCCTTTTTTTTTTTTAATTTATTTTTTATTGATCATGCCATTACAGTTGTTCTATTCCCCCCTTCATTCCCCTCCACCCTACCCCCCCATCCCCACCATTACCCCCCTTTAGTTTATGACCATGTGTCTCAAGTCCTTTAGATTCTATATTTCCCATACTATTCTTGCCCCCCCCATCTACTTTCTACCTACCGTCTATGCTACTTATTTTCTGTACCTTCTCCCCCCATCTCCTCCTCCCACTCCCCTGTTGCTAACCCTCCACATGATCTTCATTTCTATGTTTCCACTCCTGATCTAGCTGTCCTTTTAGTTTGCTTTTGTTTTAGGTGTGGTTGTTAACAACTGTGAGTTTGCTGTCCTTTGACTGTTCATGTTTTTTTAACTTCTTTTTCTTAGATAAGTCCCTTTAACATTTCATATAATAAGGGCTTGGTGATGATGGACTCCTTGAATTTGATCTTATCTGAGAAGCACTTTATCTGTCCTTCCATTCTAAATGAAAGTTTTGCTGGATTTAGCAATCTTGGTTGTAGGTCTTTGGATTCCATGACTTGGAATACCTCTTTCCAGCCCCTTCTTGCCTGTAAGGTCTCTTTTGAGAAATCTGCTGACAGTCTGATGGGGACTCCTTTGTAGGTGACTGTCCCCTTATCTCTTGCTGCTTCTAGGATTCTCTCCTTCATTTTAATCTTGGCTAATGTAATTATGATGTGCCTTGGTGTGTTCCTTCTTGGGTCCAACTTCTTTGGGACTCTCTGAGCTTCTTGGATTTCCTGGAAGTCTATTTCCTTTGCCAGATTGGGGGAAATTCTCCTTTATTATTTGTTCAAGTAGTTTTCCACTGGTGGCTGTTCCTTTCCCCCTTGTGGTACCCCTATAATTCGGATGTTGGAGCGTTTAAAGATGTCCTGAAGGTTCCTAAGTCTCTCCTCATTTTTTTGAATTCTTGTTTCTTCATATTTTCCTGTTTGGTCATTTTTTTCTTCCTTCTGGTCCACTCCCTTGATTTGAGTCCCAGTTTTCTTTCCATCACTATTGGTGTCCTGTGCAATTCCATTCATTTCAATTAGTTTCGCCTTCATATGTTTGTCTAATTTGTGACTATAATCAACCAGTTCTGTGAGCATCCTGATCACCAGTGTTTTAAACTGTGCGTCTGAGAGTTTTGCTATTTCTTCATCGCTTAGATTTATAGGCTCTGGAGCTTTGAGATCTTCTTGAGCCATTTTTGGTCTGTTCGAGCTTATTAAGTATGAGGAGCGGAGCCTTGGACTCCCAGGTCGCTGGGTTGTGACGCTGTATGTGGGGGCGTGGTCAGAGCGGGGAAATGGCGACCCCCTCTGCTGTTTCACGTCCCTGGGTGAGGAGCAGAGCCTTAGGTTGTTCACCAGAGCCGGGCCACTCAGAGTCGCTGGGTTATGACGCGGTCAGGCTGAAGAATTTGTTGTTAACAGACTTCCGGTAAGTTCAATTTTCTGTATTCTGGCTGTTTTCTGTGCTAATATTTAGTTGTCTCTAAACTTGGTTGTGTGAGGAAGCACGACGTCTCCACCTGTGTCTCCACCTTGGCGGAAATATATCTCCGTATTTGAATCAAAACCTGGGAGAATGGTAGATTCCCGTATCAAAGACCACCTCATATTCCTGCTCAAGCCTGCAATTCTTGTAGGGATAGGGAGAGGAGGGCTTTTTTTTTTTTTCACGGTTCTTTTCAGTTTGCACAGAGGTGCATGGGGACATGAGGACAAAAGGGTGTCCTCCTGTGGGAGGAAGGGCACTGGGGCAGAGGCTGCCGGGAGACAGGTGTAGCCTGCAAAGTTAGATTGAGCACCTTGGGGAGACTGAGGACTTAGGGGTGCAGCCATGAGGCGGGGTGAGAGGAGCCGGCCCCCTGTGCAGAGTGCTGCCTTCTGGGCCATCACCAACGGGCGCCTCGCTCGGAGCCCCCGCGGCAGTCTGCTGTCTCCCACGCCTGCCCTTCTCCAGGTTCAAAAGCATTTCCCTGCCCCTGGTTTTCAGAAACCTGCCCACTGGAGGGCATCGATGGAAACTACTTGTTAGCACACGCGGAAATAAATTACAGGCGTCCGAGCTGTTGGACTGAGAGACGGGGGTGCAGAGATACGGGGCTGGGAAGTTCTTGAGTTCCCCGCAGGCGACTCCATCAGCAGACTGACCGGGACTGGCTGACCGGCCCCATCCTCAGGTTCCTCACCTGCAAAATGGGAGCCGCAGCTCCCAACTCCGGGAGGGCTGTGCAGACGTATCAGACGCAGTGCGGCCCAGAGCAGGTGTGCGCATGGGCAGTGACGCTGGCTTTTCCTGCCTGCGGCTGCTCATGTGGAAGCCAAGAGGCGGTGGTAGGAATTTCAGCTCAATACAAAGTTGTAGTGCACCCCCTGCCTCAAAACGAAAGAAAGTAAGTGTTTTTCAGGGATGTGTACTAAAGTTACTGAGTTGCACAACATTCATGACAGTCTAATTTTAGAACTTTCCAGCTCCCCCCCCAAGAAGCCTCACGCCCACATACAGGCTGCTGTTACTCGGCTTTTTGTCCCTGTGGATTCGCCTGTTCTGGATGTTTCCGATAAATGGAATCATAACACGTAGGGTCTTTGTGTCTGCCTGCTCTCACTCAACGTCCTGTCCCCTGGGGTGTAGCAGGACTCAGGGCTTCACGCCTTTTTGTGGGTGAGTAATATTCCGTAGGCTGGACCACATTTGTTTATCCATCCTGGGGTGGATGTCTGGGCTGTTTGTACAATATTTACAATATTCGGCCCTTGTAAATAGTGCTGCTATGACTTTGTCACTTTCCGTTCCCACGTAACATTGTAGCTCAGTCTTTCAACCTGCTGCCTGGTGTCCCACTGTGTGGAGTGCATGTTTATTGAATGATTTCCTTGCTGGTGGTCATTGACATTGTTGCCATCTTTTTGCCACTACAAAGGTGTCTCACCCTCTCTTTCAACCTCCTGAATTGCCGGGGGACTAAGTGATTGCTGAGAAGTCCTCCAGCTTTTAACAGTGTCCGTGAGTCTGTTAAAGACACTTAACCCTCCTCTCAGTTTTCAAGGCTCTGTCGTAACCACCACTGGACTTTATCTTAGCTCCGCTCTCGCCTCCGGGGCAGGGAGGACCGGAATTCCCATTTCAAGGGTGAAACGACAGCTGGCACTTGCTCCACGCCAGGCCTTCTGCACGATTAGCCTGTGCGGCCTCCCAAGAGTGCGCCAGGTCGGAGACCCCACAGGACACCCATTTGCAAGAAGCAAACAAGCTGAGGTCAGTAGCAGAAAGGTGGCCACGTGAGGACCGAGGCCAAGAAATCCAGCTTCAGACCTCGAGCTCTTGACCATTTTGTTCAGCACCTGTCGGCCATGCGGCCACAGACGCCCATAAAGTGGGTGACGTGTAGCTGGCTACAGAGCTGGGGTTTCTTTCTTGGATTCATGCTCCCCCCGCCGCCACTGAGCTGTTCTTCACGCCGGACTTCTCCAGGAGTGGCACCTGCCCCCCGGCCAGGGTGAAGGAGCTCGGCCCACGGCGCCCCGCCCAGAGCCTGTGGTCCAACGGGCACACGGAGAGCAGACTGCAGGGCTCGCTGTGGCTTTTTCCCAGACTCCGCCCACAGCCCGTCCCAGCCCCGCCCCACGTGTATTCACACACTGTGTCCCAGAGACACTTTTGTGGGGAGGTGTTAGCAATGCTCTCTTGTCCCCCAGGCTGTGGCCCAGGGGTGTTGGGAACACTCCTTCATGGTGGCCACTGCCTGTGTGGGAGTGTCCAGGACAGGAGCAGGGACACCAGCGGAAAAGACCCAGATGGGAGAGCAGCGTGGAGGCGGGAGTCCCACCCCGGAAGTAGTTGAGGAGTCGCACGCATGGCTTGGTTGATGTGGCCAGGAGTCGCTGAGTCCCAGCGGGGAGGGAAATGGGGGGCGTTCCTCCCTTCTTAATCTGTGGTTGAGCCTGACCACATCCCCAGCCCGGTTGGGGAGGGGGGGGAGGGTTAGCCATGAGTGCCTGCCTGTAGGAGGCTGCATGATGGCCCCTGACTTATCAGGTCCTCATCCCTGGGACCTGTGGATGCTACCTTATATGGTAAAATACCCACGTGAGCCCTGGATTACTGGGGTGAGCCCTAAGTGCCATCGTAGGCATCCCTGTAAGAGGGAGGCAGAGTGATTTCGCGTAGGCAGAAGACAGGTGGTGTGACCAGAGAGGAGGCAGAGACCTGAGGGATGCGGCCACAGGTCAAGGCTTGCAGGCAGCCCCGGCCGCTGGGGGAGGCGGGAACACACTCTTCCCGGAGCCTCCAGAGGGAGCGAGGCCCTGGCGACACCTCGATCCGGGGCTGATTTTAAACCCTCAGTTTCCAAAACTGTGAGAAATGAATTCCTGCTGTTCCCAAGCTACCAGACCTTGTTGGTCATTTGTCCCAGTGGCCACACGAGCCCAATCCAGCACCCACCCTCCCGGCTCATTCATCCACCCGGTCCCTTAGCTGGCGCCTCCCTCATGCCAGGCCCTGTGCCAGCCCGGGGAATACACGGCAAACAGGCCGGGCAAGGACTTGCCTCCCGGGCCAGTCGTGTCCTTGGCGGGTGAGGGACAGACGGAACGGACAGTGAACAGGGGACAGACAGCACTGCACGCGCCTGGGCCAGGCACCGTCTTCCATGTTCGATGTGTGTGGGCACGATCGGGCGTCTCAGCTGCTCCGTGGGTACTGCTGGTCTCCTTCCTGTTCTGTTGAGGTGGAAACTGAGGCAGGGAGAGACCCACCTGAAGCCTCAGGGCAGCTGATGGCGGGGGAGCCTCTGCTCTGTGTCACTGTGCAGGAGTGTCATCTTTCCCCAGAGGAAAGAACGTACAAGACACTTGGCAACCGTGGCACGCACTGCGACGGTGCGCAGTGGGGCGATGGAGGGCATTTTTTATGGGGGTCGGGGAAGGCTGGAAGGGAGGGAGTGGCGGGCACCTCGAATAGCAGTGGCTAGTGCACGGGCTCCGGGGAGCTTGGAGGGGTGCAGGGACAGGAAGCCTGCGTGGGGTGGGGGGTGGGAGGGGAGTGGGACCTGAGGCCGGCCCTGGGGCCCGGGGCCCAGTCTCATCTCAGTGGGAAGCTGGCGGATGGTTCCTGCAGGGCAGGGAGGCGGGCTCACCGGCGGGTCTCGCTCCCCACCCCCTACCCCAGGCATGTCGGAGCGGGAGCGGCAGGTGATGAAGAAGCTGAAGGAGGTGGTGGACAAACAGCGGGACGAGATCCGGGCCAAGGACCGGGAGCTCGGTCTGAAGAACGAGGACGTCGAGGCCGTAAGTGAGGAGCCCCCACCCCGTGTCCATTCTCCGGACAGTAGGTTCTAGCGAGAGACACCGTCCCCCTCAGGAGGCTCCTCTGTCCCCCAGGACCCGTTCTGTGGAGGCCAGGCTGTGGGCTCCGTGGGGTGGGGGTCCTGCCCCAGGCTTGGCGGGCCGGGCCCTGAGACAGCAGGAGGGAACGTGGGTCTGCCCAGTGACCTGACTCCAGCCGCACACGCCCTGGGGACGTCCCCAGACCCCATCAGCCTTCGCTCTGACCCTGAGGCTTCCCCCTTAATAAATGGCTCCTTGGGCCCACCCACTTTGTGCCCACCAAGCTGGTCTAAGAGCCTATAAAATGTCTCTGCTTGAATTAGAAAAAGACCCCAGTCCGTAGCTGGGTCGCTCAGTTGGTTAGAGCACCGTCCTCATAGGCCAGCGTTGAGGGTTCAGTCCCTGGTTAGGGCACATACAAGAAGCAACCAGTGAACGCATCAGTAAGTGGAATGATAAATCAGTGTGCGTGTCTCTCTTTCCCTCCCTCCCTTCCTCTCTCTCAAATCAAAAGGGAGAAAAGGACACCCCTTTCTCAAGGCATGTTACTTCCATCTGCTAGGAAACTGTCACAATATACTAACAAGACACTTACCTTCCATCTGCCTTAGAATGATCATAGTAAATACACGAACGTCCCACCCCTGGCACCCACGCAGTCGTACGAACAGACGTGTGCAGTGTGAGTGGCACACACGAGCAGAGGGTGGCCCTGGGCAGCGAGCCCCACACGTGGCAGCCGCATCCAGTGGCCTGTCTGCCTCTCCAGCTGCAGCAGCAGCAGACCCGGCTGATGAAGATCAACCACGACCTGCGGCACCGCGTCACCGTGGTGGAGGCCCAGGGCAAGGCCCTGATCGAGCAGAAGGTGGAGCTGGAGGCTGATCTGCAGACCAAGGAGCAGGAGATGGGCAGCCTGCGGGCCGAGCTGGGGAAGCTGCGCGAGAGGCTGCAGGGGGAGCTCAGGGAGAACGGCGAGCAGGAGCCTGAGGTGAGGTGGGCGGACTGGTCTGCGGCGGGCTCAGGGCTAAGGGGCTGCCGGCCTGCGTTGTGTTCCATTTTCCCTGTTACACTTCAAAAAACGGAGCCCAGAGACAGCGAGCTGCTGCCTAGAGGACACACAGCGGGGGGAGTCAGGGCCTGGCACCCGGGACTCCCAGGGTGTTCTAGCCCAGGGTGTGAGGCTCAGAGATGGCTCTGGGGCCCCTGCCATTCATTCTTCGTCCGTTCATTCAAGTAATTACAGATCATACTGCAAATTCAGAGCAGCACCAATCACAGTAGCCAGAAGGTAGAAACACCCCCATATCCATCGGCTGATGAATGAATAAGTGAATGTGGTCCGTGCATCCGGTGGACCGTGCTGGGCCACGAAAAGGAGCGGAGCTCTGACCCCTGCTACCACCTGCACAAACCCCAAAAACATGCTACGTGGAAGTGCCGGCACCAAAGGCCGCACACGTCATGATTCCGTTTATTTGAAATGTCCAGAATAGGCAAATCCACAGAGACACAAAACAGACTGGTGGTCGCAGGGGTGGAGGAGGGGGGGCACGGATTGACTGCCAGTGGGGGCGGGGTTTCTTTGGGGTGATGGAAATGTTCTGGAATTACTGGTGATGCTTGCACAACTGAACGTACAGACAACACTGAATTCCGAACTGGAAAAGAGTGGACTTTCAGGTGGGAATTGTATCTCAATTTCTACCAAGCCGGTCCCTGCTCCACAGACGGGCGTGGCTGGGGCAGACCCTGAAACCTAGGGAGGGGCTGTGGCCTGGGGCCACCTGCATGGAGTCCAAGCGGGTTTGTCTCAGCGCCACTCTAGCCTTTCCCCACCTCCACGACCTTGGATGAGTGAGTCAGCCTCTCTGTGCCTCAGTTTCCTTCTCTCCAAAGTGGGAGTGATCCTGTGAGAACAGTACTTACCCCCAGGTTGCTGGCAGGAGAGTGGAATGAATTAGTTCATGTAAAGTGTCAGCTGTTGGGATTGTTGCCATACTAGTCTGGGGGAGTCGGAAGGGCCCTTCTGAGGAGGTGGTGGAAAGAGTGACAGCAAGCCAGAAGAAGGGGGGTGAGTTCCAGGTGGGGGAGGGGGTGGCCCTCAGGAGGCCCTGTGGCAGGAGAAAGGCAGGGCCGGGTGGGAGTGGAAGGTGGCCAGGTGGCCAGGGGATGGGGTGGGGGCAGGGCCAGCCCCGCAGGCCCAGTGGGCTGTTTCAGAAAAGCACAGTGAACCACTGGGGGGAAGCTCAGGGCTTGCTTTTCCTTCCAACAGATTACGGATTGTGTCAGGTTTGCGGGCGCCGTGCTAGTCTCCCGGGTTACAGGTGTGGGAGGTGAGACAGATGAGCTTACTGTCAGGATGGCTCAGGTCCCAGCACCCTTGTTAAGTAGCTTCTGAATTCAGGCCAGACACTGCTAGGTTGTCTGAAGGACAGGAACCTGGGAGGCAGACAGGGAGGTGAGGGAGCGAAGTCTCCCGAAGGAGAGGTTAGGGCCTGCTTTTGGCTGAAAATGACAGAAGGCTATGTTAAAATGAGTTTGTGTTTTTTTTTACAGGAATTTTTAGCTGTGTTGACTAAAAGCTTTGAGTGAAGGGTAGCTTCAGGTATAGCTGGTCCCAGGCGCCCAAACGATGCTATCAGGGATGCATTTCCGACCTTCTCTCGGTTTTGCTTTCCTCTGTGTTGGTGCCATTTTCACGCAGGCGCTTGTCATAGAGTGGCCCAGAGCTGGTACTCGACCAGCTTTGCAACCCCAGTGCAAAGAAATTGCCTCTTAAATTCCCAGCAAAAGTCTCAAGGAACCTTCTCATTGGCCCACCACTGAACCAATCATTGTGGCCAGAGATCTCGAATAGGCGTGTTCTTTGTTCCATGGTCACGTGGCTGCCCCTGGTGGTGCCCATCCCAGCTATAGGCACTGAAAGCGAGAAAGCAGACCTTCTCCCGGGGAAAATTGCGACGACTCAGCCCCCAGAAGTGTGGGGACGGAGGCAGGCCAGGTGCTGACAATAGCTGTTGTCTACAGCACCAGAGTCAGGGCCGAGACTGCCCCACGTAAAATCCCGAGCAGTGGGGGATGTAGGTCCCTCCACAGGATTCCAGCAGGGACTGACAGGACCAGCTGTAGGTGTCCCAGCTGTGGGCAGGTTGACCCAGGAAGGAGCTGGCAGCTTACAGGGCTGTTGGGAGACTTTTGTCATAATCCAGGCAGAGAAGGTGAGGGCGGGACCAAATCTACAGCAGTGGGACAGAGGGGCAGGACGCCAAAGACAGCCACTCGGCGAAGCTTGGGGTGGCCACCCTTCCCACCTCCTGGGCCCCACGGAGCTCGGGCCAGTGTGCACCTGGGCCAAAAGCCTCCGATCCTGGCTCCAGGCCTCTCTCAGGACAAGGACACTTCACGCCTCCTTGGCCTGACTGCCTGTGGGTTTCAGTTTCCTGTTCTGGCTCCGACAGGGCGGGACAGGACCGGGGAGTAACGTCAGGTAGCACGATGACTAACCTGCTGGGCTTCTTCCAGCGCCTGTTCCCAGGCTCCAGGCAGCTTCGCCGGGTTTGACTCTGTCCCTCGGAGCGGGGTGGCATTCGGGAATCTCATCACTCAAACGGGGAAGCCACTTGTGCTGGCTTCACCACCTGCTGCCCTGTGACCTGGGGCCCGTCCATCTCCTTGGTGGTCAGTTTCCTATCTGACCAATGAGGGGAGTGCACTTGACCTGAGCCAGTAGATCCAATAGTGTGGCTGGGGTAGAGGACCCTGGGAGTGAGGGGGCCCAGTGGCTTCTGCATTGAGAGGCGAGGGCGGTGCAGGTCTTCAGACCCAGAGAGGGGTTTTGTGGGATGGGCAGGGTGGGCAGGGGTGGAGAGTGGGGCCGGCCGTTCCAGGCGGGAGGAAGAGGGCGAGCCAGACTGGAGAATTGTGTGAGCTGTGGCCAAGCTGGTGGGCTAGATTGGTCGGGGGGCGGGAGCTACGGAGGGACCCGGCTTGGTCAGGAGAGCTGGGGAGGAGTCAGTAGCCTCGTCCACTGTGATTCGCCCCCTGGAGTCGTGATTGTGTGTGGGCTGGGCCCCTGCCAGTTTGGTGTGGTCTCCAGGGGACAGGGCTCCTTCCGTGTTCCAGTGGCGTCTGTACCGAGATGCAGTTCACAGGCCGCACGGCCCAACCACCCAGAGGGTACCGTTCAGTGGCTTTATTGCATCTATTGTGCGGTCATCACCACTGTCTAGGACATTGTCATCGCCCCAGAAAGTTCCCGTGCGCATCGGCCGTCACCCCATCTCTGCATCCCCCAGCCCTGGCCGCCCCGATCTACTTCCCGCCCCCACGCAGCTGCCTGTTCTGGGACTCTCACGGGAATGGAACCGGACACCGCGGGGCCCTGGCCCTCGTCCCCAAAACTCAGCAGGGTTTCCGGTTCGCCCAGTTCCTCACGTTTTAACTGTGGGTGTTCACAGACGTTTGAGCCTTCAGGGAAATGAGGTGGACTCCTGTCTGAAGGACTCCACATAAAACCTGTAGGAACACTGGGGAGTTAATGGTTGACTCTCTGATGTCCCTGTCTTACAAGTTCTGACAGGAGCCGTCCTGTAATGGGGGGTTTTCGGGCTGAACTCCTGCGTGGGAGGCCTGAAGACCCCGAGGGTGACCAGAGCACCGGCAGCCAGCCCCCCTTGCTGGGCCAGGGACACAGACCGTGGCCTTGATGAGTAGGCAGCCAGGAGCAAGCCCAGGGGGCCAGGCCTCGGGACGGAGGCCCGGACGGAGATGCGGCCTCCCTCTGGACAGGCCCCGTGGATTGTCCGCTGACTCTCGGACCTCCCCAGGGAGCCGCTGGGGCCTCGGGGCATCTCCCTCAAGCTGTCCCTGCAACGCCTCCTGGGACCAGCGGACAATCCGAGATAACCCGAGCCACCTCCGTGTCCCTGGTGCAGTAAGCCTAGAAGGCCTGCTGCCGATCGGCCTGATCACCGGGCTGGGCCGACATGGACTGGGCTGGTGACCAGGGCTGCCCCAGGCACTGCATTGGGCCCGGTGGCCTCCGGGGAAGCCGGAGCCCCAAGCTGTCCCTCTTCTGCACTCCCAGGCAGTGGCCCCACAGCTTGGATGCAGACCTGTCCGGGAAGCCCCACACTTCCCGGGGAAACCTTGGGATCACACTGCTCCCCCATACAACGGCGCGCCCCCAGAGAAAGAACCGAGGTTCTGAGGAACTGCGCGGTGTGTCAGGTGATCACAACCTGGGGGGTGAGCAAGGAAAGGCTCCGGCTTGAGAGCTGGAGTTTATAGGGTCCCCACACATCTGGAGGACGGGCCCTCGGAGATACTGTTGGGTCACCCAGGACAACACCGGTCTGCAGAGGTAGCAGGCCGGCCCCCCCCAAGGCCTCCTCAGCAGTGAGGTTTGCGGAGCCTCGTGAAGGGCTTTTCCTGCCCCAGGGCGGGTGGCCACCTGTCAGAAGCCCTCTCCCGAGGGACGGGACTTGCCCCTGTGAATGGCAGGACCTGAAATTCTAGGCTGGGGAGGGGCCCAGGCTGAGTGGGGTCAGGGGGAGGAAGGGGTGGGGAGTCAGCAGCCAGGAAAGGGCACCCGTGATGGAGTTGCAGCCTCATGGCACCAGCCCTGTGTCGCCTTGTGGGTCCAGTGTGACTCCCCCATCCTCCCATTTTTATCCAAAAGGAAGCCCCAAACCCAGAAATCTTGTAAACTTTTTGATCAAAAGTTATCCCCCACTCCCTCCCAATATTTCTCTCCCTCTCTCCGTCCCTTCCCCTCTAAAGATAAATAAATAAAATCTAAAGAAAAAAAAAAAAAAAAGTTTTAGAGTACCATGAGCGAGTGCTCAGTGAAATGGGGGTCAGGGGCTAGGGGAACAGAGTTCCTGGCAAACTCGTACATATTCGTCAAGGCCCCATGACCAGAGAGCACATCTTCAGTCATGCCCTCTGTGACCTTCCCGAGTGCAAGTTCAATGTCCTTGCACCTCTCTTACCGAATTACCTTCAAAGCGTCTATTCATGTGTAACATTCCTCTGCCTGCACCTTCCTGATTCATCTCATGAGCTCCGTGACCGGCAGGCACAAAGTTAATGCCTGATAGATGGTGAATACATACTAGACATCAGGGGTGCTCCATGGTTAACCCGGGCAGGGGAAGAGAAATGAACCAGCGTTAGTGAGCGCCTGCTGTATACCAGGAGCCTACTATTCCTGGTCTTGGTCGGGGACACTGTCCAAGCGTGTAGCTGTGGGGAGGAGTTGGGCGCCCGACCACACAGCCCACCTGACTGGGGGCGTCCCAGATGTCTGCAGTACTTCTGGGGACGGCCAGTCCTCCAGCGTTTCCTGCCCCAGTTCTTGGGGGGGAAGGGGCCCCACCTGCTCTGTGGCCCAGCTGGCCTGGCAGGGGGCAGCTGTGTCAGGTCCTGCTGCCCCAGTTGCCTCCTGCTTCCTGCTGACTCGGGGTCATGCCCACTTCCCCCCCGCCCCCTCCCCAGGGCTCTTCTCTGTCACCTAATCTGCCCCGGTGGGTGGTGTCTCCTTTCAGGTGTCCTTCCCCAGAACATCCTGTCCCGACTGTCCCAAGGTGCCTCCTGGACTCCTTCAGCATCCTGATCTTGCACCATCTGTCTGTGTGGGGTCCCTGTGCCGCTGTGGGGTTTCTGAAGAGGGGTATGGGGTCTCCGTTTCAGTCCTCCACTGTCCTATTCCAGAGCCGCCCCACAGTCACCCTGCGCTTTTGTCCACTCCTCCTAGTCGGTTGTGGGATGTTGGCGGCTCAGTATGGGCCACCTGCAGACTTGGCTGGCTGACTTGGAGGCAGCTTGCAGAAACATCCTTGCTTTCAAAAATGAGGGGAAATGTGTTGGCGATGAGGTGGACAGCGTGGGGCCCTCCTGCACTGCGGGCGGGGACGCAAAGTGGGGCAGCTGCCGTGGGAGGCAGTTTGGCGCTTCCTCGGAGAGCTAAGCACAGAGTGGCCGTGCGACCCAGCAGATCCACTCCCAGGTACATACGCGCCCCGGAGAATTAGCAACAGGCGTTCAAACAAATCGCTGTGCACAGATGTTCCTGGCACGTCGGCTACAATAGTCAAAAGGTGGGAGCAACCCCCGTGCCCGTCAGTGGGTAAGAGGACTCACTAAGGGTGGTCTCTCTGTCTAGTGGAATATTACTCAGCCATGAAAAGGGACGAAGCGCTGGCACCTGCTACAATGTTCATGAACCTTGAGGATGTGATGCTGAGTGAGAGGTGCCAGGTACCAGGGTCATGTATTGTGTGGTTCCACTGGTAGGAAGTGTCTGGTGGGTGCCAGGGCTGGGGGCCTGGGGCTTGGGGAGTGACTGCCCAAGACTGTGGAGTTTGGGGTGACGAAAACATTCTGGGACTAGACGGGTGGTGGCTATACAACATCGTGAGGGTCGTGGATGCTGCGGAATTGTAGATCTTACAATAGTAAATTGTATGTTACCTGTATTTTGCCGTTTTTATTTATTTTTAGAGAGGGGAAGGGAGGGAGGAAGAGTGGGAGAGGAACATCAATATGTGGTTGCCTCTGGGACCCGGCCCGCAACCCAGGCATGTGCACTGACTGGAAATCGAACCGGCAACCGTTTAATTCGCAGCCTGCGCTCAATCCACTGAGCCACACCAGCCAGGGCTATTTTACCGATTTTTAAAGCTCCTTTCTATGGCAGCGGGTAGGAGGGCTGGTCTGGGTCTGGCCAGGCTCAGGTGATACAGCATGCTAGGATCCTTCTGTGTGACAGCCCCCAGCAAACGCCAGTGAAAAACACCCACAGCCACTGGGGAAGAAAGGGCTTGACCGGAAGGCCGGTAACCAAAAGGGGTGGGCGTGTGACTTAATGTCAGGGGAAAAGGGATAGAGAATGACGCGCAGGCTCTGCTTCCAGCAACTTCCGCAGAGTGGGCAACGGTCTTGGTGAGAATGCAAGGCGAGGATGGGGGGGAGGGACAGCAGGCAGGTTTCTGGAGGGGATGGCTGGGCAGGGCGGGGTGTGGGTGCTGTTTCTCTCCTTGGCCACCTGTGAATTGTTGCTTGTAATGAAACCCTGAGTTGGGTCGGGAGCCGCAGGACTGAGGGCCCAGCGGTCATGAAAGCAAAACAGTGAACAGCTGGCCACCGGCTTTGGCGTCCTGAGGGACCTGCTGCACAGACCGTGAGCAGAGGCCCCCCGCGAGTTCCTAAAATAGCGGCCTCGGCAAGCTGCTGAGTCCCCGGCAGGGTGGGCAGGTCCGTGTGACAGGATGCGGAGTGGGTGCTGGTGGCAGCTGCCAGGAATTCGTTAGCAGCATCTCTGCCTCCCACAGGCAGAGCCGGGTGGGGAAGAGAGTGGCGTCTCGGAGGCGGAGAAGGCGGCCATGGAGCTCAAGGACCCCAACCGCCCCCGATTCACGCTGCAGGAGCTGCGGGACGTGCTGCATGAGAGGAACGAGCTCAAGTCCAAGGTGTTTTTGTTGCAGGAGGAGCTGGCGTACTATAAGAGGTGAGCGTCCCAGGGAGTCCCCAGGCTGGCTCCTGCTGGGGGTCGTGCACGGTTTTGGGACCGTGAGCTCCTGGGAGACAAGGGTTGTATCTGTGTCCATTCGGGGACTCACAGTCCCTGTCTGACATCCTCAGGTTCAGGTGTGTTTTATAATTCAGACCTTTCTGGCTGTTAGAGAGCAATACTCTGTATTCTGTGTGTAACCTGCCACCACCAGTGAGGTCTGGGGCCGCTTCCCCAAATAAAACATACTAATACATTATGCAGCGAAAGTGGAATGAATTAAGATTGTAAACACCCTCACGAGAGCGCATGTCAGGTGTTGCCACCCACGAATGTCCAGAAAGTGAATTTCGATGTTTAGAGCTTTTCCGGATTTTGCAAGTGCAGATGAGAGATGGGAGGGCCGTACACCCCAAGTTCCGCTCCGTGGTCAGTGAACTCCTTGCACATGTTAAAGCCGCACTGTCCATTATGGGAGCCGCTAGCCGCGTGGCTGTGTAAATGAGTTCAGTGAAAATGCAACTCGAAGTTCAGTTTCCCCACTGCACGCGCCCCATTTCCGGCACTCAGTCGGCGCTGTGGCTGACGGCTGCCCCGTCGGACGTTCCCATCACCGCGAAGTTCATTGGGCAGCACTGCTTCCGATGGGCACCCCCGTCCCCTGCTGGGGTCGCCTCCTACTTGCTCAGCTTCATACACACTGCCCTTCCATGGGTTCCTCCGAACACGCCACGCCTGTCTCTACCTCAGGACCTTGGCACGTGCTTCTGCAGCTGGGAAAACAACCCCCTTCATTCTTCCCATGGTTGATCCTGGCCATTCAGGATTCAGGTCACATGTCACCTCCATACGGAGGCTGTCCTGCCTCGTTATCCGCCATGCAAAGGAGTGTCTAGCCCTGGTCACTGTCACATTACTCTGTTTGGCTCTCTTCTTGGCCCTTTTCACTGGTCTCCCGTGAGCCCTGCTCATTAACTTGTTTGTTTTCTTGTCTGTTTCCATAGCAGACTAAACCACATGACACCAGAAACCTCGCTGGTCTTGTTCAGGTCTGGGTTCTCAACACTTAGGACGGAGCTTAGCACAGAGTAGGTGCACAGCAAATATCTGTGGAATGGGAAGCCAGAAAGAAGGAGAGACACACCAGATAAGCCTCTGCTCCAGCAGGGAACGTACGGGATGCACTGGAAACACAGTGCCCGATGTTTCTGGTGAAAACCTATTGTATGCCTGCCTGTCACATAGGAGAGTTTCACCAATACTGTGCGCTGGCTGTTCGATGAAGGGAGAGATCTCTTCTCGTTTGGGGATGGAGTGGCAATCAGGAAGCCTTCCTGGAGGAGGTGGCATTTGAACTGGGCTTTTCCTAAAGGGTAGAGTACTGTTGAAGTACGGAGATGTTGAGGGCGGGTGGCGTATTCCTGAGGGAAGCCGCCACAGACGCGCGGAGACAAGCACTTAGCAAGGACGGGAAGCAGGAAGTAGCTCTGTTTGGCTGGAATCGTAAAATGAAACTGAGAAATAGAGATGTGGGTGCCTTTCCTGAAAGGCCTCCCATTTGACCAGCGGGGCCAAAGGGACCCCCAGGCACCGGTGTCCACTGCCTCCCGGGCTGAGCCTTCCTCCTAACTGGACAGCCCCCCCGGCAGAGAGACTGTGGGCCGCAGGCCGTGGGTGCCACCCTCCTGGGTCCCCTTACTCCAAGTCCAAGCCCTGCCAGACCGCCAGACGGTACCCTTCTGGGATATTGCAGCTCTCGTGGCGTTTTTGACTCTTTTGTCTTACACCTCTCCGCCCCTCCAGCGAAGAACTAGAAGAGGAGAATCGAGTGCTCCCGCCTCCGCCCATCGCCCACCCGAGAATGTCCCCCCAGCCAGAGTCTGGCATCAAGCGACTGTAAGTGACATGCTTCCCGCACACGGGGCTGCTCGCTCGCAGCTGACCTGGCGGTTCACACGGCCTCTCACTCCTCCTGGGCCCCGGCTCCAGGACCAGGCTTGTCACTAACCACCTCCTGCTGAGACGGGCCTAACTCCAGAGCACGTGGGGTCTGGCCTTGACTCGGAGCTCGTCTTGCACCTGGATGCTGAGTTCCTCCCGGGCGTCCCTGGGAAGAGGAGTCTGGGAAAGGCCAAGGGGTGGGAGGAGGCTTTGGGGCCTGTGGCTGTGTCTCAGGGCCTGCTCGGGCGCGTCCGGTTGGCTGTGTCCTTGAGAACAGCAAATAAAGCTGAGGGGAGGGGGTGGGCTCGCGCTGCTTGAAGCCTTGGCGCCCCAGCTCCGGGAGGTCTGCAGTGGCCCCCGGCCCCCCCATGTGTGCATTTTTCTGATGACTCCTCCACCTGTCCCCCTGTCTCTCCATCAAGTTTTTACTGGTGTGTAATACTGTGCATGCAGAGTCGGGCTCTGGGTGCGGTGGGGGACACCCAAGAAAAAGCAACCCAGTCCTTGCCCTCAAGTAGACTTAAAGCCACTTCAGTGCTTTGCGTCAAAGGACCCTTTTGAGATCATGTCGAGAGTTTGCAGACCCTTTCCCTGGGTAGGTGGGGGAGGGAACAGGCACAACTTTGCAGACAATTTCAGGTTCAGGTTCATTGGCCCCTGCAGACCTTCAGACAAAGGGTTAAGAGCGCCAGTCTAGTTAGCTGATGTGCGCTGAGAACCTACTGTGTGCCAGGCCCTGTCCCTGCAGATGACCTCATTGTGTCCTCACTGTGGCCCGTGGGGAGAGGCACTGCCTGTCCCATTTCAGAGTGAAGGAAACTGAGGCACTGAGAAAAGTCACCTGTCTGGGGTCAGACAGCCAATGAGAAGTACAGCCGGGGTTTGAACCCAGGCAGCCTGGCCCCCGAGCCCGTGGCTGCAGCTCTTTGCAGGGGAGCCTCATGCTCACTGCCTGCCCGGCCCTCCGCCTTCCAGCTCCAGCCAAGGCTTCCTGCAGAGGAGGCTCCGCTCCCCCCCAAATCCGAGCAAGGGCTTTGCGAAAGCCAGTGGGGGTTGGGGTGGGAAAGCCACCAGGACCAGGCGGGGAGGGGCACTGGGGTACTGGGGTATGCCTCGGAGGCCTCCAAGGAGGAGCAGAATCAATCTTGAGGGTTTTTTTAATCATTTATTTTTAGAGGGTAAGGGAGAGAGGGGGGGGGGAGAAACATCAATGTGTGGTTGCCTCTCACACGCCCCCTACTGGAGACCTGGCCCGCAGGCCAGGCCTGTGCCCTGACTGGGGATTGAACCAGTGCCCCTTTGGTTCCAAGGCCAGTGCTCAACCCACTGAGCTACACGGGCCAGGGTGGAAATTAGCATTTTTTTCCACTTACTTTTTCTACCCACACCTTAATAGGCTGTGGTGTCTGATCCTCTTTTTGAGATTGTTCTAGAAAGGACTCTGGGGCCCCATTTTCAAAGCCCTTCTCCCAATTGCATGGCCTCTTGTTCGGAGGAACCTGGGTACTCTGAGCCTGGCAAGAGAAGCAGCTGAAATTGGGGAGCCAGAGACAGACGGAGCGATAGACAGAGGCAAAGCGGGAGGGAGAGAGAAATCAGTCTCCCGCCCCCAGAGTGCAGGTGGCCTGCCCTGGGCCCTCCTGGACTGCTCGGCGGAGGTCCCTAGAAAAATCAAACTGGCACAAAGGGCTTTTGACCAGCCCAGGCGGGACACTAGTGGCCTTTGTCTGTGTTGGCTGCAGAGCCTCATCAGCACAGCCCGGAGCCCAGAGCCCGGGGCAGGGACAGCTTTTCCCTGGGGGCTGGGGCCGGGAGCGGCTGTTCCTCAGAGGGTTGCACGCCTGTGTCCCTGTCCGTCCCTCACACCTGGCACCCATGTGGTCCGTCTGGCCCCTTGGTCCTTGCTCTTGCAGGGCATTTGTCACCCAGTCTGTTGGGTGCAGCTCACAGCCGCTTTCCACGTGGCTTCATGCCCTTGACCAGGTTTCCCACCCACCACCAAGTCGGCCGTAACTGCCATGGAGGGTCTGAAGGGGATTCACCAGCTGCAAGCACTGAGGTGTCTGCCCCCAAGTCAGAGATTCAGGGCTGGGACATTGAACTCCGTTTCTCAGATGAAGAAAGGGAGGCCCTGAGAAGCCCATGGACTTCGGTCCTGCTGCCGGGAAGGGCGGAGGTCAGGATTGAACCACCCAGCTCTCTCACTCTGCCTCCCCACCCCCTCTCGCCCCCACTCATCGAGTCCCCAGCTCTGGGCTGACTGCCCGGTCCCGTTATCTCTCAAGTGCCCGTGAGTCTGAGAAGCCAGAGTCTACATTTCTGGGCTGAACAGCTCACAGGAACCAGAAACTCTGCTGCCAGTCAAAACAATGCGCCCAGGAGACGGTCCAAGAATAGCTTGTGACCGAGCAGCTGCTGGCCCGGGAGGCCGGGTTGGCACTGCCCGGGCAGGTCACGCGGGAGCGCCTGAGTGACTCCAGTCTCGTCCCCAGTGGACGCCAGGCACCAGTGTCCCCTCTGTGTGGTCACAGCTTTCAGTTGGGGTCCCACAGGTGCATACTCAGCTGCTTTCTTCTGAGTGGGGTGGAGGGGCTGAGCCGGAGGCGGGCAGTGGGGACAGCAGGACAGCCAGAGAGGCTATGGGTCAGAGAGTGGGCCTTACACCGGAAAGGCTGGCCTTGGGGTCGGCGCCGCCCACACACCCCGCGGCAGCAGAGCATCCTGTCCCTGCCCCCCCCACACACCGCTTCAGCCCAGAAATAGCTTCTCCATTGCCCCACATGACACTGCTCAAAATGCCACCGCGGGCAGGTCACTCGGCTCATCTTCCAAACGTTCGCAGGGCGTCATAACCAGCTACGCCACATCCAGGATGTAGGCTTTTGCCAAAACAAGCCAGTCTCTTTCATGCAAGGTGCTGTCCCTCTAGAGGAGGGGGCTTCTGCAGGAGGCTCCTGTGATAGGGAGACAAGGGGCCGTTTAGTGAGCCACACAGTCTCGGCCGGGACCCTCCAAGTATGTGTCCCAAGGCCCCTCTGCGTCACTTCGGCTCCCATCACATCCCAGATGGGGTCCGGCGTGTCCAGGTAGGCAAAGGCCTCCCCACTGCATCGGGGGCCACCCCCACCCCTGCGCAAGGACCGTGTCTTTGGGGGCTCCCCATCATGCTAAGAGAGGGGTCCTGGCGAAGGTGGATGCAGAACCGTGTGGCTTGCAGCCCTCCGAAACCTAACTCCAGCCTGGCCTCGAGGGACTGCACCCATTCATTTAACAGGAGTTATCTCCTCTTCCTGTTGTCACCGTGAGAAGCCACCCAGGTGTTCTGCCCAGACGCCAGCTGCCCTGTGGGGCCCATCAAAGGTGATCCCACGTACAGAGAATCCCCAAACCTCATTGGAGATGATTATCTTTTATGTTTTCCCAACCATCCTCCAAAAAAAAAAAAGGCAAGGTTATTCAAAATACACCGCAGTGGGCGCTGTTTCCTCTTCATTGTCCTTGCCCAGCTGAGGGGCCGGCGAGCCTGCTCTCGGCTCCTCCCTGGTGGGCGGTGAGCAGCCTGGCCGTGCTGGCCACCTCTCCTGGCGCCTCCCCTCACCCCCGTCACCCTCAGGGCAGTTGGGGCAGATGTGCTGGAGGGCACCCGAGGGTGTTACCACCGACTCCCACGGCAGGTCTGGACCCCTGGCTTCCCCGCGCCCTGGCCTGCATCGGCACCGTCTTCCCTCGGCGGTTGCCAGTGCCGTGGCAGTGTGCTAGCGATGCTGTAACAACGGCGCCACAAACCGGGCGGCCGACACAGCAGGAATGTATTACAGTTCTGGAGACCGACTCCCAAGGTCAAGGTGTCGCAGGGCCGGTTCCTTCTGAGGCTGTGAGAGACACCCTGTTCCAGGCCTGTCTTCGGGTTTCCTGTGGGTTGCTGGCCCCTGGAAGCATCAGTCTGACCTCTCCCCTCGTCTCACTCAGCCTGTGTCCTGTGCACACCTGTCTCCGACGACCTGCTCTGCTCGGATACGACTTCACTGCTCACATCCGCACAGACCCTATTTCTCGGGAAGGCCTCATTCCCAGGCCCTGGGGGTGGGACTTCCACGTGCGGACCATGTGGGCCCTGTTCGACCCAGAACGTAAAACAGGAGCAAACCCTTCGCCTGGTGTGTGCGTGGAACGTGTCTGCTTCCACGCCTCCCTGTGTCTGTCTTCTCTGAGTCTGTCTGTACTTTTCTGACCAGGATCTTTACAGCCATAATGCCCATGGTAGCGGCTGGACTGATCCTAGACGACCCCACGCTGCAGCCCGTCCGACGGCTGGTCTCCCTTGTAGGCACCGTGTGTGTGTGTGTTTCTGGTTTGGGGTTGAGCGCGCTCTGCCTCCGGAATGCTCGCCGCGGCTGCCGCCGGGCTGGCCCGCCGCCTCTGGCCGCGTCAGCTGCATGGCCCTCACCTGTGTGCTGCCACTGCGGTGGGTGTTGGGTGCGGTGGCAGACACGCCACGCACGGCGCCCACGCCGCACGAGTGAGGCCGTGGACGTCTCGGCTCTGTCACCGATAATTCTTTTTGTCTTTTCTGTTTCCGTTCTAAATCCACCTTGTCCATGATCCAGTAAAGAAGGTCCTTTAAGCGACGGGTCAGTAATCCACGCCCGCTGTGACACCCCGCCCCTGCCCCGAGTGACACTAACACTGTGTTCTCCGTCTTCGCGCCCCAGCTTCCTAAACTGCTGTTTTGCCAAGCTGTTGGTGGCGAGCAATTTGATTTTGCTTTTTTTAAAAAAGGGAAGGTGAAGGAGGGGATTGATGTGTTGATTCTGTGTCCCCTTGGACAGGTAGTGGCAAATGGCTTATCTGCTGGAGCCAGGCAGAGGGGGACCCTAACAGCGCTGTGTCGCTGCTGTGCTGTGGCTGGCTCTGCGGAGAGCTCCCAAGGAACCCAGGACGCAAACCGGGCCTTCATTAGCCGCCGCACGCACCTGCCCCGGAGGAAACAGCCCTTAGCTGCTGGGGAGACCTTCCCCAGATAGACGTGGCGTGCCCCAGCTTTGCAGTGAAAGACCACCTCACCCCCGGAAGGAAGTGATTGTAGGACCCAGTTGCCACAGAGCAGGAAAATCCCTTCGCCCAGATGTAATTAAAACTGAACTCCTCGGGCTACAGAGCCGCACACTGGCGCACATGAAGCTACTGGGGGAGCGGACGGGGGTGGGGGGGCTAAAAATAGTTGATCTGAAGCTTGGGTTTCTGGGTCATGCACTCCTGCCCCCACCCCCCGCCCCCAGGAAAGATAACACGGCAATTCGATTACCTACCAAGGTCAGAAACCAACAGTCAAGGGTGGGAGAACTTGGGCAGAGTAAAAGGAATCTCACGGAAGGTGGGAGAGTTCAGATGGCAGCTTAGAATGGGTTTTGGGAAGTGCCCGAGGGGGGTCACCTCCGGTTTACCGGCCAGGGCCCGAGTCCCTGTTCAGGTGGAGTAAAGCCTTGTTGTGAATGGGCCGCTCGCTGAGCTCTGGGCCTGTGGTGCCTACCTCGATCTGTGAGGCATCGGATGGTTCACTCTGATGGATCACTGATCAACAGTCCCAGCTACTTTCAAAAGACCTCTCTGCCTGCACTCACTGTTTCTGATAGAAGTGGTATCTCCTAAAGGCTTTCACCAGCAATCAGTTTCTGATGCTCCAAACGACGTTTCCCAGGTTTCACTCACACGTACGGTCACAGTGTCTGTCTAACTGGAGCACCACGAGTCCTACTAATGTACTTAACCGTCTCCTTTTCCTGCATCCATACTCTCGCTTCTTCCTCAGCAGGAAGGCTGTGGGGGCCGGGCGCTGAGGTGCCCCTACCTGGCCTCCTGGTTCGCTAAACACATACCTGCACACAGACGTTCACCCTAAGCATCCTACCTGCCACGTGGCTTTCCCGTGTTACTGTCTCTGCAGCATTAGGGCAAGGAAGCCCAGAATGTGTGCTCCGGGTAGCTTTTTCCTTCCATTTGTGAGAAGAAGCCCCTCACGGTGGTTAAGGTTGTTAGGAGGTCACACGTGTGAAAACCCTGTTCACACCGTCACCTCCGAGGTGCCGTGGCAATGACACACAGAACCCCTGCTGCTTTCTAGAATAACTCTGACCCGCAACCCTGACTTGTACTCTCACACTTGGACTTGATTTGCTCCCTCCCCCCTCCATTGGCTGCTGTGTGTCCCCGGCATTGCAGAGTGCTCAAGTGTGCGCCCACGGCGGGCGGGAGCTCATTTCTTTCTCTCCTTCCGAAAGGTTTAGCTTCTTCTCGCGGGATAAGAAGCGTCTGGCCAACACGCAGAGGAACCTGCACGTCCAGGAGTCCTTCGGCCAGTGGGCCAACTCCCACCGTGACGACGGTTACACGGAGCAAGGACAGGAAGCCCTGCAGCACCTGTGACCGAGGCTCTCGGACCTGAACCAGGCACCGTCACCGCCACTGCCTGGATGGAACCTGGCAGCCCTCGGCGTCACTGCCTTGCGCACCTTTCGGTTCAGGCACACCGTCCAAACCGACTCGTCAAACCCGCTGCTTTGAGGAAGCACACTGAAAAACTGATGCCAAACTCTACAGAAATGTTTATTTATACCCGGGGCTGTTGCCATTTATAATAGAGGACTCTGATCCCTTAGGATATATATTTAATGAGACTGGGAGTGAAGGCCAGACTTTTGCATTAACTTCAGTAACACAAGCTTCTTTAAGCCAAATACGTCACTAGCCACTACGTAACTGCCGTTTGGCTGCTTGGTATGAACCTCTGTGGCCCGAGGGTTTTTTTTTATCACATTTGTCATTCTTAAGTGCGAGCGGTAGGTTTTCATTCCTTACGTTCATGAAATCGTCACGGTGATTGCATTTGTAAGATGGACCCATTAGACATGCGGGGCCTCTGAAATCACGGGACGAAGACACAAAGCAGCAGAAAATGTGGACAGCATTCCTCCCGCCTAGAACCTGGAAGCAGCTTTGCAAGAGCCAACGTTCCTCTCTTGCCCCTTGTTACTGATAGTGCCTGAGCATGTAGCGCTGCCCAAGGCCAGTGCCTGGGATCTGCTGTGAGTTACACGCCCTACTAACCAACCAGATGGTTGCTAAGGATGAGATTGCAACATTTCTTGTGTGGATTTTTTTTTACTTGGCATCTTTTCTCCTTTGTCCCAAAGCATCCTGGGAACCGGGTGCTAGAGCCTACAGGGTGGAAGATGGGGACTGGGGGAGACTTGCTGGAGTGGGGGCGGGTAGACAGTGGGAGGGTGGTGAGCGGGGAAGCCAGGTGCCCACTCTGCAACAGGCGAGTTGGGGCTCTGCCCAAATCATCTTTTTCTCCACCCACTGAGCACCCAGGGCAGCAGGCTGGGTGCTTAGATTAGAAGAGGTGGCATCACCTAACAGAGGACACAAGCACACACCCAACTCTGGTCTGCTAAGACACAAACCATCGGGTCAGTTGATAGTCGCCAGACTGTTCCCACCTTGCAGACAGGAACGATCAGACAGGATGGCGCTGCTGTGGCTCCAGGTTCTCAAAACCGACTGCCCGTTAGAATTACAAGTTTATTCTCCGTAAGAAGCGTGAGTGCTGAGGAATCTCCACCCCCAGCCCCCAACCACCTTCAGTTGCCCTCCCAGCAGTAACCAGTACTGCCAGTTCCTTGGTTGTCTCTTCTGAAATTATTTGTAGACACGCATGCAATTGTGTAAAAACAAAACATATATTTTCATTCTTTCACATAAATGGCAGCATACTCTATATACCTGTTTGGTACCTTTTTTCTTAGCATGCCCCGGACAGGACTTCCTATCTGTGCACAGACTGTGGGTCTCAGCCAGGGGTGGTTCTGTCCCTGGGGACACTTGCGTTGTCACACTGGTGGCAGTGGGTGGGCTGCTGTCATCTAGGGATGCAGCCACACACCCTGCACGAAGAACTTGCTGGCCCCAACCGTCAGTAGTGCTGAGGGGGAGGCGCCCTGGTCTCACCGATGGAGACCCTTCCTTCCAGTCGTAAGACAGCCTCATGTGCTTTCACACGTGTGCGCCCATCTGCAGAGTAAACTAGAAGCAGATTGGCTGGGTCAGAGCCAGGGGCCTTTGTCATGCTGATGGACGTCCCACATTTTTTTTTTTTTTTTAATGTAAGTTACCAGGGTTCTACAAGACTAAACCGGAATGTCCAGGGCCAGGGTCTGAGAGCATGTTTTTTAATCCAGCGGTCCCCGACCTTTTTAGCACCAGGGACCAGTTTCGTGGACGTTTTTCCACGGGCGGGGTGGGTCAGTGGGTTACCGGAGGCGGGGCTCAGGCAGTAATGAGAACGCAGCCTTGTTGGCCCGCCCACTGCTCTTCCGCTGGGCTGCTGGGCTCTTCTTAACGGGTCGGGACTGGTACTGGTCCGCTGCCCAGGGGTTGGGGGCTTGTGACCCATCCGTATTCTGGCACCCGGGGTTGACAACACACACCTCAGCTGGCTTCCACTGCTGTCGCACTCTTGTTCAGCCACATCTGCCAAGTCTAGCCCGTGCCACACTCTCGGTGTCTTAACAGGGAGCGCGTAGTGGGCAAAACGTGGACAGGGTCGGGAAGGTGTTCCTGCCAGGCTCTTTCCTGAGCCTGGAGAGTGTCACGTTCTGCGCTGGCAATTCGCAAAGATCCTATTTTCCTAAAACCGTCCTAACAGCTGACAGCAATTTCAAGACCCAGCAGGCTGCCTACGCGACAAGATTCATGCTCCTAGTGCAAAAACCTGGTAACGCATGTGTGAGTCTCGATACTGAATCAGACGTTTATTTTGCATGAAGTATCCTGAATTTTAAGAGCCTGAACTTTCAAACCAAACCCGCTAAATGTCACTTGTATGGTATCACGTGAACAGTGTGGCGCTTACTCAAAGCCCTTAGAAGCTAAGGTCGATGTATTCAGCTCTAAAAACGGAGGCCAGATGGTCAAGAGGGAGACACAAACCTGTCACGGCTCTAATCATTTCACTCACTTTCCTCGAGCTTTTTCTCCCCCAAGGACAGGAAGGCTGCCAGAGACCACAGCCCCACAGTGCTGTGGCTTTGGTGTTTCATTTTTTTATTTTCTTAAAAGACTTTATTTACCTAGTTTTAGAGAAAGGGAGAGGAGAAAAACATCAGTGCAGGGGAGATGCACAGACTGGTTGCCTCTCGCACGCCCTCTACTGGGCACCTGGCCCATGACCCAGGCACATGTCCTGACTGGGAATGGAACAGGCGACCTTTCGGTGCTCAATCCCCTGAGCCACACTAGCCAGGGCTGGTGTTTCATTTTAAATGTCAGCCTCCCATCCAGAATGAAGAAAAAAAAGACAAGGTGGCATGTAGCTCAAGAATGGAGTTAACATTTGCTGAAGAGCAGCCGGCCACTGACTGGGTCACTGCTCCGACCGGCTGTGGTGCCCTGTCCCTGGACGTCCCCCCGGCTTCACCTTCCCACCCCGTCTTCATGCAGCGCAGCAACCCCTTCTTCTACAGACATAAAGATGGAAAAGACCCAAGATACTCTGACCGGAGGCTGGTTCCCAGGAGTCCCAGATCAATACGAATGAGTTCTGGTCATTCCTTCTTTTTGCCAAGTGCTCAAAACGGTCATTTTCCAAGAGATGGGAGAAAATCAGATTGTCCACACAAATCCCCTACTGCCAAATTAAAGACCGGTGCCCCCTTGCCGCGGCCTTCTGGACGGAGGCCAGCGAGTACAGAGCTGCTACTCGAGCTCATTACGTAGCGCGTCCTGAGAGCCCCAAGGTGAAGAAGAGACACGCCTACCGCATGTGTTTCGTCAGCATCGGACTCACCCTTTGTGTGAAAGCCACTCGGGCCTCTCCGCCCTTTGGCCTCTGTGGCTGGTGGTGTTGAGCCTCTACTTACTTCTGTCCTTCTTCTCCCTGCCCTTGACCCTGTCGTCTCTGAAGTCCCTCTCCCTCTCCCAGTCATTTTCAGGCCATGCTCTGGTTGGCTCTCGGTCCTGCCGCCTCTTCTCCCGGCCCCGGTCGTGGTCCCGATCCCGTGCTCTCGACTCCCAGTGTCTTTCTCGGGACCAGGACCGCTCCCTCTTTTCCCTTTTCCCCTCTCGATACGGGTCATTTTTAATAACTGGCAAGTTGATGGGTTTGCGGAAAGGCCGGTCCCGCCCCCCGAACCTCAGTTGCCCAGATTCCTTTTTGCCCCCCAGACCCCCTCCGAGTCGCCGGGGGACCCACCCCTTGAGAGTCCGTTCCAGTTCGTAGTCCACAAATATCTCGTGCTGGTCGATGACCAGGCCGTCGGCGTCCCGGTAGGCCTTGAGGAGGGACCGCTCCTCTTTGTACTCGATGAAGGCGTAGCCTCTGGAAGAGCCGGTGACCAGGTCTCGCACCAGCCGAAGCCGCCGGATGTCCCCGTAGCGGGAGAACACTTCCTTCAACTTCTCCTCTTTGGTCTGCAGGTTGAGTCTCGCCACGAACAGGGTGAGGAGGGGGTCCCCCGTGACGCCTTTGTTGGGGGCGTACCGTGCCAACATCGCCCTCCAGACTGCACGGTCGTGGGGGTCTTCATCTGTGCCATCGATACTGCCAGCTTTAAGGGGGTCATACTCCTTGGCGATGGGCACCCAGTCGTTCATGTTCTAGGAGAGACCACAGGAGGCGTTTATAGAGCACCTCCTTTGAGCTCCTCCTCCTCTGATCCTTACAACACGCCCTCCAGGCAGACACCACCATGCACCCCTCCTCCACAGGGAAGGAGGTGGGGTCCCAGAGGCTGAGGTGCTCTTACCCACACTCCCCACCCCTACCCTCCCAGGAAGAAGCGGAGGACAGCCAGGCCTGAGTCTGATGCACGGATGTGTCACCCAGGTTAGCCACCACGGGGCACGTACTAATGATACTGCAACATGGAGGCAGGAATCAAAATCCAGGCTCACCTTTTACAGACTTTAAAATGAGTCACAGGAAAACCAGTCTGGAAACTGCTATGGAAATGTGGTTTTTAAAAACTCTACCACTAAGAATGTCAAACTTACTTACGCAGAGCATGACATAACCTTCCACGAATTCCTCGCCCGGCTTCAACCATGACCAACACGTGGCCAGTCTGGTTCTCTGCACCTCCTCTCCCATCCCCACTCCCAGAGGAACCTGAAGCAAACGCCAGATATGGCATCACTCCTGCGTAAACGTTTCAGGAAGCGTCCTGGTGGAAAGGGTTTTCTCAAAAGCAAAACCACAAGGGGAAATGCTTGGAACGCAGCGTTTTCCATCTGTCAGTGCACAGGTGGCAACACTAAACCGACAGCCACCCGGCTGCAGGCCACCTGACAACTGCTTTTCAAAGGGGGTGGGTAAAACACCACCCTGCCGGAACGACACAGTGCTTGCCCACATTCTGGACACTGCTGAATACCACGTGACCACCTCTGTACCTCCTGGAGGCCATGCTGAGATGTGTTACATAAAATCCAGGGCTCTTTGCGAACAGCATCTTCCCATGATATTGGCTAAAATAATATCTACGACTTTCCCTTCTTTCTCAAATTTCCCTCCAGGATCTTTTTGCTTTTGTTCTTCAGTCTATGGATTATGTAGGAGGAGTGATTGTTTGGGGGAAAGGCTACAGAATTCTCTTTGCCAGTAAAAAGCCAAACGCTACAGAAAATCAGAAGTCAAGGGACTCTGCCCTCTGCCCTTCACTTGGCCTATCTCCATATCCCACCACAAAACCCATTCTGCCCAGGAGGGCTCCTCGTGGCTTGGACGTGCCCTAATCCCCCAGCCCCATGACTTTGCCCATGAGATTTCCTCTCCCGGGAACGTCCTCTTCCGCCTCCCACATCTCCACTTGCGGAAATCCTGCTGGACTTTCCCAGTCCAGCCTGCAGCCTCCTCACCATGAAGCAAACTCGTCTCTCTCACAGCTCGTGGCACGTCCTCTGCCACACACAGTGCGCACTCTCCTACCTAGGGGCTGCCTCACTGCACCTCCAGATCCCAGGACCCTTCCTGACACACACTGGGGAACCGAACCAACTGCAGTCCCAATGCACTGAACGTCTTTTGGTCCAAATCAGATGAAAAGTATTTCACTGAGCACTGAGAGGCACGGCACGACACGACACTGACACCGTTTTGTAAGAGGAGGGCATGTCTGTCTGTCTCATCGTTAACAAGCAACTTGGGAGCAGACCCCTCTGGAGTCCTCACCTGTAAAAGGCTGATGAACAGCCAGAGCAACAGAAGGAGCACCGGACACAGTGACACAATTTCGCTGGGTCTGGGCCCTGCCCCTGGGCACTCTGTGCCTTTCTCTACTGGTGGCTGGAATATCTCTACGTGGGGAAAAAAGGTACCTTTATGTTGTTGGAATCTCTGCTCTAATATTCTCTGCATCGATTCCATTCTGCTGGCCCTAAAATTCTTAGATTCTAACCTTCATCACAGGGATGCAGGGGGGAAAAAATAGACCATTTCTACAGTCAACTTGGGTTGAACCCTTAGAAGGTGTCAGGCACTGTGCTATGCACTGAAGTCTCCTCATTTCTCAGTAACACCAGGAAATAGATGCTACTCTTACTGCTGTCTCAGATGCAGAAGGTGAATACAAAAAGCTGTCTTTTATGCCAAATCACAGAGCTAAGAAGTAGCCCGGCAATTTTCAGCTCCAAAGCTTGAGTTCTTCACTATTTCCTTAGATGGACATCGTAAAATATAACCCTTTGGAGATGGGGATAGAAAATAACAATTAGGGTTCCGGGAATTCGAGGCTGAGACCCTTCTCCCATTCTACATGAAATGGTCACAGAGCTCCATCAAATAATAATATTATTGTACACAGAGCTCCGGTTCAAAGCTTCAGATCTCAAATTAATATCTGGACAATTACGAAGGGACAGACACAGCTTTTGTTTTCTCCCTCATCTGCATAGGCTTCTATCAATACCAAATAAGAGAGAAGAGCATTCATCTTCCTGGGTGCATTTCCTCCGGGGCAGCATTATGTTGACATTTCCTACAACTTCTTTGGAGTTTTAGATTCTCACCATTATTTTATAAATGGGGATAGGATGTGAGAGATGAATGGTGTGTCGGGTGGAGGTGCGTGGGACACTAAAAATAAAAGCATGGACTCAGTGGATTGAGCAGGGGCCTGTGGACTAAAAGAACGCGGTTCCATTCCCAGTCAGGGCAAATGCCTGGGTTGCAGGACAGTTCCCAGCAGGGGGCGCACAAGAGGCAACCATAAACTGATACTTCTCTCCCTCTCTCCTTCCCCTCTAAAGATAAATAAAAACTTATAAATAAATAAATAAAACCTCACCTTTAAAAAAATAAAAGCGTGGAAAAGAGCATTAGACTGGGAATCGGAACACCCAGGCTTCAGGCCTCGTCTTTTTGGGCAAAATGTAAATCACCTGTAAAATGCAGCTAAATGCCACTTCACTAGGCTTTTGTGAAGACTGGGTAACTGTCTCTGAAAGTGCTTTATAATTTTAAATTATTATACAAATAAAAGTTATTCTTAAGCAAACAAAGCACGTCTCTCCTTACTGAGTCTGCGAAACAAGACGTTCCCGCGCTTTCCACCCAAGTGGGAAACAAAACTGAACCCGGGTCCAAGGGGCCTAGCGAGCATGCGCAGTGGCGCCGCGGACGCTAAGGCGGAAGTCTTCGTGGAAAGGCCTGAACCCCCAAAACCCCCAAGCGCCTCCGCCTTAGCCGCCCGCCCCCTCACCCCCTGGCGAGCGGCAAGGGCCATTTTTCCAAAGCAGTTATTGCTCCAGCCTCCCAAACCACAACCCCGAAAGGTCTCCTTCCTTTGTCAGATTTCAACATGGCGGCCGTAAGCGAGTGGACCCAACGTCCAGGCCGAAATACCTAAGTCCTTCCCACCCTGGGGCCCCGCTCCCTCCAAGCCTCCCCCACGCACCTTGGCTAGGCTCGCGCTTCCTTTCCCACGGAAACTGGCGCGTGCTCGAAACGATGAAAGATTCTTCGTGCCTCCCTTACCCGACCTTTACATTGGGAGAAGCAGATTCGTCACGGAGGCTGTTTTTCAATTCTGCTTTTGTTTGAAAATATTAAATCCCCTGTATTGATCATCGGAGACATACTATTTCCAAGGGGAATAAAGTTCCTGATTTTTTTCCCCACGAAGGCAAGACCCGCTAAATTGCACCGTTAAGTTGAAAAACTATCGAATGTGCAGTGAGACGTCCGAGAGCCGCTGATTCCCTGTGCGTCGCGCACGGATTATCAGCGCCGCGGGCGGTTTGTTCTCGGACTCCCTTCTGTCGTTGTTTATAGTTTCTTTAAATTATGGTCTCTTCAGAAAATGCGTGTGCCGGTTCACATGAAATTCGGTACGTTTTCCCGGAGTGTCCCTGACTCGTAGATTTAGTCAGTTCGCTTTCACACAAGCCAACCAGTTCTTCGGAGCGCGGGGACTGTGGACTTGCGTGGGTTCGTGTTACGGTGCGGTTTCGCGGGCCCCCGCCGTGTCTGAGACCTCAAGTCTCTGGACATTTTCATTTTTTTCTAAGTCCCAGGTGATTCTGGGAGCTACTAAAGGACCCCTGCCCCTTCGTGGGAGGGACAGGAAAGGACTACGTGGCCAGTAAACATGTGCGGAACGGGGAAGTGGGTATATTTTGATTTGGGGGTGTTTTTTATAGGCGCAGGTATTTGGGTAGATTAGGGCCTGTCGAACCGTTTCTTAACTTTGGTGGTGTTTCTTAACTTTGGTTTTGTGATATTCACGAGCCTCTCATTTTCTGATTAGTCCTTGCAAGTGGGCAGTTTTTGCAAACACCCGATCTCATTTTCGTTTTAGTCTCATCCTTGGAAGGTAAGCTTATGTCTAATTACTAAGGGTGTGTGACGACTGCCTGGTCCCCACTGAATCACTGATAACGTAGGTGAGAAATGGAGAGCTTGTCTTAAGTACACTTCCTTGAAATTCATTGATGAAAACGTATTCTTGAATAAAAAAGCAAGCAATAGCTATAGTTTAAATTTTTATGTTTAAAAAGATATGTGGTATGTGCAGGGTCTGGCACAAATAATGCCCCTTGGTTACAAAATCTTGTATTACAAAGTCATAAGCATGTCATTCTGTAACATGACAATATCACACTGAAGCACACCATGTGACATTTTAGGTGAACTGTTCAGATGAAAACGATAAATTACTACACCCATGTTATTACCTGGCCAACCACACTCGAGCAGGCCTTCCCTCTGCGGGACCCTCTGTACGTGCACTGGAATGCTATTCAGCCCTGAAGAAGAGATTCTGATCACTGATCACCACGGCAACCTGGACAGACCTGGAAGGACACTGTGTGAGCCAGACACCAAAGGACAAGTACTGCGTGACTTGATTTACATGCGGGGCCTAGTTAAATTTGTAGAGGCCGAAGGACAGTTCCCCAGGGGGCTGTGGATGTTGGGGGCAGTTGTTCAGCGAGCACAGGGGTTCCACCTGGGAGGGTGGAAAAGCTTGAGATGGATGGCGAAGGCCACACGACCTTGTGATTGTGCGGAGTGCATGTTCACACACTGCACTACACACTGAGGAACAGTTACAGCAGTGACAGGTGTGTGGTTTACCACAATAAAAACAGTTGGTGTGTGTGCACCCCAGTAGCAGTGAGCACAGCCAAGCACCCAGACCTTGGTTTCCAGTGTCCTCCGATAGAGGTGACCTGTGCTCCTTGCAGAAGTGGCTGATTCTAAGACTGGGCCAAGGGAAGCAGGAGAGGAGCTTGGAGCAAAGCAACCCATAGTGCTGGAACTCAGAGAAGTGCTGAGAACAAATGAACCCAACAATGACAATGACCGTGGAGTCCGGGCGCGCAGGACTAACTGAGGGCTCTCCGGGACCGAAGCAAAACAGCTTGCGCAGCAGCATAGTGTTAGATTATAATCCAAAATATGAAATAAACCGGGTAGAAGAGACAAACCTGCAATGCAGAATTCCAAATCATTTGTGCGGCCAACCCCTCTGCCGAGGTGGAGTGCAATCCTCCACCCCTTACGTGTGGCCCAGGCAAGGTGAGTTTCTTCGGGAGAGCACAGTGTGGAAAAGGGGCAGCGAGGAGGGACACTACAGAACCCTGGCAAACACACACCAGCGGGGGATCAGGCCAACATCTACAGTGTAAGTCGTGTTAACAGTAGTCTCCTCTGGTACAACGAGATGCAAGCAGCACTTTAACTTTGTGAGCTTCCCCCCCAAAACCCGTACCCCAGTCTAACCGTGACAAAAGCACCAGAAAAATGCCAAGGGGTGTTTACAAAACAGCTGACCAGTCCTCAAAACTGTCAGGGTCATAAAAAACAAGGGAAGTCACAAACTGTCATGGCTGAGAGAGGAACCCACACTGTTACTGTCCTCTGTGGCAGTTTTGGCTGTGTAAATTTCAACTTTATTAAAGTTTTAGGCCCTGGCAGATGGCTCAGTTGATTGGAGCACCATCCCGTACATCAAAAGGAGGGTTCAACCCCTGGTTAGGGCATATACCTAGGTTGTGGGTTTGAACCTGAGTTGGGGTGTATGTATTGGAAACAACTGGTTGATATCTCTCTCTCCCTCTCTCTCTCTCAAAACAAAGCATATTTTGGGGTGAGGATTTAAAACCGTTTTTTAAAACTCAGTTGTGTCAGCCACATTTTAAGTATTGAGTAGCCACATGCGGAAGCCAGTGGGCGCCGTGTTCGACTTCTTTCAGCATCATGTTGTCGACATTCATCCAGGCTGTGGCCTGTGTCGGAATCTCCTTTTTCATGGCTGCATGATATTCCACTGTATGGGTAGATCCCATATTTTAATCCACTTAGTTGGGGGACATTTGCATGGCTTCCACCCGTGGGCTGCTGTGAACGCTGCTGCAATGAACATGGGTGTCCAAATATCTTTTCCAGATTCTGCTTTCAGTTCTTCAGGTTATGCATCCAGAAGTTGTTCTATTTTTTAATTAACTGAGAAACTGTCATACTGTTTTCCATAGCAGCTGCCCCAGTTTACACTCCTACCAGCTGTGCACGAGGGCTCTAATTTCTCCATGTACACCCTTTACCAACACTTGTATTTTTCTGATTTTTCTTTTTTAAAGATTTTATGTATTTCCTCTTTAGAGGGAAAGGAAAGGAGAAAGGGAGAAAAATAACAGTGTATGGTTGCTTCCCGTGCATCCTCTGCTGGGAACTGGCCTGCAACCCAGGCATGTGCCCTGACTGGGAATCGAACCGCGATTGTCTGGTTCGCAGGCCCGTGCTCAATCCACTGAGCCACACCAGCCAGGGCTTCCCTCTCTCTCCTTCTCTTCCCCCTCTCTAAAAATGAATAAATAAAATCTAAAAGAAACACCTAATTATATAAAAAAAAAATTAAATGTATTAACAGCCCTGGCTGGTGTGGCCCAGTGGATTGAGCCCCAGCCTATGAATCGAAAGGTCGCTGGTTTGATTCCCAGCCAGGGCACATGCCTGGGTTGGGGGCAAGGTCCCCAGTTGGGAGCGTGTAAGAAGCAACCAATGGATATATCTCTCATACATTGATGTTTCTCCCTCTCTCTCTAAAACTAAATAAATAAAATCTTTAAAAAATTTATAACAAAATATAAACCAAGCAGGAGATCTGGAGGGCAACATGGCCTACTCTACTAGAAACTTCTCTCGAAGTTTCACACCAGTACAAGCTTAAAGCAACCACTCAGCACCGGGCTCCGGCCGAAGCTCGTTTTATTCTCTTAACAACCGTTTGAGGAGCATATTGTTACATTCCAAAGTGGAGCACCAGTGGGCATGGAGGGTCAGGGGGAGGACTTTAGCCCCTCCACCACCACAGTCTCCTTTATTGCTCCCCCAACTCTTTCCCGTGAGTAAAGTTCACCTGAGTTTGTTTTTTTTTAAAGCGGCTCTTATGCAAACACAAACTCAGAGAAGTGCCCTTGGCACCACCCTTCCTGCAGCCAGGTTCTTCCTAAAGATCTTTAACTCCAAGAGATGAAGTCACTGACCCAGGATTGCATGCCTTTAACCCAGACTGGGAAAATCTCCAAAATCTTGGTTGTTTCCACGCAGGATATAAACGTAGCAAGACCAGAAAGTCCTTGAGAGAACAGGAAGAGAGCCTCGCTGCATGTGCCGCTCAGGAAATGAATGGTGCCTCCGATACGCAGGAGGGCATGAGGCATTCAGGGCCCGATGCACCACAATAGGACCTGCAGGTGCCTGTAATGGAACTTTCCTGCTGGGGGCTCATCTGGCCCCCAAACCTGTGTGTGGCTCTATTTTTGTTAAGTGTGACCCACCCACTTCTCCTTGTTTACCAGTTCACTTTTCCCTTGGTTGAACCATGAGTAAGCCATGACCTAACTTTGGGCTTTTTTGTACAGTCACTGTGGTTTCTACTAAAAAAAATAAATGCAGCTGTCTATTGTTGCCTGCCTGGCTCAAATCTCAGGGGAATGCTTTTGAAATCTTTTTTTCTTTTTTGGTGTATATTCACTGTATTTTTTCCATTACCATTTATCCCCCTTACACCCTCTTCCACCTCTGCCCTCCCCCTCCCCCGAAATTATTTTTAAAACTTCATACAATGACGCATCATTGGGACTTTTCAAAAGCTTTTTGTAGACACTCCATGTGTGTCAGTGGGGAAGCTGAGCTTGGAGCAGCCTAATTCACTCGCCTAACACAACTCGGCTTGGGAGCGGCTGAGCCAGTCGAGGTCTGAGCGGACGGGGTCCGGGGTGGTGCCACCCGGGGGAGCACTGTGCTGTCACTCGCTGCTCTTCACACTTGAGCATAAGTCAGGATTACCTCGAGCGCTTGTTAAAACGGATTGCCGGGGCCCACCCGCAGCAAAGTTTCTGATTCAGTGGGTCTTCGATTTGCATTTCTGAAATGTTTCCAGGTGAGGCCTGGCTGGCGTGAGTCAGTGGGCTGGAGCTGAGTCGTGTGAACCAGAAGGTCACAGGTTCAGTTCCTGGTCAGGGCATAAGCCTAGGTTGGGGGTTTGGTCCCTGGTTGGGGCACTACCAGAGGCAGCGCATCAGTGTCTCTGTCTCACATTGTTCTTTCTCTCCCTCTCTCCCTCCCTTCCCCTCTGTCTGAAGTCAGTAAGCATGTCCTCAGGGAAGGATTTAAAAAGAAAAAAGTTTCCAGCTGTTGCCTAAGTGGCTGGTCTGGGCCCATTTTGTTTGGGGGACATTCATCCGTTGTGGGGGAGCTTGGTCCAGCAGAGTCCCCTGGCCACCCTGGATGAGAGTAAGTCCACCGAGACGTGATCTGCTTGGAGAGGAAAGGTAGTCAGTCTCTCAGAGGGGAACGGGCTTGAGCCTTTTCCTCAAGGGGCTTTTATTGGGTTCAGTTGGCATAGGAATATGGGTAAAGCTCATCAGTCATTGTCAGGCAGTAAGGATCAAACAATAGATAACATTCAGAAAACTATGAGGGCTTGTTCTGAGTCTAGGTCAAGTAGCTAAAGGGCCATCAAAGTCTGGGAAAGAAACTCATTTTATGCTTGGACCCTTATCATTGAAATTGAGGACATTCTTAGCAAAGCTGGTTCTATAGGATTTTAGGCATTCTTCCTTAGGCCTGATTTCCCTGGGGAACTGCTCATTCCTGACCAGGGTTGCACCACCCTCTGCATTGTTTCAGGCTTAAGTCAGGGGGGGAAGTAAGGCAGCCAAGAGATTAGGAGACTTCTTACAAGCAGAATGAGGACTCAGGCTGTGTCAAAGCTGAGGGATGAGGGTCCATCACTCCCTTTTTCTGTAGCCCCCCCAAGTCCTTCCCTGATGGCCTCTTCATGACCATGCCTGTCTTAGGTCGTCTCTCCCTTGAGGAATCTTACCGGTCATTGGCTAACCAGTCATTCGCCTGGGGCCAAGCAGGGTGAAGTAAAAGAGGGCAGAGGCTGCACCCCTGCTGGGAGGATAAGCTTTATCTCCTAGGAGGTTTATAGTCCCAAGGTCCTTTACTCAGTCTTAGCCATGGATGGGGTGGGGGTGGGGAGTTATAGCTTCTGAAAGCAGGCAGGGCGGTTCCCAACAATCCCTTCTTGGACATTTGGGTTACTTCCACCCTTTGGCTGTTGTGAATTAATGGAGCACACTTTAAAAACCTCTACTGTAACTCATAATTGTTTTCATCATTTCCTAACAGAGAAAGAAGGATCATGATTACCTGCCAACAGACGGTGGAATTGTAGGAGGTCCAAGAGGTAAGTAAGGTCATTAACCCTTACATCCTCATAATAGCCTATACTCCTTAATCCTTATCATGTGCTATCTCATCCCACCTCCACCGGTCTTGGGACTGCTTTTACTTTTCCCAGTTTCCAGTGAGGAAGCAGGGATTTGGAGAGATTAAGGAACTTGATGGCTGATGTCCCAGCAGGTCAGACTTGTGAGTCCAAGCCAAGCCTACTTGAACCCCACGCCCTGTTGACTAAGACACTACAGGCTTTGCACACAGTAAATGCTCAGTAAATACTCTGTTAATTGAATGAACAAAAGAATCTTCTATAGCAAACGCACAGCTACTCAATGGAAGACCTTGACCTTTTAAAGGAGTAATATACAGCTTTCACTATGTAGCAAAGAGTATAACAAACAAAAGGAAGGGAGATCCAGTGCCTCAGAGGGCGAATTTCTAGGGAAATTTCAAACAGAACTTCGGATGCCCACGATGGTTCTGCCGAGACCGGTGCCAGCGGTGGGGGCTGAGGACACTGATGGGAAAGAAAGCGGTTCAGCCCCGGGGAATTCTTTCCGAGAGCGTTGCTCCACTTGGCAGCAGTGAAACACAGTTACTGTGTCCTAAGATTAACCCATTTAAAGGGTGCAGTGTGGTGGTTTTTAGTCCATTCACAGAGTGTGCGGCCGTCACCATGGTCTAACTTTAGGACATTTTCATCACCCCTAAAAGAAGCCCTGTCCACATCGACAGTCACCCACCAGCTGTCCACCCCCGGCTCTAGACGATGGCTCACCTGCTTTTCCTTTTCTTTTTTTTTAAAGACTTTTTTTTTAGAGGGAGGGAGGAAAACATCCATATGTAAGAGAAACATCAATCGATCAGTTGCCTCTTGCACACCCCCAACCAGGGGCTGGCCCACAACCCAGACATGTGCCCTGACCGGGAACTGAACCCTCAACCTTTTGCTCCGTGGAACAATGTCCAACCAGCTGAGCCATGCAGGTCAGGGCTAATGTACTTTCTGTCTCAACAGAACAGATCTGCCATTCTGCACAGTTGACATGAATAGCATCTTACCGTTCGTGGCCTTTTCTGGCTGGGTTTTTTCACTTAGCAGAGTTGTCGGTGTTCATCCTCAGTGTCGCACTGTCTGTGCGCCTTTCCTGCCTCCCCACCCCCGCCAGCACTTTACCAAGGTGTTTACCTGAAAGAAATGTACAGTGTTGGATGCAGCCCTCAGCTTTTTACCTGCGTGTATGCACATTTGACCTCCAATGAAATCACGACATGGCACGTTTTCAGCACTCTAGAGACTCCCTGAAAACCCTGGTCGGGTGTACAGAGTGTAACATTTATCCCCCAGCCTTGGCTGGTTCGGCCCAGGGCACAGGGCGCCAGCCTGCAAGCCCAAGGGCCACCAGCTGGACTCCCGGTCAGGGCACGTGCCTGGGCTGTGGGCCAGGTCCCCAGCTGGGGAGAGACAACTGATGTATCTCTCCCTTTCTCTCTCCCTCCCTTCCTCTGTGTCTAAAGTAAATAAATAAAATCTAAAAAATTGACCACCTTAGCCACTGTTAAGTGCACAGTTCAAGAGTGTCGAGTATATACACGCTGTGCAGTCTCCAGAACTTTCTCATCTCGCCAGCCTCAAATTCTGTGTCCACCGAACGTCCATTTCCTGCCCTCCTCCCAGCCCCCCGCAACCATTCTACTTTCTGTTTCTAAGTTTGTACCTCACGTAAGTAAAATCACACAGCATTTACCTTTTGGCCACCGCTTTATTTCAGTTAGCATAATGTGGTCAAGACTCATTCGTCACAGCCCGAGTCATAATTTCCATCCCTTAAGGCTGATTATGACGATAGTACGTTAGGTACGTATCACACTCCGTCTGCCTGCTCGTCCGCGGATGGACGTGTGGGTCACTTCCGCCTTGGGGTCAGTGCGAGTCAGTGCCGCTGCGAACGGGGTGCGCCGGTCCGTCTCGGAGACCCTGCCTTCAGCTCCTCGGGGAGCGCACTCAGTGGGGCTGCCGCACCGCGCAGGGACTCATTTCTAACGTACTGCTTCCCTCAGCGGCTGCATTTTACGTTCCCACCGGCAGTGCACACGAGCTCCAACTTTTCCACATCCTTGCCCACACACGTTATCTTCTTTTTTTTTATTTTTAATAGCGGTCATCCTAATGGGTGCGAGGAGAGACCTCACCGTGGCTTCAACTCTCGTCTCCCTGAGGATCAGTGAGACTGAACGTCTTCTCCTGTGCTCGTTGACCGCTCGTACATCTTCTCTGAGGGAATGTCTAGTTAGGCTCTTTCTCATTATTTTTTATTTTTTAATAATGGGTTATTAAAGCATAATTCACATACCATATAACTCACCCATTTATTTTTTTTTAAAGATTTTATTTATTTTTAGAGGGGAAGGGAAGGAGAGAGGGAGAGAAATATCAATGTGTGGTTGCCTCTCGCATCCCCCATTGGGAACTGGCCTGCAACCCAGGCATGTGCCCTGACTGGGCATCGAACCCCAATTCGATGCGTGGTTCGCAAGCCCGCGCTCAATCCACTGAGCTACACCAGCCAGGTCCATAACTCACCCATTTAAAGTGTACAATTCAAAGATTTTTTGACGGGAGGTGGGTGGGAGTGAAAGAGGGTAAAGAGGATAAGTAGTAATAGAAAATATACAATAAAAATTTAAATTTTTGAAAGGATTTTTGGTATATTTACAGACTTATCACCATGATCAATTTTAGAACCTATTTACTACCCCATCCAGAACCCCCAATGCCTTTGGCTGTCTCCCCCTAGGCCCCTCACCCCTCTGCCTTCCTGTTCTAGGCGGTCACTAGCCCCCCCCCCCCCCCCCGTGGATTTGCCTGTTCTGGGCGCTTCGTAGACATGGAATCACACGTTGTGATTAGCTGCTGCTGTGATTCAGTATCACCTCCCAGGGAGAGTGGGGACCCACTCAGGAAACACCGTCTCCGAGGGAAGCTGCTCAGCGACCCTGTGCCGAAGCTTTTATGGGGCTGGTCCTGCGGGCACCCTCTGCCTGGCACACACCCAAATCCCGGGCTCCCCGGAGGAGGAGAGCCCGGTGCACCCACTGCAAACTGGTATTGGCGCAAACAGTTGAGGCACAACAGGCTGCTGTCATCGGTTGGGTGGTGGGGACCCTCCCCAAACCAGGCTCCCGGAGCCTGACCAAGGGCCAGCCCCGAGGGTTGGAGTTCAGGTGACAGCATTCTGGGGCCTGCCGTGTTAACTGCTCTCCACACAGACTTTGACAGGAGGGCTGCGGATTCAGGATCGGTTGCAGACGCACACGGAGAGTCGCCGTCTTTGCAGTGTGCAGTGCACAAGAAGGATGTCTTTCCTCTGCCTGGGCCCTTGGCCCCGCTCAGTGGGGTTCCCCAGTGTCCACTGTACCGGCCTCGTGCTTGTGTTAAATTTGTTTCTTAGTCCTTTATTCTTTTTGATGCCATTGTAAGTGGGATATTCTTAATTTCATTTCAGATTATTTCTGGCAAGTGTATAGAAATGCAGTTAGGTTCTGCACACTGACCTGCAGCCATGAGCTCGTGCGTTAGTTGAACGGCTTCTGCTGCGTGCCGACTTTTTAGCCTGGCAAGGTGGCGGACTACGTAGACGGCCTTTTTTAAACTAGCCTTGCGTCCCCGGAATAAACCCCCGTTGGTCCTGGCATGTAATACCTGTTACGTTGTGCCGAACTCTGTTTGCTAACAGTACATCATCAGGGATTTCGCGTGGGTTTGTGCTTTGTCTGTTACTGGGGTTTTGTTGGGGGTGTTGATGCATTATAGGGGTTGTTCATAGACTCTAGGTGGTAACCCCCTGTCCATATGGTTAGCAAACACTGCCCCTCATTCTGCAGGTTGCCTTTTCACTCTAATTGTATTCTTTAATGCACAAGTTTTAAATGTGCATTACTTTTTTGTTGTTGTTGCTTGTGGTTTTGAAGAAACCAAGTTGCATAAAGCTGTCCCCCTATGTTTTTTTTCTAAGTTTTCTTGGTTTAGGTTTTTGGGGGGATTTTTTAGAGAGGGGGGGAAGGGAAGGAGAAAGAAAGGGAGAGAGACATCAGTGTGTGGTTGCCTCTCATGTGTCCCCTACTAGGAACCTGGCATGCAGCCCAGGTATGTGCCCTGACTGGGAATCTAACTGGCGACCCTTTGCTTCACAGGCCCATGCTCAATCCACTAAGCTACACCAGCCAGGGCTTGGTTTAGGTTTTTGATCCATTTTTAGTTAACATTTCTGTATGGTATAAGGCAAGGATGTCAAACTCATTTTCACCGGGGGCCACATCAGCCTTGCGGTTGCCTTCAAAGCACTGAATGTAATTTTAGGACTCTGTACATGTAGCTAGCTACTCCTTAACAGTTTAAGCGAGAGCTCGGCACTGCCACCCGGTAGAAACAAGGTGGAGGGCCCGTGGGCCTTGTGTTTGCCGCCTGTGGTGTAAGGTAGAGGTCCACCTCCACACTTTGACACGTGGGCATCCAGGCCTCCCAGCACCTTTGTTAAAAAGACCCTCCCTCCCCCAGTGAACGGTCTCGGTGCCTTGTTGTAAACCATCTGGCCGGTTTATTTCTAGGCTCCCAAGGCTCTTCCTTCATTCCTGCTTCTTCTTTTTTTCTTTAAGATTTTGTTTATTCATTTATTCTTAGAGAGAGAAGAAGAAAAGAGAGAGAGAGAAGGAAAGAAACATCCACTGGTTGCCTCTCACTCACCCCCCAGCTGGGGGACCTGGCCCACAACCCAGGCATGTGCCCTGACTGGGAATCCAACTGGTGAGCTTTTGGTTCACAGGCCAGTGCTCAATCCAGTCCTTCATTGCTTTTATGGTTGAATAATATTCCATTGTATGGCTATACAATTTTTATCTGTGGGAAGCCAAGGATTTAATGTGTCTCAGCATCTAATCCGTGGGTGTGGTAGCAATGGGGTGTATAGATCACTGAGCCCTTGCCAGGAGCCTCCCTTCCACCACAGAACGTTGCACCCTCTGGACACAGTGTCTGCTTGCTTTGTCCTTTGTTTTATGCGTGTCCACTCTGCAGTGTGATTCTGGAACTTCGGTGTGGCAAAAACCCAGTACAGCTACCACAAAAGAATTTGGCCGTCCACTCCTGAGAAGGACAAGCTCCGTTGCTCCGTCTGCGCACCGGTACAACCCTGCGCCGGCCCCGGCGCCTCGTCTGTAGTCCGCTTGCTAAGGGCTGGGTGGTGCCCTGCACATCTGGGGGTGCTTCTAGTTTTCACAGCCGAGGGAGTATTGTCCGCTACATTACCACCACCACCCTTGTGCCAAGCTTCTGGCACGCGAGCTTAATGTTTTTTTATTTTCCATTTTTTAAGAAGGAAGAACATTAGCTTGCATTTTTTAACTCTTCCTGTTTTCCTGTGACCTGCACTATCTCGTGACCTCATCTGATAGGTTCCTCGCCGCAGCCCTCCCACTGGGGGTAGTGTTACTGAATGAGGGGGACACCGACGATCGGAGGACATTAACCAGCTAGGCCAAGGCCACGAGGCTGGTCGAGGAACCGGCGAATGCACAGCGCAGGGAGTCTCCGTTGTACGGAGTGGCGACAGTTGGCCAGGGAGCTTCTTGACAGCGCAGACCCCCACTGTTTTCTTTTGTCGCTGACTTTCAAAATATCCCCAGAGGCGCAGCCTTTCCTCCAGGCGCAATGCAAAGTCTAAGACTCGGACGTTAGCATGTGGAAAGGAAAAAGCTAAATGCTTTCTGCCCTCCTTCCCTGCCTCGCGTGGGAAATTCCGGCGCAGTTGCCTTGGAAGTAGCGGCTGTCTCTAGGGGCGGGGCTCCGAGCCGCAGCTCCGCCCAAGGTTTGCTCCAAAGCAGGGCGCCGGCGCTGCCACCCGGTAACCTCTCCGTTCCTCTTTTCAGTCGGCCCGCCTTTCCGCAGACCTTTGGTGCCCCCAGCCACATACTGAAGGAGCGCCCCTGCAGCGGCTCAGGGCGCTGGGCGCCCCTTTCTCCGCGGGCTCACCCCTCGGCTGCGCTGATTGGCCGCCCCGGGACCACCCCCACGGGTAGGCAGGGTCCTCCGCCCGGGGAAAGTTTTCTGTGTGCGGAAGAAGTTGGAAGTCCGGAGACTCCGAGGTTGCAGGGCTCTGTGCCGCCATGGAAGAAGCCCCTTTGCGAGAAGAGGAAGAAGAAGAGGAGGGGGACGAGGCTGGGCCCGAGGGGGCTCTCAGCAAGAGCCCCTTCCAGCTCACCACCGAGGATGTGTACGACATCTCCTACGTGGTGGGCCGTGAGCTGATGGCCCTGGGCAGTGACCCCCGGGTGACACAGCTGCAGTTCAAAATCGTCCGCGTCCTGGAGATGCTGGAGACGCTGGTGACTGAGGGCAGCCTGACCGCCGAGGAGCTGAGAATGGAGCGGGACAGCCTGCGGAAGGAGGTGGAGGGCCTGCGGAGACAGGGCTCGGAGGCCAGCCCAGAGGTGAGTGCGGAGAGGGCCCGCCGCAGCGGAGGCGTGTGGGGCATTGCCCACGGTCGGGGAGGCCCCCTTCCAGTCTTGAACATCCGCGGGCCTCCAGGCAGATCACTGGGAGGATCCAGCCCTCAGATTGGAAACTGTGATTGTAAACATTTACCGAGCCGTTACTACGCGTGCGTGCTGGGCCCTGTGCTGAGTGTGTTCTGAACCTGTGCCTGTGGCCTTTTTGACCATGACCTAGAGCAGCGGTTCTCACGCTTTTCAGGCAACACAATCACCGGGGTGTTCCTTAAAACTCAGACTGCCACCGGCCCCAGGTTCTGATCTGGTAGGTCCCGGCGAGACCTGAGCATGTGCTTCTGAAACAACTTCCCAGATGAAGCAGATGCTGTTGGACTAAGCATCACACTTTTGAGTATCCTTGACCTTGATTAAGAAAGATTTTTCCCTGGCTGGTGTGGTCCAGCGGATTGAGTGCTGACCTGCAAACCAAAAGGTCATTAGTTCGACCCCCAGTCAGGGGACATGCCTGAAGTGTGGGCCAGGTCCCCAGCTGGAGGCGTGTGAGAGGCAGCAGATTTCTCTCACACATGGATGTTTCTCTTCCTCTCTCTCTTTCTCCCTTCCCCTCTAGCTAAAAAAAGTAAATAAATAAAATCTTTTAAAAAATAAAATTTGACCAAAGAGAAATGAGAAAAAGACACACGCTAGAATATTCAGAGTAGCTTTATTCATAAGCGTGCGGAGCTGGAGAGACTCGAACGCAGCAGAGGCCCGGAGTCTGAATCCTGGGAACCCTGCCCAGCCACCACCAGGGACAGGGCCGCTGCCCTCGCCGCGTCTCGCTGGGATTAGAGGCACCCAAGGAAGCCTCTCACTCTGCTTTGAGTGAGATTCCAGGACAGGCGGACTAATCTGGACTTACAGAGGACAGATAGAGGCTAACCCCCGGGAGGGGACAGTGAGGGGGGCGGAGCAGGTTGTGGCTGCGTGGCGTACACACATGGCAACAATCATGGGGTGGTACACTCAGGATCCGTGCGCTGTACCGTGTGTGTGTTACGCCTCCACCTCACAAAATTACATTTCAAGAAACAGTTTACCCCAGTGCACCATGATGCACAGTCTCACTCTCCTGGTTTATGAGGGTTTAAATTCTCTGTGCAACTCACTAAACTAATTTCTACTCTGCAGCGGGTCTCCAGCCTCAGTTTAAAAACGTCTGCCCTGAGCAGGCTCTCTCGTTTGACCCCACACGATATCGTACCGGTCTCTGAGAAAGGGAGGCGCAGGGCAGGTGAGCAGTTTACCCAAGGACTCAGATCAAGTTAGCGGTGGAGGCGCGGTTCGAGCACGGAGATGCTGGGTTTAACCACACTGCGCTCACCCAGGCCCTTGACCTTTTCGCTGCACTGACACTCGGTGAGTGACTGCACTGAGTGGCTCGGGGGCCATGGAGTAACCAGGCCCTGCCTTAGCAGAGCTCCCGTCTGGTGGGAGGGGTAAGGACCCCCACGGGTGTCTGGCAGCCTCCCTGGTACACTCGTGTTCCTCCCACTCGTGAGTCATGGTGACAGTGCATTCCCAGAGAAGGTTCTGCTTCTGCGCCCATCACGTCAGGATGAGCGGTGGCTCTCCAGATCTGAGAGCAGTTCCATGACTCACCCCTCATCGCTCGACTCACGTCCGCGCCCTGCCCGACCCCTTCAGATCCGGGCACAGGGGTGGAGGTGAGTCCCACCATGGACCATGGACCAGGGGCCGGCGACTTCCCGCTCGGGCCGCAGCGGACACGCTTCATCAGCCAGCAGACGAAGTGGCACGTTTTCCTCCCGAAGTGCAGCCTCAGGGGCGGTGCTGGGAGGAAAGGCAGAGACAGCGAGCGTTTACTGCCCATAGACCGGCCGTGCAGATGTGCCTTATTTGTTTTTCTTTCTTATTCATTATTTTTGCTTGTGATAAAGCACACACAAACTGTACCGTCTCAACCATTTTAAAGTTCAGTAGCACCGAGCACATCCGCGTGGTCATGCGACCGTCACCACCACCCTCTCCAGGGCTCTTCATCTCGCAACACCGAAGTCCCCGTGGGACAGCAGCTCCCCGCTCCCCAGCCCTTAGTCGCTACTGTTACACTTTCTATTTCTATGAATTTGCCTATTTTAGGTACTTCCTGCAAGTACACTCGTATAACATCTGTCCTTTTGTGACTGGCTTATTTCACTCAGAACCATAATGTTCTGAGGCTCTCAAGGGCCTTCCACGTTGGAGCGGGTGTCCTTACTTTTGAAGGCTGAATAATATCCCACAGCAGGGCGGGCCACACCTGCGGATGGACATTGGGTGGCCTCCACCCCTCGGCTGCTGTAAAGAGCGCTGCTGTGAACGTGGGTTTGCAGACACCTTTTCAAGGCCCTGCGTTTGGTGCTTTTGGGCGTGTGCTCCAAAGTGGAGCTGTTGGACTGTATAATCATTTTATTTTTAGTTGTTTAAGGATCTGCCGTCCAGGTTGCCATAGGGACTGCGCCATTTTCCACCCCCACTCACGGCGGAGTTCCCGCCTTCCGGCGTCCTTGTGGGCACTTGATATTTTTGTTCTCTTTGTTTGTAGTAGCCACCCTCACGGGTGACTGCCAGGCAGTTTTTTTCCATATAAAAAAAATTTAAGTTCAAAATTTAAAAGGTGCAACAGTATTTGCCTTGAAGAAAAACTCCCTCCCCATCTCTCTCCACCTCCAACATCCCTCTTCCCCTCACTGGAAAGATGTAAATGCTCAGTCTCTTGTAGATCCTTCCAGAGATACTTTATGCAAACACAAGCAGATATGAATGTATTCTCCATATTTTACACAAATGCTGTTATAACATGTGCTCTGTTCTGCCTCTTGCTTATTTTCACTGAATGTAGCAGGGAAGTTATGCTGGTCCAGGTAGGAAGAGCCTCCTCGTCTCTGAATGGCTTTTCTGGTCAAACTTCCATTGCACGGTGTTACCAGTTCTTCAGCCCGAGGGTTCCAGGGGTTTGGGGGTATCAGCCAGCTCCTCAGGAGCTCTGGCTCTTTTCTTGGAGAATGTACTTCTGCTTCTTGGTGACCAAGCAAACACTTGCAACACCAGGGCCCCGGGAGTAGCAAAACCAGAGAACTTTCCTTTCAGGGGGCGGGGAGTCCATGCTCATGAGGGAAACTGCACACGTGACGTCTTTTCCTGCAGGTAAACCTGGGGCCAGACAAGGTGGTGGTTGACCTGAGAGACCCCAACCGCCCGCGCTTCACCCTCCAGGAGCTGCGGGACGTGCTGCAGGAGCGCAACAAGCTCAAGTCCCAGCTGCTGCTGGCGCAGGAGGAGCTGCAGTGCTACAAGAGGTGGGCCCTCCGCCCCGGGCCCCGCACGCCTGGACGTGTTACGTGTTTGTTCTTACGTTCACTCAGCCCATTCACCCAAGACCTGTGATTCCTGGTGGGGGTGGGAGGGAGCAGGGACCGAAAACGAGGAAGTGCATGCTCAGCCTTCCTGGGGGGGAGAGGCAGGCAGCAAGGAAGCCTGCAGCCGACCCTCAGGACAGTGGCCTGAGTGCTCCCGAGGAGATAAGGCGAGGGGACAGGACAGAGACGGAAGTGCTGAGGGAGTTGTGGGGTGGGGCGGCCCCTCAGGACAAGTGACAGGAAGCAGCCCACCCTGTAAAGATCTGGTAGGACTGGAGTGGAGCAAGAAGTTTGAGGGCTGGAGGTGGGAGCCAGCAGGGCCCAGGTCAGAGACACGCGTGTGGGGACGGGAAGCACAGGGCAGGCTGGTTGGGGAGAGATCGGGGTTGCGCCTTGTTGGCCACAGGAAGGAACTCCGGTTTTAGTGTAAGCGTAACGCGACGTCATTGGGAAATTTTAGTCCAGGGAATGACAAGGTCCGATTTCCTGTTTCAGACGATCAGTGTGGTGACTTTGATAACTGAACTATTTGGTATGTCACAGGGTATTCTCGTCCTTGGAAGATACACACTGAGTTCTTTAGGAGTAAAGGAGGAAGGCGTCTCCAACGTCCTGTCAGGTGGTCCGGAGACACAGGCGCGTGGCGGGGTGGGCGCGTGAGACAAGCAGACAATTGGGGGGTCTGGGGAAAGCATTTGGGAGGTATTTTTTACTAACCTTCCAACTTTTCTGTAAGTTTCACACTATATAGAAAGTAAAAGCCATACGCGACCACAACAGTAATACTATGTGAAAAGAAAGGACGTTAGGACAAGGAAAAGGGAAGTCAGGATGTTACTGGCAACTGGGGTTTGGCCTTTGCTGTATTCACCTGCGCCTCTGTTCCCCAAAATGTCGTCTTTCACGTCAGTATTTCTTGAAAAGCGAGGCTTGGTGGTCAAATGACTCCGGGAAACACTGAGTGAAACAGAGTGGGTTTCTCTAGAGGCAGAAAAAGGAAAAAGCAAGGCAGTAAGAACACAGTGCCAGCTAACGTTTACCGGCTAAGGTTCACCAGCGCTCGCCATGGGCCGGGCGCTCTGCTAAGCCGGTCCTGAGCCTCATCTCTGTGAGCGTTCGGAGCACGGCTGCGCGCTCGGGGAGTGGCGGTTCCACGGGGATCTGTGGTTCACGTCGGGCAGGTACCTGCTTGAAGTCCGCGGCTGCTGGCGACCACAGTAGGACGGGCCCTCAGACGGCCCACAGAGCTGTACCCCTCATTGCCGTGGCGCGTCTGGACTCGGGGAGCTGGGGAGTGAGGACATGTCCTGAGTCAAAACAGAGCCCGCGTGGTGCCGCCCTTTGAGTCTCTTCGCCTGGGCGCCACTGGGAGCGCAGCAGTGACGTGAGGCTGCTCTGGGAAGCCGACCTGAGGCCTGAGTTCTACCAACAGAAGTGTGCCTGTCCTCCTTCTGCTGAGGTTGGGACCATGGTGATGGAGAGACCTGTCGTTGTGTCCTTTAGTAAGCGTTTCGGACACAGGTGGTCGAAAACAGGAGCACTGAACTGCTGGTGCCCGAGCAGCTTGCTGGTGAACGAAGCAACACTGCTGGTTTCTGGTTTCGAATCCCTGGGAACGACAGGCGGGCACGTCCCACCTGGGACAGGCCAGTGGACGGCAGGTTCTGTTCCGTCTCCTGTGCTGTGCGTCCTGGAGAGACGGGCAGGTCCTTGGAGCCGTGCTCTCGGCAGGGGCACCCGTCTGGAGGCCGAGTCGCATACAGGTGGTCTTCTCAGATGGAAGGCGGGCGCGGTGGCTGTTTGCACTGATGGCCACGGCAGCTCTTCCCCCGCTGCCTGCCTTCCGCCGCGCCCGTGCTCCAGCAGCAGAGACCGCTCTCCCTGCCCTTGGGTCCGGGTGGCCTGTGACTGGCTTTGGCCAGTGGAACTCTCCGTTCGTTCGGCTCCTGACTTGGGCTGAGGTTTCCAGTTTTGTGCTCTTGGAATGCTGCCGCGCGGCCGCCGCGCGGCCACCGTGAAGGAGCTCCAGGTAGTCACAAAGAGAGGTCACAAGGGGGCCCGGCTGTGCCCCGGCTGCGCCCTGCCTGCAGCTCATCCAACTGTGTGCAGCTACATGAGAACCCGCAGAGAACCACCAGGCCGACCCAAAGACACAGCCGGCGTGAGGGTCGGAGACCATCACCACTGCCATCCCTGTTTGGGGTGCTCTGCGACAATGGAGCATGGAAAGGGGGATTTTTAGACGATGCCTTTGATGAAATAATAGAATAAAATGTAAATAATAAAATTAAATAACAAAAGCCCACTCTTCACAGAGAAGGAGAGAGAAGGGTGAGCTCTGCTTGCCAAAGCTCGAATGTAGAGGGGTATTGGGGTTGGCGGGGGCCACCGTAGCAAAACACCACGGGCCGGGGGCTTGCACAGCAGAGGTTTCCTTTCTCACAGTCCTGGAGGCTACAAGTCCAAGATAGAGGTGCCCGCAGGGTTGGTGCCGGCCCTGCCTGGCTCACAGGCACTTCCTTCCAGCTACGTCCTTGCATGTCCAGGAAGGAGAAGGCAAGCCCTCTGGTGTGTCTTGCTCTCACACTGGTCTTGTCATGAGGGCCCACCCCGTGACCTGATGTAAACCTGATTGTCCCCCAGAAGCACCAGGGACCAGCTCACCTGGGGTTGGGGCTTTAACTTGTGAACCCGGGTGCAGAGTCCTGTCTGTAGCAGGGAGGAAGCAGCACAGACATATATGTCCCTGCAGGTGCCCCAGCAAAATGCCCGAGTGGATCTAATGAGCTCACTGGGTCACATGCTGAAATGCTCTGTTATGCCCCAGCTGGTGTGGCTCAGTGGATTGAACGCAGGCCTGTGAAGCAAAGGGTTGTGGGTTCAATTCCAAGTCGGGGCACATGCCTGGGTTGTGGGCCGGGTTCTCCAGTGAGGGGTGTGCAGGAGGCAACCACGCATTGATGTGTTTCTTCCTCTCTCCCTCCCTTCCTGCCTGTCTAAAAATAAATAAACAAAATCTTTTTTAAAGAAAGAAAAACTCTTCATTGTAGTCAAGCTTTTGTTTGCAAGTGACAGAACTCCCATTCAAAGTCGCTAAGGACAAAAGGGAATTTATTGGCCTTCATAGCTGGGAAGGATCCTGGAATTGCTCTCAGAAATAAAGAAAAAAATGCACCCAAGGCCTCAGGGTTGGCACCAGGGACTGGGTGCCTCTTTCTTTGCTCCCTGCTTCTCTTCGTCCTCCTTATCTTGTATGACAGATGGCCCTTCTCTGAATCTTAGTAAACATGACTGCCAGTAGCCCCAGCTGAGCAAGAGAGAGAACAGCCTGCTTCCAACTTCTGTACAGCAAGTCCAGGGAAAGGTGCTCTGGCCCTCCGTGAGTCACCTGACCACAGTATCTTGTCACTTGATATAGATCTAACTCTTTTTGCCATCTGATGTACTACATATTTTTATTTTATTTATTTATTTTTTACTGACTGTCTTCTTCCCTGCTAGAATGTAATTTGCATGAGAGAAGATATTTTCTCTGTTTTGTTCATCGCTGAGTATCTATGGCACTGTGGTATATTGTGTAGCTTGGTAAATATTTGTTGAATGAATGAGTGTCATGTATCATTGTCTCACTTAATCCCTCCATTCTAGGAGCTATGTACTCTTGTCATCCTCATTTTACCAATTAGGAAATCAAAGCTTAAGTTAGAGAACTTAATTCATGGTCATGTTTCTACAAAGTGGAGAAGCTTGAACTACTAGCCAATGCAATTAGACAAGAGAATGAAAGGAGAGGTGTCAACACTGGGAATGTGGAGGGAAGATTCTCATTATCTGAGTCCAAATCTTTCTGATTCTCAGTACTAAAATTATTAAATAATAATATTAAGATCCTTTACTTTCAAAGGTGCACAGATAAGAATGCAATAAAACAACCCATTTATTTGTCCCCCTTTTCCAGTGGGCTGATTCCAACAAGAGAAGGCCCAGGAGGAAGAAGAGGACAGGAAACTCTGGTTGTGAGGGCCAGCGATGTCAGCAGAAGCAAGGAGGACAAAACCATCATAAGGAAGCTGTAAGTCACCTTGCTGCCCCTGTTGCCACTAAATAAACGCTAAAGGGTGGAGTGGGGGTGAGAGGAGGCTGGCCAGCCACCCAGCCTGGGGAGGTTCTGCTCTCCTGGTGGTAGGGCTGCTGCCAGTGAGAAAACTCAGTGCCCAGGCGTCGTAATAGACGCCAGGGAGTAGCCTAAGCTCCGGGCACTGACTGTTTTCTCTGTGAAAGCTCCGTCGGGTGCTCTGTGGGACGGTGGAGTGCGGCCACCCCAGGAAGGGCCTCCTGAGGCTGGGGTCGTGCAGGAGCTCCCCACCCTCCCTGGTGCCATCTGGAGGGGTTCACTGAGCACTTCCGTTGGCTGAGTGTCCCACTGTGAAGGCTTCCAGGAGGCATAAATAGCAGGTTTCCTTCTGCCTCTTTTGGGCAAGTTCTCTGGGTTATTTTGCTGGCGTTTGAGCCGGACACGACAAAAATAAAATGCTTGTTCTGGGTACTAGCCAGCCTGTGAACACACATATGAAGAGCAGGAGGCCATGGTCTGTTGCTCAGACAAGCTTATTGAGCAAGTGAATGAATGAATGACTTTCTGGAGAAGGAGGTCATGCTACGAAGGACTCTGGTCTCTGTCCTACAGACCAGGAGCTGTGGAAGGGCTTAAATTGAAGAAAGACTCAGCTCTAAATAGTGACAGGGACATTCTGACTGCTATGAGTGGACTGTAGGGGTGACAGGGAGGCTCTTGTGGCTTGGATGGGGGGCAACAGTGGGGTGATGAGAGCAGTGGGATCGGGGACAGATCATGGTCACAGTGAGGTGTCTAAAATGGAGCAGAGGGAGGGAGGGAGGAGTCTAGCACGACTCCCAGGTTCCTGGCTGGAGTGACTGGGTGTCAGGTGATGTCACTTCTGGAGAGAGGGCACCGGCTGGGGGAGGGGGTGGCTGAGCACTGGCAGTGGGACCCCGCCCCAGTCACAGCTTGCCCCTCGGTTGCTCCCAGGGCCCCCCGGAGCCCCAGGCTGGACCGCTGGCAGCGGCAGCAGCTCCGAGACTACACGGTGTGGGCGGCCCAGACACCTCTTCCTCCTCCAAACTTGGGTGTCAGGGGAACAGCACCGCAAGTTTGCTCTTCATGTCTCGGGGGACACCTTTGTGTGTTTTATCTGTCTCATCCAAGAACTTAAATGTCAGTCTTTGTGTCTTCAAAGGTCTGCTTTATAATTGTAGGTAACATTGAGAAGCTGTTGCTTCCTCTACAGTAAAACCGCCTAAAATTATAAAACAAATGTGGCAAAGTCCATCTGTTAGTAGAGGGCAGGGGCTGGGTGGACTCCAGGTCCACAGCTTTTTGTGTGGCCCTGGCCTGGGGCTTGACCTCACGGAGCACCGGCTGGCTCATCTGTAAGATAGGGACACCGGCGGTCCTCACCATCCGGGGCCGGCACGCATGTGCTCTGAGCTGGCGGGGAGGGCGCCCGGACGGCCCCTGTCCACGGTGAGAGGGAGTGTCCACGTCACGGGCCTGCCCGAGCGGCTTCCAGGCTTCACCTCGGGCCCTGGGCCCCCTGCTTCGTTCCACCTGTCCCCTCTGACCCCCCTCTCTCTCCACTCAGGTTCTCCTTCCGGTCAGCGAAGCAGACATAGATCTGAGGCAGTGGTTCTCAGACTCGAGAAGACAGGAAAGCTGCAAACTCCGCTCAGTGCCACGCGGACCCACGCACTTTCCACCTTGTTTCCCCTCAGAGCTGTCTGAGGAGGAAGGAGGTGGGGTTCTCACTGTCTCCTGGCTGCAGAACTGGACGTTCCCGGAGGCTTGGCCAGGGCAGGGGGGCGGCCTCCGGAAAGCAGAAGAAAGTACAGCCACCACCTGCCCACGTCAGCTGCCGGGAGGGGCTCAGCATTCTGCTCCCCTGGCCCTGCACGCAGCCCTGCCCTCCACGGAGCAGCAGCCTTGCGTCAGCCCGCAGGGAGGGGGAGACGCCGGTGAGTGCGGCGGTGGCCTTCCGGGGACCTCGCCAGTGTGCAGTGAGTGTCTGACTTGGCTAACGGGACTTCATGTTCTGATTTTTGTATTAAAGTAAGATGACTTTCCTACTTTAAGTAGAGTGGTCTCTTGGAGTTGTGTCACCTTGTGTAAGGCACTTTGACCTCTCAGAGTCACGGAGTCCAGATTGCAAACTGTGTATATTGTGGTGTACATGAACTTCACTGAATCTAAGTGACGTACCATGGTTTTGGGCGTTGGTATGAGAGGGAAAATTGCTATAGATTGTAACATGAACATACTTGATTTGAAGGCTCATTCTGATTTCAGAGGATGAGTGTGAAAAATGTACATGTAGGAATCAGTGAAACACGATGTACAGATTAGTAGGTGCGCGCACTTTGCAAAGCCACTGACGGCACCCGTGAAGCCCGTCTGTGGGCCGGTGAGCACCACGGGCTGACTGCTGCGCGGTCTTTCATTCCTCTGACATCATGGGGAGATGGGGACTGGGGTGAGCCCGTCTGCAGAACTGGGAACCATGGCTGAGAAGCTGAGGCAGCGTACACGAGGTCACGTGGCTAGGAGGCGCTGCCCAGGACGCAAACGCAGGCCTGAGTCTAGGGACTGGTTCTTGTCCGTGCAGCTGTGTACGCCCAGTTCCCCAGAGCGCTGGCATTCATAATGAGCACCGTTTGCGCATGCCCGGCCTGCACCATCTTAAGCAGGGGTCCCCAACCCCCAGGCCATGGACTGGAACCCAGGAACCAGGCCACACAGCGGGAGGTGGCTGCAGGCCAGCCAGTGAGCAAAGCTTCATCCCGCTCATATTACCACCTGAGCTCCGTCCCACCCCCTCCGACCCCCCACCCTCCAGTCCACGGAAAAACTGCTTTCCACAAAACCAGTCCCAGTGGCCAGAAAGGTTGGGGACCACTGAAGTACCTCTCACACACTGTCTCACTATACATACCCCTGCGGGCTGGGGAGTGTCATTCTGGTGGCACACCAAAGTCACAGCACAGTGTGGCCAAGGGACCTGTCCCAGGTCCAGCTAGAGGGTGGGGGAGGCTCCACAGCCTGGGCTTCGGCCTCCTGGCCCCAGAGAAGGAGAACCAGCAACATGCAGAGTGTGGTCCCGAAGGCCACCTCCGCATTCTCAGGCCAGGTGCCCAATCCCCGACTTCACAGGACACTGCAACCCTGACTGGGCACTCCCCTCTCTCCTGCGCTTTGGGGTGACGGTCAACTTGGGAAACAAATGCATGTCCTGACTTCAGAACCACATGGACCAGACGAAGGCAGGGGGAGAGCACAGGAGATGGGGGAGGGGCAGCATCCTCTGCAGGACCACAGGGCAGGGTCAGGTCCTGGGACCGCCGCTGGACACCCAGCCCTGGGACCAGTCCTCCCTGGCACCGGCCCGACATCCTACAGCCTAACCTCGGTGGCTGGGCAGCTGACCTCCAAGGCAAGGATGTGACAATACAAGATGCCAGGCGACACCCAGCAACCAGGCAGGCGGAGGAAGTTCCCATTGGATGGACAACTTTCAGAGGTGATCTGTCCACAGTGACAGGCTGATAGCCTCTCGAAGATGGTGCTGGAACTGTGTTTCCCCTGTAAACCCAGGACTCCACCCACTGCGCCAATCTGCTTCCAGTGCCCGGGGCTAAGGGAACAGCCAGTCAAGGGCGGGTGGTGGGGTGTGCCGTGGGGACAGACCTGGGCTGGCAGGAGGGACTTCAGCACCAGGCAGGCGCAGGTGATGAGCCAGGGGTGCCTGAGACCAAGCCTCGTGCACTAGAAACCAGTGACAATCACGCGTTAATGTTTACTGCGAGCCAGGTCCCACTCTCAAGGTCCAACGTGAGTGAACTTTTCACCCTCACAAGCACCCGGTGACCCCGTCATGCAAATGAAGTAACTGTCGCACAGGACAGTCACCAAACCTGACCACAGTGTAATGGAAACCAGAGACCCAACTCAACTCTTCCACCTCCACCATGTAAAAAACAGACACACAGGTAGCCTTGCCTGGCAATAAATATTTTAATTTCTGTTTCATTTTTATGATGACAAATAATTTTCAAGTTTATTTCCTTTTTTAAATACAAAGCTAAACCACAAACAGGTACAACCAAGACATTCTATCTCACATTGACACACTCTGTCGGATCCTCCTCCGATTGGCTGACCGCTGACCAGGCAAGTGTGGGCTGGGGGAAGACTCCTTAGGTAGCACCGTCGTGAGGCTGGGGGGGCGTGGGTGGGGGGCAGGGCTGGAGGGCGTTGAGCTTGAGGACAAGTTCTCACACCTGTCTCCATTCACAGTTACCCAGGTCCAAGGGGGCGCCAGGAGACCCCAGGTCACGGCCCCAGGGCCCAGACCCTGGACCGCAGGTTAACAGAGTGAGAACCGGTCCCCCTTCGTGGGGGAGGAGGAAGCTGCCCGTTCACGCCTCCTGCCATCACAGTCAAGGTGAACACTGCACCCTTAGCCTTGATCCCTGGGGGCCAACCTGCGCAGCAGCCTGACAGCAGGTCTGGAACTTTCGACCCAGCAGAATCTGCTCGCGTGGGAGAGGGGCAGGTGGGGTGGGGGGTACTGGATAAGTAATTTCTGGTCCCACTACAAAACTTTATTTTTGATTAGAATAGAGTACCATCTCAAATCTCCTCTACAAAAACAAACAAAAAACCAAACCAAAAGGAAAAGGAAAAAAATGCAGCCACTCCACTCACTTTTAAGACCTATGTACATGTAAGTTGTTTTCTGTGGTTTTTTTCTTTTTTTAAATCTTTTTTGTTTTTTAAATTTTTATTATTTTTCTAAAATAAATTCAGTGTTCACATTTCTATAAAGAATCGCCCCAGTTTTGGGAAGCCCTGCCCTGGCAGGGCCAGCTAAGCAATGCTTTTCCCTGCCCACACCTCCTTCGACGGCCGCCCTGGCGCTCCCAGGTGCCCGCCCAGCGGCAGCCCGTGGAGGAGTAAACCCAGGCCCGGCCCGTGCCCAGGGGCCACCGGGGCAGCAAGCTTTCGAGAAAGCAGAGGGGAAGACTAACTTACTGCGAAACCCTTTTAAAAAATATCCATACACTCCCATGTGCACCTGGCAAGATGTCAGAAGAACAAGAGCTTACATCCCGGCCGCCTGCGCGCGGACTTCGGGGCGCGGGGAAGAGCCCCTGGCCCTGTGGCCGGAGGTGGGGGCGCCACCAGCTTCCTAGCCCGTGTCCGCCTCTCTCCTCGGACACCTGCGCCGAGTCTCTGGCTTGCATGCACGGGAAGCACGGACATCCGACTTGTATGCAAAAAAGGTACAAAAACAACTAGAATAGAAAAGTTTTGGTAATATAAGGCCATCTGTTCAAGTCCACCTTGGAAACCTGTAACAGATATTTAAATACTACGGTGAAAAGGCATCTTAATATACTTTTTAAAAACATCTGAAGTAATCTGCTAAGATTAAGTGTGTAAAAAAAAAAAAGTCACCTCCCTTTGAGGGCACTCTGTCCACGGCAGAGAGGGGGAGGGGCGTCAATGCTTCAGCCAGGGGTAGGCTTCGATGGAGGCCCGGCTCCGGTCCCCGTAGTCGTACAGGAGCTCCTCCCCGGCCTCGATGTCGCGGGAGGCGATGAGGATGAGGTGAGGCACGCCGTCGATGTCGTGCAGCTTGGTTTGGCAGTTCCCGCATTTGCTGTGGTTGATCAGTCTGCCCAGGCGGTTCGTCTCCCGGGTGGCGTCCACGCTGGTGGGGAGGGTGGGCGGCAGAGGGTTATGACGTTGACAAAGAGGCTTTGGAACTCGGCTGAGTCGCTGTGTGCTCTCACCTCAGCCGGGATGTTGATTTATGGGCCCCGTTTTGGGGAAAGCAATTGGACTCAAAAAGCTATCTTAAAGAGTCTAGAGGGGCACTGGGTGGGGTGTCTGGCGGGGGGGGGGCGGGGGGCGGCCAGGCGGGGATGCAAAAGGCTCTTTGTGGAGGCCCTAGAGCGCTGTGGGGTTCTGCACAACGAAGAGCTGACTGGAAGTCAGCTGTGCCGAGGGGGGGAGGCCTCCCGGGGGGGCAGGGAGCACGGGAACTCTCTCTACCTTCCACTCCATTTTGCTGGGAACCTAACCTGCTCTGAAAGAGTCTGTTCAAAAAAAAAAGCAGTCAACTGCACTGGCCATATGGAGAAGGGAGCAGCCAGTGTGAGTTCTGGAGCTGCCTTGGCCACGTGCCCTGGGAGGGGGAGGCCAGGTGAGCCTCCAAGAAGCGCTCATGTGACCAGTCCCCAGCCACCCCCCTCACAGCCTCGATCCCAAAGATGAAAAACGAGAAGAGGGAGAGAGCGGCTCCGAAGCTTCGAAAACAGCACCGAGCACGGCACAGGGTGCGGGAGCCACAGAGTCAGGTGCTCGTGCCCGTGGCCACGTGGCCCGTCCTCCCTGCTGCGGGCAGCACCCACGGACTTACCAGTAGGTTTTGCTCAAGTACTGGAAATAGTACATGTAGCAGCCGGTGGAAGGGTCCTGTGCATACAGAGCCTCTCGCTTCCTGGCGTCGGTGATCTCGATGAGGTCCCCGTGGTATTCCACCACGAACTCGCCCCGGGAGAACTGCTTGGTGGCGATCACGCCCCTGCCTTTGCCATCGATGAGGTCAATCTGTCGGGAGGTGACGAGACAGAAGGTCGGTTCGTCACAGCCAGATGCCGCCACACGTGGCCGGCTCAGAGTGCCCGGGGCCGCACCACTCACATGACCGGCTTTGCTGAGGTCCACCATAGAGCCCACTCACTTTATACGGGCAGGAAACGCATTACACAGGTGTGTGACTATCGCCTCGACCCACCACCCCTCATGAGAAATCTGCCCTCCGGTGGGTGTCTCCCCATTGTGCAGGTGAGAAAACAGGCTGAGAGAGGCAGGGCCAGGTCAAGGCCACGCGGCTATGACGTGGTGTAGTGCAGACTGAAATCTCCACAGGTGGCCTTCTGGAGGACAGCAGGACCAGTGCCCTTCATCTCTCCTTTATGCCGAAATTTGCCCCCGTGTTCCCCCTCTCCCTGTTACAAACACAGGGGAAGGCACTGTGGCCTGGGCCCGACTTGGGTTCGGGTCTCCCACAGTGGACTTAAAATCGGCACAGACCAGGGCTCTCCAACCCCCACTCCCACCCAGACCCGGCAGGCCACCGGAGTTCCTTCTCGTCCACCCAAATGTCTTTGAAATTTATGAAGACAAAAAGCATGTCTCTCGGGCACTGCCATTTCCCAGAAAAATGGGATTTCGGAAAAGCTTCTTCGTTTCTCCTTTTAAAAGTGTCCCCAGGCATCACATGAACTGGAAGAAGCCAGCTGCGACAGCTACTTATTCTTCGGCGCCGTTTGTGTGGAATGTGCACAACAGGCCGTCCGTGGGGGCAGAGGGCAGAGGGGCAGGGCAGGGGCGGGGCGGGGGCTGCTAACAGGACCGGGCGGCCATCCATGAGGACGCGCGGGCTGTGGAAGTAGACGGGCAGCGCCTGCACAGCACTGTGCTGCACGCCCTTGACCGCAGACTGTGACGTGGCTAACACCGTAACTCTTATGCTACGTGTATTCTAACGCAATCTAAAAAACGTCCCCTTGGGATGACACCTCACAGACGAGGTCCACCTGTCACCTTCACGAGACGGACCCTGAGCCAGGGTTTTAGCGTCAGGCCCCGTGATGACCTAACAGTCTCACTAGCTAGTGATCACTAGAAGGTTAAACCACCCGCTGTCACCCGGACCTTTTTAAGTCCTTAACCTCCTCATGGGGCCCCTGCCGCTCTTACCTTCATTCCTTCTTCCTTCCCACTTTCGATCAGTTTGTCTATTCTTCTCCTTTCTTCAGACTGGGAAGAAAACCAGACACACATCAGCCTTCTCTCCCAGGCCATTCTGGACCTGCCGGGGCCACACCATACGGCCTCCCACAGCTGGCCTCCATGATATCGGTCCCCAAGGATGCCCGGGTCCTCCAAGCACCCCCCCCCTTTCTCATTGCCCATCTGTCATGGACAATTTTGTGGTTTGGGGTCCACCTGAACCAGGAGGAACACAGAAGGGTCCGGGCAGAATCGAGGTGCAGCTGTGTCCTGTTTGGCCCACGTGGTGTTTTGGAAAAGACTTCGACTCAATGCAAAATCACCAGGGCTGGTCGCAGGCCGCGCCCATGAGACGGGCGCAGCTGAGAAGGGGGCCCCACCCCACAGAGTCCACGCTGCCCTGAAGGCAGAGGCTGGCGAGGAGGGGATGCTCTGGGCTCACTGTCCGGGGGGCTGCCCCTCCTGGCCCCACCTCCAGCCCAGACCCTGGTCCCACTGCTCTGCCAGTGTGCAGGGAGTTGGACGGAGCTGAACAAAGACACACCAGGGGCCCCAGCACAGTGGGCAGCACCGTGGGAGCTGCGTGAGCAGTGGACCCTGCAGCAGAGTTCGGACCCTCCCCACCCAGAGGGCCCACCTGGGGCAAAGCCTCAGCCAGTAGAGACTGCCTGTGACCTATGGGGGACCTTTCCAGTCACCAGTCCACTCAGGTTTACTGAGCAACTGTGATCTGTGCTGGGGACACAGTGGTGAGCAAGACCAGGTTTCTGCAACCCCTTAGGAGGGGTTTTTGGATGCTGCAGAAGACCCCCCACCCCACCACCTGGGACAGCCCGGAGCCCAGCTCCTTCCCATGTTCCTTGAGGCCTTGCAGCCGAGCCCGCTGGTGCCACCCAGACACCTGCAGCCACCTGGACTCCCAGCTCCCGCTCCACCCTGCCCCCCACTGTTGTCCACACAGCCTCCACAGGAGTCTTTTAGAAACAGATCAGGTAAGCTCACGTTCCTGCTCAAGACCTTCCGGTGAGTTCTCTCGATGCCCTACATTCGCCCACCCCCGTGCTTCTTTCTGTGCCAACAGGAGTGTCCCCCTAGCTTGGCGACCGTAACAGTGGGGAGACTGCAGAAGGGGCCCAAGGGGACATTCCCTACTGTCTTTGCAACTCCTGTGCAAATGTAGAAAATTATCCCCAAACAAAAACTTTATTTAAACTAAAATGCAAGTTTTTCAGTAGCTTCCCACTGCTACAGGGATGGAATCCGTTGTTCTGATGGCCTGTGACTTCCCGTTCCACAGAGACCAGGCCTGGCCTCTGGGGCCCCGCCCCCATACTATGGCCCCTTTGGCAGCTCTTTCACTCAGTCAGGCCAGCCTCAGGGCCCTTGCACGAGCTCCTCCCCTGCCTGGAGTGCCCTTCCCCCAACCCATTCCCCTGGTCTGCTTCCTCCCTTGCACACTGGCTCTGCTCAGAAGGCACTCCCTCGGAGGAACGTCCCTGGCTACCCTGGCTCAAGTAGTTTTGGCCTGGCCACACTACCAGACTACTGCTTTACTCGAGTCAAAGGGCTCTCTGAAATGATCTTGCTTTTTGGCTGTTTTTAGCTGTGCCTGGTCGTCTTTACTGGGGCATCTCCTGGCCCAGAACAGTGCAGGTACATTAGTTAGCCCTCAAAGCAACCCCCCCACAACAACGTGGACTCATTACTGAAGGACGAGGGCGCAGCCTGGGGAGGAGCTGTACAGGGGGCTGAGTCCACAGAGTAGCCAGAGCGAAACTGGGGCGGACGACTGGGCGGCTTCCTGCCGTGAGTGATCGTGGCACCAAGGGGTGGATGGAGGGGAACTGGGACCAGCTTGAGGTCCCACATGTGGAGCCAAAGAGATTGAGTTTGCTTGCCCCGGTGGTCGGGGCATGCCTCCACCCAGCTCGAGGCTTCCTAGTCCCAAAGCGGTCCCAGGGGCAGACTGAGCAGCAGGGACAGAAGTAATATATCCCTGGCTATAGTCAGCAGGCTGCTGTGCACGCTGGGCCCAGGCCTGGGCTGGGAATGGAGCCGGGCATGGCCAACCAGTGCAGCCCCGCCCCTGAGCTGGCTGTCACCCCCCCACTGCCAGGCCAGCCACCTTGGCGTGGCAACGTACCATTCTGGGCGGCTCTCCAGGTCCCACCCTCCTGCCTTGGCCCCGCCCACACCGTCCTCAGTCCCACTGCAGTGTCTGCCAGGCTGTGCGTCTCAGTGTCAGCCCTGGCCGCCCACACCCCTCAAGACGGCTCGCCCACCTGGGCCCCGGTTCCTGCTGCCCAGAAGGGCAGGCAGGTCAGCACTCCAGCCCGGCCCATGGCCCGGCCAGCCACCACCCGGCCCGGTGTTCACTGGGCAGTGCCAATGCAAACACAGAGGCACCGCTCTCCATGCAGCGACAGTGTGGCTTCACTGGGCTGTGGACCAAGCTCTGGGGAGGCAAGTGTCCACCCCCCTCCACGCGTCTGCTGCGAGGCACAGCAGACCTGCACCGCGTCCCATCACCGCCTTCACTGCCCAGACAGACAGGCCCTTGTATTTTTGTTAAAAAGGCCAACTCAGCTGCCCCACCCTGCAGTGCAGAGGGCCTCCCTGTGTGGGCACTCGGCAGCCCATGGGGGCGGGGAGGCGTGTGGGCCCTGGGGCCTGCCGCCACGTCACTGCTGCCTCCCAGACTGACCTCCTCACTGCTGCCTCCCAGACTGACTCAGCACAGCCCCCCACAGTGGCCGAGCACCCCATGCAGCTGCTCTGGGCCCAAGACACACCTTCCTGAGGAAACTGAGCCGAAGCTGCTCTCTGGGGGAGCGCACGGACCCTTGTCTTGTTTTTCTGGTCAATGAAGCCCCACCCATGTGAAGGAAAAAGAGAGGAACAGCACACCAGACTGCCACATCTGTGCCCATGGGTTTAACGTCAACTTGCTGAAGGAGACTAGTGCAGCGTGGGTCCCCCAGCTCTCTGTGGGGGGTGGCGATTCTGAATACTGCCTCCTCCTCCACCTTGAGGTGGCTCTGGGTGTGTGGGAGGGCAGAGGGGCTGCCCAGACGCCCCAAGCGCAGGCCAGGGGGAAGCAGCCAGAGAACTGCAGGGCTGACCACACCCGGGCTTTCCTTAATGGCCAGGTGCTAACCACCTCTCACAGCAGTAAATACTAGCGGGCTGCTCCGCACTCTACAAATACTCCGGCAGGCAGGGCGCCCCGCACCCAGCTGGCCTTCCCACCCATTTTTGGGGGCCCATGCTGGGTGGCAATGAACAAGGAGGAGCCCCGGGACCCAGCAACGCCAGGGGAACACAGCACCTACTGTGTGCCGGGCACAGTTCTAAGTGCATTAGTGTTTAATCCTCCCAATGACTCCACAAGATACTCCATTTTCCCATTCTGGAGAGAGGGTGACTGGGGCACAGGGCGGCTAGAAACCAGCCCAGGGCGACACGGCCAGTCCCTGCTCTGTACCGCCTGAGACCCAACGCGAGGACAGCCAGACAGCAGCCAGACTGCAGCCAGACCGGCCCAGGCTCCCCGGCCTTGCCCACGAGTCCCAGAAAAGCCCTCAGGGCAGCGCCTGGCTCCCCAGCCACAGGTTCCGAGATGCCTTCCCAGAGGCATCTTAACCAAACCGCACGGTGACCCCGAGCGTTATGATGGCCCCCATTAGACCAAGGAGATGACCGAGGCCACAGAGGCAGGCCCTGGTCCCAGACGACGAAGGACAGCTCAGCCGCCCGTGGGGCCCCCCTGCCCCTCCGGGAGCTGGCACGTAAACCAGGCGACTCTGACTCTGACCTGCAGCTCTGCTTTGCTCTTCCTGGAGCTCCTCCGCACGGGGTAGAAATCCGTGAGTTTGCGGTTCTGCTGCGTCCTTCCTTGAGCTCTGGGGAGGGGAGGGGAAAGAGAGGACCACGCTCGCACCTGGAGGCACAGAGCTCCCAAGGGGCAGCTCCCTGGAAACCGAGTCATCACTTAAACACCTGTGGTCACGCGGGACGTCTCGGACACAGTGAGGGGAGGGCTCTTGGGTTCTGGACAGACACACGCCAGACTGAGATGCTGGCAAGTAATGGGGCCCCTGGGGGTGACTGGAGAGAGGGGAGCGTCCGCAGTGGGAGCCGACGCTGCCGCAGGGCCCCAGGGCTGCTGCGGGAGGCTCTTACTTTTTCCGAGGGGCCTGCTTGCCCTTGCCCTGCTTCTTCACGGCCGGCTTGGCGATGGCTGCGTTGGGGGAATCACAAGGCGAGGTCGGAGTTTTTGGAGGTTCTGCTGCTTCAGATTTTTGGTTTGGAAAAGGTGCCAGGGGGCCTCTCCTGGCGTCTTTGATCTTTAGTTCCTCGGACTTCATGGTGCTTCGGAGGGCGTTCCCCGTGGTTCTCTTCTCTGCAGGCGGAGGGTGGAGAAAGGAGATTTACTCCAAATGCTGCGTCCAGATTGCTGGCCTGAGAGCTTCGCGCTAGGACAGGGGCATGGGTGTGTGGGGCAGGCGCACCCTCAGCCTGCTCAGCCCTATGTCGGCTACCAGCTACGGGGGGAGGGTCGCCTGGCTCTACCTGGGACCCGGACACAGGGCAGAGCTGTTGGGCTTCAGCCTTCTTTCCCAGCTTTACTGACACGTGACCGACATAGAGCAAGGCACTCAAGCGGGCCTAGCAGAGCGGGCTTGGTTTTGTTAACACATCTGGTCTTCTGCATCTGGAGGGGGAACAGACCCCGAAGCAGAAGCACCAGGCAGCAATCCCGGCATGAGCGCCAACCGACAGCTTTCAGACCCAGGGCTGCGGGCCCCCACAAAAAAGCAAAGTACCCAAAGCGTGGGCCAGTGCCGGTCGCCAGGAGTGGGCTCCCTGCAGAGACTCTTCCTCAGGCACCACCTGTGCACTGCACCTCCCAGATCCCCCCTCCAGCGGGGTCCCAGCCAAGTAGTCACCGGGCTCTCGGCACAGCACTGAAACGCCAGTCGGGCGCGGAGAGGCAGGGGCGGGGAAAAAGGTTTATTCCTGAAATGGGTGTGGAGGCTCAGGCCTGGGGAGCAAGCCACTTTCTAAAAAATGGCTTACTTAAAAAATATATATATTTATTTCTTTATTTTTAGAGAGAGGGGAAGGAAGGGAGAAAAAGAGGGAGTGAAACACCATTGTGTGGTTGGTTGTCTTTGCCTTTCAAGCATCTCCTACTGGGGACCTGGCCCACAACCCAGGCACGGGCCCTGACTCTGGAATCGAACCTGCAATCCTTTGATTCACAGGCCTATGCTTAATCCACTGAGCTACACCAGCCGGTCAAAAAAATGACTTACTTTAAAAAAAAAAAATAAGTCAATGATACCTGGCTGGCAGGAATGTACCATGGTGAGCTCGTTTAGTAGAAGAATCTGGCAGTTCTTCATAAACGTAAACATAACCTTGGCTGGGTGGCTCAGCTGGTTAGAGCATCGTCCTGATACACCAAGGTTGTGGGTTCGATCCCCGGTCACATACAAGAACGAAGCAATGAATGTATAAATAAGTGGAACAACAAATTGATGTTTCTCTCTCTCTTGCTCTCTCAAATCAATCAATTAAAAAACTTAAATAAAAGGAAATAAAACATGATGCTCAGTGAAAGAGGCCGGCACACAAGGCTACAGGTTGAGCGATTCCATTCATAGAACTCATCCATAACAAGCTAATCCATAGAGACAAAAAGTAGACTGGTAGTTGCCTGGGGCTGGGGGAGGGGAAAAATGGGGCGTAGCTGCTCACTCTGGGTTTCCTTTGGGGTGATGAAAAATCAACAAATGCATCACAACCCCTCCAGACCACTCTCACGCCCGTCCACGCCCTCTCGAGTGGACCGGAAGAAGTGACACCAGGGCGTCATGCACGGCCCCAGGACTGTGGTGCCTATGAACGTCAGCCGTCGGGACGAAGACTGAGGATCAAGGATGAGGGCCTGGCCCTTTGGAGCCTGGCCTCCAAAACATATGTGGCCCAAAATGCTACTCACTGCCGTCTAGTCTCAGTCGGAGCCACGCGAGCCTGACCGGGCACCACGTCACCACTGAGGACCTTTACATCCCGCCCTACTCCAGAAGAAATGAGGCAGGCTGGCCACAGGTGGCGAGAGCCCCTCCCCGCGTCCCCCCACGGAAGGGGCTGCCCTGGGAGGTCCTGTGCAGGGAGGAGCCTCTCACGAGGCCCTTTGGCGCCCACGCTGTGACTGCTCTTCGGTGTAGCCCTGAGGTTTCTCCCACTTCACAGAGGGGCGAGCTGCCCAAGGCTCCTCCGGGGCAGTGGCAGAGCCAGGGTTCGAGCCCTGGTCCTTTGAAGGCCGACAAAACAGCACTGCCCTGCGCACCAGGCATATCAGGCCGGGGCTGGCTCCTGCCGCCCCTGGCTCTCAGATCTGGCCCCTGGGGCTGGCCTAACCCACCACGTATGGCACTTCCTGTTAGTAAATACAAGGCTTCCTTGTGTGGAGCGGCTCCTTTAAGGCGCCTTTTATGAGAAGGGAGCGGGGTGAACTGGGAACAGCTCACACGTCCCAGTGCCCCCTGGAAGGGGAATATTTGGATGAGAGCAGATCTCCGGCAGGCTTCAGCTTGTTTTGCGGGGCCAGAGGGAATTTTCAGTGACCATATATTTATTGTTTTGTTCAATATTTTAACTCGTTGCAGGCTATGTACTTGAGAGAGTAGCTCTGAATGCTCAAAAGGAAAGGAACTTTAGAAATGAGGTCAAGGCCAGCTCATAAAAGGGAAGGAAGTCAGGGCCTGGTGTTCACACAACAGTTAGAACACAAGCGTCTGGTGTGTTGGACCCAGACTCATAATTTCTGCACGCTGGCGCCCGTGGGCCTCTTTAACGGCAAGTCAGGAGGGTTATCTTTGCAGTTTGGCTGGACGATCCACCTCGAAGGACGTGCCAACTCTTGTGAAAGCAGGAGAACCTGTTAGACGAACAGCACGCTCACCCTGGGAGAGGCCACCCTGAGCCCGTGCTCCTTAGCAACCACCGAGAACATGGCTCCTTTCGAGCCCGGGTGTGAAAGGGCTGGGCCAAAACGTACTGTAGGTGTGTAATTATGGAGGAGAGGGGCTTCTGCAGCCCAGCCAGCCGTGGTCGGAGCGGGGCCACCGCGGAGGCTTACCTTCCCGTTTCCTGTAGATGCCGGCACATGGCTTCCCCTGGCATCTGACTTCGTGATGTGCGACCGAGTTCTCCTCCTGAAGGGGGGAGCGCATTCCAGAGCATTTGTTCGGGCTCATGTAGGCGTAGATCTTGGACTGCCCGGCAAACACGTTCTCCTAGAACGACAAACACGCATTCTGAAAGAGGCTTTAAGGAGGAGATTCCACGGCGTTTCGTGCAGAAGGGGTGAGCAGAGCGCAGACAAAAACCCAACACCATCCTCTCTCCGACGCAGGGCTACCGGGTCGCCAGCCCCGGCAGGGCAGGGGAAGGTTTCGAACTTCCCAGGTCCAAGTCGGCCTACTCCTGAACAAATGTGGTCTCCTAATACTGGTCACTAAGGGGGCCTCTGGCCAGTGGGAGAACCAGCCGTACACAAAGGTCCACATAAGGCGGAGAACCCACCAGTAGCAGGGAAGTCGGAAGGAGCCGGAGTGAACAAAAGAGGCTGGGAAGGGCTGGCCTGTGGGCAGGAGCTACAGGGACTCCAGTGCGGAAATAGGCCTCAGGGAAGCTGATTAACCACTTCTTGGTCTGGAGGTCAGCTGGTAGGACTTGTCCCGGATGCCCGAACCTTCTGTGTGCCCAAGTCTGGCCCCTCTGAAGGCAAAGTAGCCCAGCAGCCCAGCAGCCTCCCAAGGGCCGCAGAGGGGACTGCGGCTGGAATCCTCTGGGGTAACTGCGGGTGGCTGGGGAGTGGAGTGCTAATGAAAGCGGGGCCTGGTGCCAGCGCACTTAGGGAGTCGCTCTATTGCAAATGGCACCTTGGCACTAACGGCAGTGTGGGCAGGCGGTGGGGCAGCCAGGTCACTGCTGGTGTTTCCGGATGAGGGGCCTCACCTCTGGGTGAGCACAGACCCAGGAGAAACTATGCTAGGGCCTTTCTGCCTGGCGATCTATTCAACACTAACTCAGCGACACCAGGACAGGCACTGCACACCCCGGGAAGTCTGCCACCTCTGGAGTAGCTGGGTCTCAGGTGTGGAAATGCCATACAGACACAAACTTTTCCGAGGTCAAACACAGTCCGGGTCATGGCGGAGCAAGGGTGGACGCCACTCCCAGGCAGGCAACAGAAAAGGAAGCCGCCCGGCTGGGCGTCCCGCCCGCATCCCGGCCCCAGGGCGGCGGGCGGGGGCCACTGGGCAAGCCCAAGTGCTCCCAGAGCGGGGCCGCGGGGGCCCGGCCCTCAGGGCGTGCTGAGTGAGTGCGGGAAGGGTGCCTGCTTACCCCGTTGGTGCGGGGCCTCCCCGGGCCCCTCCGCTCCACAATCTCCGGGCCCGGGGCCGTCGCTGCCGCCGCCGCCGCCGCCACCTCCACCGCATGGGGCTTGGACATCTTCCTGCCTGGAGAGGGGGACCCAGGGGAAGCGGGGGAGGGGGCGCTCAGGGCGCGGCGGGGCGGGAGCGGGCCGACCGGGCCGGGCGCCGCAGCCATGTTCCGAGGGCCCGGCGGCGATGGGCCGCCAGCACCACCAGAGGCAGGGGCCGGCTGGGCCAGGCCGGGCCCCCACACAGCACTCCCGCCGCCCGGCCTGGCCGGGCCCCTCGCGCCGCCCGCCCCCGCGCGCGTCCGGGCCCGACACACCCACCTGCAGCCCGGCCAGGCCCATGGCGGCTCGCCCGGCGCCCTCGCTGCGGCCCGGCCACCACCGCTCCCGTTGCCACTGTTGCTGCTGCTGTCGCCGCCGCCACCAGCGCCGCCGCGGCGCCCCGGGGAAGGGCCGGCGGCGCCCCACGGCGCCCCCTTCCCCCATGGCCTGCGAGGCAGGGCCCGGCACCCGCGCGCCGAGGCAGCCCCTGCCGGCCTGGGATCGAGGACGCAGGGAGGGAGGCGCTGGCGGCACTTCCTCCGCTGTCTGCCCGCTTGCCACCGCCCACCGTCCGACTCTGGGTGCAGGGAGGGGCTGGCGGGGGCGGCGCTGCGAGGCTCCGGGGGAGGGAGGCAGGGCGGGCCGCGCGGCCATGACGAATCCTGACTCGGGCGCGCCCCCTCGCGTGTGTCCTCAGCCACTCGCGGAGGAAGGGGTGGGTAACCGGAGAATGACAGCGCAGGCTTTCTGCCTGCCCGGCAGCTTCGCTCGCTGGCTCACGGATATTTTGGGAGACCCGTCCGTGCCAGACGCAGTCAGCGGTGTGCCCGAGCCCAGGCTCACGAAGCATTTTTGTGGGCATTTAATCCTTCCCGTAAGCCCATGGGGCCAGGTCCTCCAGCCAACCCGTTTAAGGTGTGGAAACCGAGTCTCAAGGGAGGTGCAGAGGCTTGCCCAAGGCCACAGAACTAGAAAGTGACAACCCCAGGTGGTCTGTACTTGACAGGTACAGGGCCTGGGGAGAAAGAGCCAGGGTTACAATGAGAAGTTCGCTCGGTCTTCTCTCATGCACCTTATCCCGCTCAGACACCGCAGCAGCCCTAGGAAGGTGGGCGCTGTTGTTCTTCCCCACAGAAGGGGGAAACGAGAGTCAGAAAGATAAGGAGGGCAGCCAAGTTCTCGGAACCACAAATGGGTTTCCAGGCAAGTCAGCCCAGAGTCTACACTCCCAGCCACTACCCTTCCTGGTCCCAGATGAGGAAATTATAGTTGGGAGGAGCACATGGTATTGCAGAAGGGTATAGCAAGTCCCCAGGTTCTCCTGTCCCCTCCTGTTCTCCCCAGGAACAGGTGCTCAGTAGGCAGGGGGTCCAGGTACGCTGGTGTCTCATCCGCCCCCCCCCCTCAGCTCAGTGCCCTGGGCCACCACACTCTAGTCTGCGGGGTGGGGGTGGGGGGAAGCTAAAGAGTCCCTGTATTTGTGCAAAGTCAGATACAAACAAGACACCTCTGGGCACCTCGCTGGCGCTGCCAGGGTCACGATCAGGGAGCAAGGATTGGGTTTCTCTCCCTGCCTCAGCCCCAGAGGGGCTTTGCAACCATGGCCAAGTCACTGTCCCAGTCTAGGCCTTGGTGTCCTCACAGATAAAGGTCAAGGACCTTGAATTCCGTGACCTAGCCAGGGCGCCTTCCAACAACCACAGGTTAAACAAATAGCTGTCACTTTAAGTAGCTACACCTTAGAAGGAATAAGACCAAGTGGGATTAAACGGCAGGATGTTGCTCAGGAACAAGCCTCTCAAATCTGTTTAGGATTTAGCATCCTTCAGGGCAGGGCTGGGGACCACCCTCCACCCTCCACCCTCCCAGCCACTGCACTGCCCACTTGAACACCACAAGGCCAAGCTGATAGTTAAAGAGGAAGCTAAAGTGACACTCGGGCAGCCATCTGAAACAGTGTCTGTCACATCTGGGGGCAGAGAAGGTTTTTCAGATGCCAAACTATTAGGAGAATCACAGTTTGAGAACAGGAAGCACCTCACTCCCTCCGCACACTATTTTAAGCCCCGCCCCGCGCCCTTGGCCACAGTGCTCTCAATTTCGGCCCAGTGCAGGGGATACAGTAAATATAAGTCGAGCACCCAGTCCTTACCACTCTGCAGCTGTAGGACCTAGAAATTCTAACCCAAATCATTCCATGTAAGTTTTAAAACAGTCTTCCCTTTCTCTGTACAGAAGGTGTTCTATGTACATATAACAAACACACCTACCAGCAGAGAGCAAAACTCTGAGGTTGCCCAGGATCTCACAAAAATAGAATTCAAAAGCAGTGACGTGAAGAGCTGGCCCTTATCGAATGTCCACTGTAAGTTGGGCCTGTAACGGGCATCATTAAGTTGAGCCTTCCCAACCCTTTATGAGAAGGTGCTATTCCTACTTTACGGATGTAGAGATTAGGGCTCAAGGAAGAGAAGCCTCACTTGCCAAGGGTTCTGGGCCAGGTGCTGCAGTACAAGGGCAGTTTACCCTGCAGGATGGATGTTGCCTCCCTTGAGCTCAGACACTAATGTGGCAATTCACTGATTCCACAAACATTTTTCTGCAAACCTGCTTTGTTTCAAGCCCCGTGGGGAGGTGAACACAGAGACTAATGGAGAACAGCGAGGACTGCAGTCCTAAGAGTAACGGGAGGCTGGGGATGGGGGCCAGTGGAGGTCCCATGCTAAAACTGTGTCCTAGCTGCTGAGGGATGATTGGCAGGAGGTGGCAAAAGAGTAGAGAGGCCAGTAAGCAGGCCCTCTGACAGTCAAGGGCAGTCAAGGGCAGTCGAGGGGCTGGGGCTCCTCAGACGGACACCCGCAAAGTAGAAAACACGTACAGGATTCCGAAACTCTGAACCCAGAGAGGAGTCACCGGTCGTCTGAACCTTTAGTTTGTGGGGCCCAGCAGGCCTCTCAAAGTGAACTACAAGTGGCCTCACAAAGTGGTGTTTGTCCCAAAGACGACTTTTCTAGAAGGAAAAAAAACACCAACCCCTCGGTTGAAGTGCTGTAAATGATTTGGCATCTGTGATACCAAATGCCACATGTTTGCAAGAGCAATGCGGCCTAAGAAATAAGTGACTACTAATTTGGGGGGTCAAGTGAGACAGTGGAAATCGCTAACCAATAAACTACAAAGGTGGTATGGAAGCCACGGTAGCAGCTGGGAGCTCCCGTCTTGCTTAGTAAAGACAGGTCCAAGGGGAACTGGCAAAGGCACAGAGGCTAGAGAGTGACTTTGGACTTCAGCTCCCACCTCTGAGAAGTGGAAATAACAATTTGTAAAGATTAACACTTTATTAAGTGCCTAGCCCTTAATGGTAATTATTAAGTATTGCTAACTAATAAGTATTATTTGGCCCATATGAAGTATTTCAGCATTTCAATGGAGAAGTGCTTAGCTTTGTCCCTTCCCCTGACAAAGATTAATTAAGGCAAACTTTTTTTTTAAATGCTCTACTGTTGAAATAGGTAGATTAAATGATTTTACTGTGATGGGAAAATGAATTGGGGAAGCATATTTTATTAATGTTTGTCAGATAAATTAGTCAGATGTTATTAATATACTTTAGAGGCTTAACACTTTTCTGGAGAAAAATAGTCGTCTTAACTTCCTCTGTGGATTGAGCTATTAAGCTCTGTAACTTGAAGTTCATTATGCCTCATTTCTTAATCAGAATCTGGGTAAGTCTCATCCCAAAAGGCCCTGCAGGGACGCTGGGAGAGTTAAGTGATGCAGCTGGGTGCAGGGCCTGAAAACAAGAGGGGCCCCGTCAGTGTTTGCCGAAGGCGTCCTTATTTTATTCATTATTATTGCTCCAGGGAGCACACTGCATTAAGGCCAATTCCTACTAAAATGCAACGCCTTGGAATATTGAGAAAAATGTAAGACCTCAACTTACTTTTTAAAAATAATAATGCTAGTCAACCGTCACGCTCAAATTTTTGCATGAAGGAGATACAGCGGATGGAAATGACAGGGAGTTGGGGATCGCTTTGCCGCCTAACCTGGGCCTCACTGTCCTGGCAGCAAACTAAGTGTGCAAAGAAGGACTTCGGGGGACAGGGACATTGCCTCCCGCGGCTGTGCTGTCTGTCCTTCCCACCCAAGCCATCTCACATGGGCAGGAGTCCGGACCAGCTGCGGAACGAAGGGCCTCCCCGGGAGGTGCCAGGGGACGCGCGCCTCACCCCCAATTGGACCCGCGGAGCCGGGTCCGTGTCCCAACGGCGCAGAGCTGACTCAGGGCGTGGGGACAGAAGGCAGGCAGGCGCCCGCCATGGCGTCCACTCGGACGCGCTCCCCACGGTGTGGGTTCCCGATGTGAGCCCTCGCCTCAGGGTCACCTCCTTTCCTCAATAGAGAGAGCCCAGAGCGAGCGAAGCCTCGCCCTCCCGTCTTTACAGCAATGACAACTATTCCTTGGAGGTGACCTGCGCTTTAGTTTCCAAAGGGTTTTTGACATATGGACACGCTGCCTCTGCAGAGGCAGGCCTGCTCGTGCCCACACTTAGGGGAAACCTTGGCACGGGAGTGGGAGGGGCTTCTGGAGGCTTGAGGGGTGGGTGAGGAGCTTGGAAGGTTCCTCAGCGTCCCACACCTCCCACCGCCGGTCCACGCGCTCCATCGGAGCAGCCCGCAGGAGGGTGCCTCCCCGCCGCCGCCGCCCCTCCCGCCACCCCGGTCCCTTTACAGCGCGACCCCCACCCCAGCAGCCCAGGTGCTGACCACCTGGGCAAATACCTCTAGCCATGACCCCGGTCTGTCACCGCTTAGGATCTCCCGGGAAACGCAGCTTTCGAAAAAAGTTGCAACAACTGTAGCCAACTGCTCCGCAGAGCACCGGCTGCTGCCCTGATTGGCGCGGTCGCCCGCCTCTCCCTTTGCTGCGTGCCGTGATAGGCGAATGCTAGGGAAAGCCCGCCTTTCTCCCCGCCTCCCCGGCTGGGGGCGGGGTGAGCGGCCGCACTTTCTACAAACGCTTTCGGGACAGGTCCCGGAGGAGGTGGTGGGGGTGGATGGGTGTTTAAATTTTACCGTCTCCCTGCGCTGATTGGCTGCGTGGGAAGGATACCCGCGCTGCCATTGGAGGCCCCAAACTCCGCCCTCTCACGGAGGTGATATATTCAGCCTCTGGAGGTTTAGTCACATGGCTGGAGGACCGGGTTCGAAGACTCCAGGGACTTCCGGTTTTTTCTCCAACTTGACAAGAACCCGACTTTGACCTGCTACGTCCCCATAGGACCTGGGAAGCGTGGCTCCCAGCAGTTGGGCATCTCCAGCACCTTGACCTCTTCCATCGGTTTAATCCATTCCTTTCTAGGTTCGAAAGGTTTACTGGAACGGTCTATTATGCCATTAGTTAAAACCTGCTGGCCTACCTCCGACCAGCTAACCGAATCAGTGGGTAAGCCTAGAACCTCAGGCGAGCCGTAGCCCACCTATCACAGATGGGGAAACAAGGCCGGAAAGAACAGCTAATTTACTTGTTGCTCACGGTCACCCAGCAGTTTAATTGCAGGGCCTGGATCAATCTTCTGACTGTTAGCTCACTGGATGATTACCTGAACCCCCAGGGAACAACCCTGCAGTGCTCCCCACCCAGGGGAGCATCCCTCCCTTTGGTCCCAGAGAAGCACAGGTGTCCTGGATATTCTTTAAAGGCAGGGAAGGTATCCAGTTGCAGCTTTTCCCTTGGGGTCCCTTCTGGGGATGCTGGCAAATGTCACTCACTCATCCATTCTCCCTCTGGTCCCCAAGAAGGTTTCGGAGATCTCAACGTTACCCAAAGATCCTGGTGTGTAGGAAAGCACTGGGGAAAGGAGCCACTGACGAGCCGGGTGGCACTGGCGTATTGTTTCAGCTCTCTGGCCCTCCATATCCCTAGCTGTCAAGTGATTGTGGAGTTGGGTAAAGAGTGATCTTTAAGGTTTCTTCCAGTTTCCACAAATATAGAGAGGTCCTTACTTTCCCTAAAATTCATCAAGCCAACATTTCCTTGAGGATGGAGGAAATGGCACTGCCTGATCCTGAGGATGACGCAGTGGCAGATAAGACACACATGCATATTTTTTAGGGAAGAAGGAAATGACTTTTTAAAAAAAGATTTTATTTACTTATTTTTAGAGAGAGGAGAAGGGAGAGAGAAAGAGGGAGAGGAACATCAATGTGTGGTTGCCTCTCGTGCCCCCAACTAGAGACCTGGCCCACAACCCAGGCATGTGTCTTGACTGGAAATCGAACCAGTGACCTTTCAGTTCACAGGCCTGCACTCAATCCACTGAGCCACACCAGCCAGGGAGAGAGACCACTTTTTAAAAGACAATATTACATAAAGATAATAAAAGATAATATGAAAAGGTAAATATTATATATGTCATGAGTAAAATGGGTAATTTCACAGAGCATGAGTGGGGAAAGAGAGGGTGGCTTCTTCAGGTTGATGAAGTGAGAGAAATTCTGAGTTGGTGGCTTTAAATTATACCCTAAATTCTGAGTTGGTAAGATCTGTGGGGAAAGGTACTTCTAAGCAGGGGGAAGAGGAAGTACAAATGCCCGGAGATGGGAATGAGCTGGGTGTGCCTGGGAAAGAAAAGCTCCAGTGTCACTGGAATTGAGAACATGAGCCCTGACTGGTGTAGCTCCGTGGATTGAGTGTGGGCCTGCGAATCAAAGGATCGCAGTTCGATTACCAGTCAGGGCACATGCCTGGGTGGCAGGCCAGTTACCTACAGGGGACACATGAGAGGCAACCATACATTGATGTTTCCCTCTCTCCTTCCCTTCCCCTGTAAGGATAAATAACATCTTATAAAAAAAGAAAATATGATAGGGAGAAGGGAGGGGATCGGCTTGAAAGGTAGAAGGGCTAGATGATGGAGGCCCTTGAAAATGGTGCTGCCCTCTTTGTCCAAATCCCTTTTCTCTCCCCTGCTCTGTGAATCCGTTTTCAATTTTGAAACTTGATTTTATTCACTGCTAAATGGCTATCTTGTCAAACTGCTATATCCACATATGCTTTATTTTTACTTATTTTTAGTTTTTTTTTTTTTTTTTTTTAATCTTTAGAGAGGAAGGGAAGGAGAGAGGAGGAGAAACATCAATGTATAGCTGCCTTTCGTGCGTCCCCTGCTGGGAACTGGCCTGCAGGGGACCAGCTTGCAACCCAGGCATGTGCCCTGACTGGGAATCGAACCACAATTGTCTGGTTCGCAGGCCCGCGCTCAATCCACTGAGCTACGCCAGTCAGGGGTATTTTTAGTTTTTTTTTAAATAAGATTTTATTCATCCATCTTTAGAGGGGAAGGGAAGGAGAGAGGGAGAGAAACAATGTATGGTTGCCTCTGTGTGTCCCCGTTGGAAACTGGCCTGCAACCCAGGCATGTGACTGGGGATCGAACCTGCAACCTTGGCAGTTCAACCTTGGTGTATCATGGTGATGTTCTAATCAACTTAGCTACTGGCCAGGCCAGTGGAAACTTTTACTTTCATGTTCTTCGGACCCCTGAGCCACCATTTAAGAACCACGGAGAGGCTGCTGGGAGACCACACATAGAGAGAGAAATACGGCTGTCCTAGCATTCCTGCAGAGCCCAGCTCACAGCTGATCCATCAGCTGATTATAGTCACACAAGTGACTATTAGCAAGACCAGCAGAAGAACTGTTCAGCTGGCAGGATCATGAGAAATAAGAAAATGTTCTGTTAAGTCATTACATTTGGGGATCATTTATATTACATAGCAATAAGTAAACATATTCCCCATACCTAAAGCCAAGGGTGCTGCTTCCTCTTCAGACCTGTCATCGTTTCAGTTAATGGCACTCAAGCCAGAGCCACACACAGAGATGTCATCCTCTAACCCTTCCTCCCCCCCCCCCCAGTCCTATCCAGCCAGCCACCGTGTCGGGCTGGCTTGACCGCCTAAATATTTCTTGAATTTGGCCCTCTTCTATTGCTCAACGACTCTGCTCTGGTTTAGGTTCTGTCGTAACTTCTCTCGACCTGTCTTCATACTGCGGCCCAGTTCTTAGACCTGCTAGACTGCCCCCAACGATCCTCGCCCAATACATACCAACCACGGCAGGCCCCTGGGGCCTGAAGAGTGAAGCCCAAACCCACCTAGAAGAAGGCTCTTTGAGAATGGCCTTCACCTACTTTTGCAAATCTACTGATAACTACTTTTGACTTGCTACGTCAGTCAAGGTTCAGACGGGAGACAGAAACCACACCAGTTATTCAATGCAGAGAAAGTAGAAGAAATTGTTAACTACATATCAACTGGTTAACTAGGTAACAGAAAGGGTAGAGAGAAAACCTGAAGCCATCCCTGAGGTAGCATCTGCAGGAAGCAGCTCTCACCGCTGCGGCTCAGGGAACAGAGGGAAGGGTTGGTGGGGTTTCCACTCAGCAATTACACCAAGTCCTGACTTCAAGGAGGGGGCTCTTGCTAGTCCTCCTGTCTGGGAGGCCGCTGCTCTGGGAAGGAAACAGCAGTCAGGGGGAAGTGTTGCTGGGATAATGCTGGCAGGAAACTCTTCCCGCCCTGCAGCCCGGCAGTGTTCCTGGAGCACTCCCTGTGGCAAGTGACCCCTGCGACAGCTGGAGGGGCAGAACCGTGGTTTTACTGTGCACCACAGAGCGGGGCTAGAGGCGGAGGTGGGGAGCTGAGAAGCAGCATCAGGGGAACTGCCGCACTTGCCTTGTGACTGCCCCTCCTCCTTGCTTTGCAAGTGCTGGTTCCTCTCCCAGGAATGCAGGTGCTTCTCTCTGCCAGGTGCACGCCTACTTCTGAGCTCCGTCCTCACGCTCTCAAGGAAGCCTTCCTTGACTCCTTGAGATCACACGCCTTGATGATGGCTCTGTTGGCGTCTCTGTCCCACTGTCAGTTCCACGGTTAGACTTTGGGGAATGTTTTGGTCAGTGCCCACTAGACTGTAAAGGTGTTAATCTGAAGGGCAGGGACCATCCACTGCCACCTCCTTGACTTGTTTTTCCTATATTTGTGTTCCTGACCTCTAATGTAGTCTCTGGCACAAAGCAGAAGCTCACTAAGCATTTGTTGGAGTGAGAAGCGTGCGTGCCCATGGATGAGAGGCAGTCAGCGCCACGCCTGAATGGGGATTTCCCTGAATCCCTTCCAGCAGCATCTCAGTTCCCATCTCAATACAACTTCTTGTGCACACAAATATTACGCACAAATTATAAAAGCTCTATTATAAATGTCCACTGACACACCACTCTTTTACATTGGTTCAAGGTTGGGCTTATGCAGAGATGGCCGCAAGGATCTGGCTTGGATGCTTAGAAAGTAACACAAAAGGTGTGAGTTTCTAGGTTAGACCTCTGCTTTCGGGATAGAGTACTCATCTAGTCCTCGTGTGCAGCTATGGTGTGGGAGCCACGCTGAGACTGAATTGTTCCAACCAAGCTCAGAGGACGCTGGTGCACTAGCTACAGTGTCTCAGATTTCTTTCTTTGCTGCATCCTTCCGTATTTTTTCCTCCTTTCACAATGTGACAGATTTGTAATTGTTGTCACCTACACTAGGCCATAAACTAGTCTAGAGAATAGCAGTGAACACGACAGATGAAGGTCTAGTTTTTAGGGACTATTTTTACCTTTATAGATTTTGTGTGTGTGTGTGTGAGAATGAAATGAAATAATGGAAGGAAAGTTGTTAGCAAAGCAATTAGTTTACCTATGTGAATACACATATACAATACGTATTTATGTCTATAAACGTTACGTTGGAAGATCCACAATCATTCTTGCCGTGACTACTCCCGGCCCCGTTTGTCCTGAAGAGCTCACACCTTAACCTCTGAGCGTCCCAAC